AGCATTCAAGTCGCGTTCTTGCACACTTTCTGCAAGTCGAAATAGATATCCTTGAACCACTGCCCCTGCTTTGCAGAATTAGTGCACATGAATGAACGATTCGACTTTTATTCAAAGAAATTTCTATGTACAGTCACCAGACTCTATTCAGTAAAGTCCCCGTCAAAACGAAAGTAAACAATCCACGTGCATAACGCACGGCTACACCATCGTACAGTGTGGCAGGGACACCAACAAGTAACAAAACAACTAAAAAAAATTTAAAAAAATGATAAATATTCTGATTGAATTTCGTTAAAAGATACTTGTTGGTGAGGTATCACATATTCTAGCAAATTGATAAAAATGGACAATATTACAATATGCAATTTTGAGGGAAAAGGGCAAAATACTGCATAAATAATTTCACTTGATCATATTCATAATACACAAACCGACAATTTTCATTTTCAGACCCACAACGAGAAATATTGTTAACACTGGGCTTATTGTGAGGAGTTGTGCTGGGAATCCATGAAGATGTTATTTTCAACATAATTTCTAAACAATTTAATGGGACATTCCTCTGACATGAGCCTTCCAGATGAAAAGATTATGTGTGGGAAAGTATGGTGCACAAACACGACTGTGTGAAAGCAGTTGTTGATGCGATCCCTGAATTTACAGCACTCCGTTTAAGGGTGCAGATAAATACCCCAATTTAAACAAATCGGGGAACATACTCTGAACCCTCACAGGTGATCAAAACATACATCAAATGAAAGCTGAATTAATCCTCTTTACCTTTTTGGAAATCTTTTTTTTGGGGGGGGGGGGTTGACCTATGACTTTTGGGTGAGTTTTCCCTCCAACGATGATCACCCCATCGCCATTTTGAGAAAAAAAAAACAGATTCCTTCCACTCCATATCAATATAGATTCCATTCAAATGTTTTGTTCAGAAATCCAAATTCAGGGACATGGACCCTTCACTTCTACAAATACAGACCCTCAAGTGCAGGGGCCAAAATTCTTTATTATTACAGATAAACTAGTATACAAATCGTAATTTGGCCGGATTAGGTCGCGCCTATTCGGGCTGCCTCTCATATGTACTGCGATCGGGAAATCTCCAGCGTAATAAAGACTTGAAGAAACTTTATTTGATTTATTTGATTCAATAATTTTATTTTAAATCTTAAAACATAAAATAAAAGCTAAAAGTTGGACAGGCTGCCACGGATATGTAAAAGTAAAAAAACAATTGTCGTCAGACGATTATCCAAACCTCTGACAATAAAAGAGATTTAAAATTCCATTCATAAAAATTAAAGTACTATTGAAAAGTAAATTGTACAAATCATACGAAACCACACGAGACGAGACATGACGAGACATGACGAGACGAGACAAGACGGGGAGATGAGACAAGACTCAGCAAAAAAAATCATAGGGTGAAACATTAGACAAACCAGACAGATACAAAAATATAAAAACGAACTAATAAGTAAATACTCTTACAACCCAACAAACAAACAAACAAACACCCCAACAAACCAAACAACCAGACTCAATAACGGGAATGAATGACAAACGGGCTAAAAAGATTATTACAAACAAAACAAAACAAAACCGAGAAACAAAAGCAATCCCATTCCCCAGAGAGAAAAATGCAAACCATAAAAACAAACAACCTAGTTGACATACATAGGTCTACACTCACATTAAATACTGGGTTCAAAACTACATGTAGTGGTGAAAGTTTGCCAATTTATTCTCGCAATAAACAAATTGAACTCTGGAATCCATCATGTTTTTGTACGAGTTCATCGGCGCCCTAAGACAGTCCCTGCATGAAAGAGGATTCTTCCTGCTCCTTTTAGAGGCAACATTTTATTGTCGCAATTAGATTATATTTGTTGCTCGTGGTCTGATTAGTAAACATACCGAAAATTAGGCACATTTAAGTTTGAAAATGTCCAACCTGGGTAATGACAACTATTATTATTATTGAGTTTGAGTGCCTAGCGTTCATAGTTTTCATCTTAACCGAATCAGTTTCTTAAAGAAAGATACAACCACGTTCAAAACTTTAAATTTAAAAAAAAAACAGTATTACCTGCTAAATCTATGAAGCCATCTAAGATAGCAACCATCCATCCAACTAGCCAGGTTTGGCTGTCAAACTGATCTCGTATTGTAGGCAACATCACCGACATTCCTTTGACCATCCCAATCCAGGCGAACCAGCTAATGAATGTTCCCATCACTGCAAACCATCCCAAAGTGTTGTCATGATTTCGAACATGAGAATCTCCCATCGTGTATCAAGTAATGGTTTGTAATAGTTTACCGAAGCAAAGTAAGCCGCAGAGATTTTTACAAACGAGTGTTGCCGTGCCGACACAGTTCAACTTGACTCTTGCACAATCGGAACAATTGTTTTCTAATTTCAGATCTCTTCCAGTTGACAGATTTTGTGTAGGCCGCGCCGACCAGTGTCACTGATCCGGTGTGCTTAAATTGCCGATGAGGACATTTCGCTTCAACACGCATGCGCGAAATTGCGCAGTAGTGTACATTTTCGCCAACTTAAGTTGTGTGCTGCGTTCTTTGGGGTTGTACTAGTGAACGTTAGATCATCGGTAATTTGGGTACCAGTAAAAAAGTGTACGATGTAGGCCTAGGCCGGGCAATATATCTTTTGCTTCGACATGGTGTCGGCAGACATAGCAGTAAGGCTAGCGATCGTGTATCATTTTGTATCTCACCAAAGACCGAAGTTAGATTAATTTTCTTTATTAAAATAGGTGGGTTTTTTTTTGGGGGGGGGGGAGGGGTTGACAGTTTCCAGCCCACTAGTATAAACATATTTAATGACTAGAGGGGGATTTCTTGAAGGAAAATATATTGATTTGATATGATTTGCAACCGCACAAAAACAACTCTTGCCCAACTGAAGCAAGCATGTGTTTCTGAAAAAGCGACTTTTTGAAATGATTATCTGGTTGGTTCCTGGATTCTTTTCTTTTGACAGTGCTCGGGATTTTGTCCCGAAATCATCAGCCATCAAAATTAATGTTCAAAATGAAACACCGAGCTGTACAGTGATAGCGCCCTCTTTTGGAATTACCTGCACAAGGAAAAGTAAGAACGATATAAATGAGTATGTGACTGTATGAAAGAGGTTGTGGAATGCTCAAAGACATTTCCGTCATTTTTCGGGTATATGTAGCCTAAGGTGTGATGAAATAAAAACGACTATTGTGTCTGTCGTGAAATTAATACAAAAGGTACCTTTGAGAGCTGTTTTTCAGGTCCTGTTTCAACCCGAACGTGCAATTTGTGTAGCAGTCGTCGTAGTATAAACGATAAAATAAAATTATTTTCACAAATATAACAAAAGACTACTATATAACACCTGATTAAGAATTCAGATTATAAAGGGTTGTATATTAGATTTCCCCAACATGTCAACCTTTGACGACTGATCCACTGCGCCCCCAACTGAGGGCAGTGTGTTATCTGTAGTGTGTACTCGTGAGCTTGTCTTACATACGCAGTGTGGACTTCCGAACAAAAGACGTCCACATAATGTAGGTAGCAGCGACGAAGTGTGGACTTGCCCACGTCCACACAGTGTTTCCCCATTTCTGGAAAACAGGTTTAGAGGCATTTTTGGGTTAGGTTTATCTGTAGCAGAATGAAGAGAAACACTAAAGGGAATCATTGAAAAAAAATTGGGTTGTAAGAGTTTTCACAGTTTGAGAAAAATGAGTTTTTCCACTGGTGTTCCTTAACTACACGAAAAGAAAGGAAAGTCCACACTAGGTATGTGAAACAAGTCTGGGTGTGTATCCTGATGTTTGTGAATTTGATTGTGAACACGGTGGTAAATTATTGATTTACAGAGCGATCATTTTTTTCTGTTTTTTTCATAGAAATACATAAACCGTCATGTGGACCCCTCCTCCCCCTGCTGTGACACCCGAAACAAATCTGACAGAGAATTTTGCAGCGCCCCCATTGAAAGTATGTACGAGCCCCCCCCCCCCCCCCCCCACATTGATTTTACGAAGGCCAGTGGCTGGAGAAAAAAGTGTCAACATTTCAGCATTGATTTGCTGATAACCTCCCCCCCCCCTCCTCCTGCAAAACATCCTGGATCTGCCCCAAATTTACAGGAAAAGCAGATTGGACAGTATTATAAGATGGAATGTTTGCGTCGGGTGATATAAATCAAACTAGGTCTTGCCCTTCAAGATTGGACAGGAAACCACAATCGAATCGTTGCTCGACTAGCCCGCCATCACTCGGTTTATTCAACGTCATTGATCATTAAAACGAGACAAACGATGTTGACAATAACTAATACATTAAACTAAGTAAGAATGAATTTGAATTGTATTTTACAATAGAAAGGATCGATGGATCGTATAGTTTTAGTAATATTCGGTAAAAGAAGACCAAAATAGAGAAAAGCCGGGAAGGATGGAATATTCAGAAATGGATTATTTCCAGTTTTTGTGCCACAATAGTGTCACTATGGTTCGCATGGGCCTATTTTTCAATCGTCTCTTTTTCAGGAATGATTCAGTAAAAAGTAGCATGCAACGTTTCTTCATGAGCTGTACCATCTTTAAAATGAAAACAAAAGACAGTCACTTGACATTTTGCGTAATCATTTCCTCCTTCGGTGGTTTGTTAAAAGTCAGCAAAGTTATTTACAAAATAAACATGCGTTTCAATCCGTGAGCACACAGACAAGATCGCTATCTTTCTTACAATTTTATTTCGATTTTAAACACTGAAGTAATTTCCATGAGAATCCTTTCAGTTCCAAATAGCAAAGTGGAGAGTCAAATTTCATGATGTGTGCCGGTGGTATTTTGATGTTTAATGTCGGCAAAAACAATATCAGTTCGATAAAAAGTGTAAAATTAAATGTTTATAAAGGCGTTCCATATGGTAATTCGAACAAGATTTATTTCATGTTTCTCAATTCTCGTTGAGGGTTTTCCTTACGGTTTGATCACCAGACGCATTTTCATGCTGCATGCTTTAAGGGAATGCGACTCGCCTCTCCACTTGTCCCACAAAATACCGTCAACCTTGGTGCCAGTATTTCCACCAGGGACATACACGCCATTCAAGTGAGCCACATCACAGTCATCAAACCACCACGCCCCATCACGATCGTTGGCACAGTTTCGTCCCGATCTCCCATCATTGTCGTTGTCCTTTGTCGTAAACGGCCATCCGTCGTGGTATCTCATTGCGTTACCTGCAGTGCTGCTGTCGTCATATTGGTCAATATGAAGGGTGAAGTTGTCTCCGGAGATTTTGAAGTCTCCGTACTTAGCCCAAGCCGTGCTTCCATTCCAGTCCTCCAGATCAACCCGTAGCTCCCACTTTCCCTGACAACCGTCAGCGGTAAGTTTGGCCAAGTTGTCATTTCCAAGCCAGAACTCACCGGACAGATCGCCAAAGCCAGACTGGTACTCGGCCCAGTTAAGGTAGAAGTCCACACTGCCATCTTGTCGCCTCTGAAAGACGATCCATCCCCGCCGTCAGTTTCCGTGTCGCAGTAGACCTGTAAACCATCGCACCGGCCATCTGGGTAGATCGTATAGACACCGCTGGAGTTGAAGCCCGCCTTAGTAAGAGTTTGGCAATTTCGTCGGAATTGAGGACATGTGAGCATTGGCGTACATTCTTGTGGGCCAAAGTACTCACTGCCTTCGTGTTCAAGGAATGCATCTGGGTGCTCATATCTCGTGGCCCTGTTGAGTTCACACAGGGAATTATCCTTGTAGAAGTTAAAAGATCTGCACTTCTGATCTGCGCTGCAGTTTCTTCCGCAGATGACTCTTGAACCGACAGTTTTCGTTGTGTAGTTGACGTTTTTCAGAGCTCTGTTTTTGCAAGCATAAAACGTCTGTTGACGTCTGCAAGGAGGCGTACATCCGGCAGTCACACAAGAGACAGTCACCATAAAAACAAACATGAACACAAGACGAGCATTTTGAAGATGACTAGTAGGATTTGCCATATTTCAAGTTTATGATCGGAGCAGTTGTGAAAATTTAAAGGTGTCAATTTTTTTTTGCATGAGCTGCAGAATTAACGGAGGATTCAAAACACTTTTTTTCTGACAATGTTCAGTTGGTCGTGAGAGCTTTCAGGAGAACTGCCTCAAGCTCATAGAGCTGCGTGCTATCAGCGCAAAGGCGGTCGACTATTCCTGGGATGTGATTGGCTATCCGAAACGCACACTGCCGTTATGGTTGAAGACGATTGGTCCAGGCTCATCTATTATGCAAATTGGGGGCAACTCGCGATCGTATAATATACGGCATCCATTAAGTATCTCATTAATATTTTACCTGGTTTTATCCAGTTCGGTTAAAAACGATAACGTGAACTCTCCCATTATTCATCTCCCCTGAAAATTCAATTGAAGCAAAATGCTGCACACAGCACACTGTGTGACGACGTACTATTGATTTTTATTTTTAAAAATATCAAAATCGGTTTAAAAGAGAAACCTTGGCCTGGATTTCTTAGGGCCATTTTCAATTGCCAGGATCTGAATCATTGCACAATGCATAACGTGTTTTGGAAGGGGATTTCGCACGACCGGATCGCAGCTATGGCTGGACCAATAATATTATTTATGAAAGGAGACACATTGGCTGCAACGCGCATTGTATCATGGGCAATTGGGCATTTACTTCGGTCATCAATTTTGCTGTAGGCTTAATTGTTCGATTTACTGCATAGATAAAGGGACGCGTATCACAGGACAATAGGCCAATATGCCTGCTCAAGTACTGGGGGATATTAACGTCGAAATTGATAAAGCCATCACCAATCTTCAGTCCATTAAGAAATCCATTTTGTCTAGTGTGAAATGAAGCGCGGTTTGTGCCTTTGTGAACAATAACTGCGGCATGATGAATGGATGTCAACTTATAGTGCAGCAATTTTTCATAAATGGTAAATAAAAGTACAGTCCCCGCGAAAACTCACCCAACAAAGACTATTGTACCATGTGTAAATAGAATGAACATCATCTCCACTAAATCTAGCAATTTGTTTTTTCTTTTCAAAGTTGGAATTTATCGCCAAAAAGGCAAGCCTTGAATAACCAAGTGCAAAAAGTAACCGAATGTTACATTAACAAAACTGTTGTGTACAATAAGTATAAATATCGTGGATAATGAGCTATTTTGACAAAACTCATAAGGAAATTTACATCCGAAAATCATAACATAGAAAAAGCAAATTTTGGTATAGGATTAGAAATTAGAGTTAGTTTTTGGTGACCCTTTAAATAAAACGTTCAACACACCAAGAGTGCACGAGTCAGTGCTGCAAAAATAATTAATGAAATGTAGCTTAAAGGTTGCCAACCAAGATTTTGCTTTGGGAATGGGTATAAATTAAATCTTGTACTCATAGTCCAGGATGGAGATCCACAGTTCAAATGCTGCAGACTTCCCGCTTTGTACAAGAGTTCATTCAAAACGTTCAATCTACAAGATTTGCTGCTTAATATTTGGGAAATCTTTCGCTTGATTTTATTAGAAGACAGTAATAAATATCTTGATAAAATGCAATTTTTTTCATCACAACATAGTTCATTTAGGAAGCATCTATGTTAATGTCACGGTTACGTGTAGGGTAATTGCTGCCTAACGTGGTAAGTCCGCTTAATGATTAATTAAGAACAGATCTCCTTGGCAATTAAATGGGAAAAACAATCAGAAATGAGAACGAATTGGAAGGCAATATTTACTGGCAAGATGTTTTCAAATGATTTAATAAAACTTAATCTTAAATTTAAGACAATTGGTGAGATAAATTAATAAATAAAAGTTGTCAGGAGTAAAGCGTACAAAGCTGTCAAGGTTAATGGCACTAAACCCTGTAATATTTCACATCAGCTTAATATGACAGTGATATAACATTACATGTGATGACTTCAGTATTTGTCAATGATTTCAGTGAATCTCAATGGTCTAGTAATAGTCTAGGTTACATGTGTGTATCTCAAATAATTATGGTATATTCATAAATACCTCAGACAGTTTAGCTATTCCTATTGGTCGAGAGCCCGTCACGTGGCCGGTATTAAACGGATGATAAAGACATGGCTAGCTGGTCTTAAACACTTTTCCAGTGTCACAATAAAATGTGGACTCCTAAAAATCCAGTGCCTCTTACCGTTTCATTGGTTGAACGTTCACAATCCTCACGTAGGCATGCGCAACACAACAAGCGAGTCAGAAGTTTACAGTTCTAAATTCAAAACGCAACGCCCCAGGTGCGTTCTGCGTGACATCGCGCAGAACATGTTACGCGCGCGTCAATCTCCATAAAAGGGTTGTTTACATCTTACTCGCCAGCTGAACACTCCATTATTTTGCTAGAGGGATGTTTCAAAAAGCATGAAGTGAACTTGTTGAACAAAATCGGGATTTTTTGAACGAATTATTTGAAAAAATTTTACGGATAAGGTATTTATGAATGGGAATAAATATGTGCTCGGTCGGTATTTATCACTCGTTTAATACCGCTTAGAGTCTGGGTGCTGATAATTACCCTCGCCTCCGGCTCGGGTAATTATCAGCACCCAGACTCTAAGCGGTATTAAACGAGTGATAAAAACCTCCGGAGCACACATTTATTCCCTTAGTATAGACTAGTATTTAATGGGCTATATGGTATACATGTAGTAAACTAGTAATGAGTAAAATCTCAATTATGAGTAAAATGTACTCTTAGCCTGAGCCTGAACCTGAGCACTGCGCAAACCTGCTCTCTCCACGTATAGAATCAACTTCCGTACGAAGTCAATTCCAGCGAGAGAGAGGATGGCTAGCGCCGTGCAGTACACCGAAGCACGTCGCGTAAGGTTAAAGCACTGGGCCTTCACTCGGCATAATACAACAATTTACAAACATTGTTTCGCTATAATTATGATAGAAATATTCAAGTATAATGACCATGATTATACACAAATATTAATTACGTCTAATACTTTGTATGGAGATAGATAAACTACATTTATGAGACTATTTCACCCAAGCGTATGCACGGCATGGTTGCGGTAATGTGGCTGCAACGTTACATGGAGACGCTGTAAACAGTAAACAATAGACTTGTCTCAAGGAGGAGTCTTCTTCTTCTTGCGTGTGAAAACCAAAACAAAGAGGTAGTTAGATCTCTGGGTGCTTGCTGAGAAGCCACTCTCGGGTTGCTGCATCAACATCAACATCGATCAGGCCTTGGTACTCATTTGGGGGGCGATAGAGGGGGCACTCGGAGATGATGTGGTCAGCAGTCTGCTGCATGCTCCGAGGAGTGAAGTCTTGTTTTGAGTCGGATCGCCACAAGTTCCCTGCTTTGGAACCTTCGCCCTCGAATGGTTCTTCCATGACCAAAGATCAATGTATATACTTACAATGTGTAACATCACCGCAAACATCACTGCGCATGTTTATAAGTAACAATACAACATCAGGTAAAATTACACTATATTTTTTAAACATATTTTAAGCAAACACTGTGTTGTCCAGTGGTAAGGGGATCCCCCACACTCAAGGAGCAAACCCCCGAGCAACACATGAAAAATTCAACAGCTCTCTTCTTCAGACATGTGCAAAAGATATGAAACACAATGTATGTCTTAATGTGTCTTAATACAACACATGTTACATAATACAAAATGTAATACAAGTTTAAACAATGTTTTAAGCAAGGTTAAGGTTCCATTTCGTGCATCACATTTGGCACGATGTTTAATATGCATATTCTATATCCCACAATGATAGATGGCTTCACGGATGCCTCTGCAATACTTTTGCATTCCTTCACAGTTGGATGGCACCCATCTATAAGATATTTCGGATTATTCAAAAGTCTCTGCAAGTACACCTCGATTGTATCAAACTTCAGCTATCATTCAGAAGCCTATTATTATCTTTGATTTGACCCTGTGATTGAATCAGTGTTGAACATGACACTTGCCCAGCCCTAGATATGATTGATCTCTTCAGAGCTTGTAAAGATAATGTGGCAAGCTATCAAAAATGCGGGCATATGAAAGACCTGGATGACCTTCAAATGTTGTAAAGTGATCGCTAAGACTCATCGATTCTGGTATTTACTCACCCTGATTGCCGCAGCAACCCAGCTGGGAAGGAGTGGCCAAAAAAGGAACACCCTGGCTTTGTCTGACATGATTTAATATTAATCGTAAAGATACAAAATACAATATATATGACGCATGCTTTAAAAATTGCATAACTACAAAACCTCTTGTTTTGACTGCTTTTTGGGACCAGCGGGTATGAGGTGGTTGTCACCTAGCCTCGGAAGGCAGCCCCTGTACCGCTATAGACTGGTAACGAATACAACAAGAAAACTTTTAGAACATATTATGGCATATATTGTGTATAAGAACAGAACACTAACTTTTCTTCTTTTTTTCTTCTTTATGATTTTTAGCGCATACGGTGCATTACTTGCTTATTAGTTCAAGTAATGGCATTAGGCCAGCCATGTAGGCGCTCTCGGATCCGTTCAGACCTTAGCTGCAAGCCCTCTTTTACAATTTGCTGTGGTGCATTCTGATGTCGCACTACGGCATGACACTTGTCATCTGGAAGACCAGTGTCTGATTTTTCTGACCTATTTGGAATTTGTTCATCATCGGATGAAGACAACACTAAATGAGTGACCCCTGGTGAGTCATCCCTACATGGTTGGGCTACATGTACACAAGCAGGTAGCTCAGTGCATTGTGTTACTGAAGCAGTCACTTCAGCCTCGTATATTTTGGATACATTATCATCACACAAAGTTTGCTTCGAAATATCGAAATATTCATTAGCTTCCGGAGTCAATATGAGTGAATCTTGGGTCTTCCCTGCTTTTTCCTGTCCCTTAAGGCTAAATGCATGCAGAGAAGTTGCATTAGTTTCAACCCCTTTTTCAAACTTATCGTCTCCTATTTCAATTTCAGTAGTGGGAGACTGTGCCAAAAGCTCTCTACAAAAATTATGAGCACTAACTTTATCATTTTCCATTACTTCAGTAGATTCAGTGACATTAGAATTGGGCTCTGTCACAACCTCTGCCATATATATTGCCCTCTAGGACAGAGGTGTGGCTTTTCCCGAATTGGGTTGCACACATGAGGAATTACTGGGGCTTGGGCTTGGCCCACCCAGATTAGCATTGGGATCATGTGATTTTTGAACTTTTTGTTCAATTTACGGACTCGTGACCTCTCTTTGAGCAGTAATCACACCTCAGATTTGATCTTCCCGAGATTGTGGGCCTAGTGTTGGACTGTTCAACAACCTTGACAGGGTCTCTTAATGCCTCATTAATTTTTTCTTGATTCGCACATATATTCTCCATTATTTGGATAAGTTTGGCCTGTCCGTCTATCAATTTTTGGATCTCACTACTCTGTTTGCTTGTGACAACTTTGTCTACTGATGCTTCACTACTCTCCACTGTCCCATCAAGGTCCTGGTATAATTTTAAGGATATGTTCCTAAACTCATAGAAGCTGAGATCAGGATTGTCCATGTCCAGTTTACGCAACTCGCGCCTGACGTAAGGACGAGCAGCGCCCTTAACGAATTGTTCCCTTAATGCTTTTTCTCTTAATCGAGCAAGGGCTTCGGATTCTTGGGGATCAGCAGCGGCAGATTCTACTTGATTGTAGAATATTATCAGCGCGCGGCTGAATTCAACTAGGCTTTCACCTTCCTGTTGAGTTCTGGCATAAAAGGCAGCATTCAATGATTGCACTGATTCTTGTAGACCGAACCGGGCACGTAAGATGCCTACTAATTTGTTGTAGTCCTCTCGATCACCGGGGGGACAACACAGGACTTCCTCCTTGGCTACCCCTCCCAGATGGTCAAGAATTGCGGATACCTTATCATTACCCTCAAGACTTAATTGCCTATACAACAAGCGTCCAGTTCTTCGACCCATTCATAAATGGTAGGGTCGCCTGATTTCTTCGGCCTACCGAAGAATTTAGCTAAGTTGGCCACAGGGGCACTCTGAAATGTCAAGTTCTGACATTTGCCTCATTGATGTTTTCTTTGCTTTTTCTTCATCAGTTGGAATTGTCAGTTAGTTGGTCCATGCCATCGATCGATGCCTGGATATTGTGTAAGACAGCAGCACAGGCAGCATCATGGATTCCTCTCATTGAAGACAGAAGTAGCTATAGGATCAGGAGATCACACAGATGTCCATAGGAACAAGGAAATGACTAAAACTCAACTGGAACTTGTTTTCTACCAAACAAAGTACATGTAAGTAAAATGAACTTCTGTATTGCTAAATTTTCTGATTTAAAACTAACACTTGTACAATACTAAGTTTATAGTCAAAAGAAAAGGCGCAGTTTTGTTTCGAGGTAAACTTTTGCAGGCCGTAATTTTCGGAATAGTAAAATTCAAGGCCAAGTTTCTTATAGGGCCCCTATATTTTTTGTCGTTTTGGTGCGAATATTTAGGTATACTTGATTTGGTTTGAGACAGGGTGTATAAGAGCCCCCGTCCCAGCAAGAAAGCACTTTCCTCGGCCGTCTTCTTTGGATTCTTGGCCGTCAGTGCTAGGCTCGTTCGTTGGTCGGACTTGTTGGGTTTAATCAAATTCAATGCTCGCTCCTGTGAAAGGAAAAGGAAGAAAATACCAAGACAGTATAAACATACAACCGTTAACTGGCAGATAATTGCAGAGACAGAAAACATCCCACTCTCCATCACACCCCACCCCTATCAAAATAACCCATGTTTTTCCTTCTGACTTTTATCATCTTCTGTTAATTTCAAACTGTAAGGAATACAGCTACCATTTCGACACATGTAGCGACCATCACTTGCACAATCGCGTGCGCGGAGTGGTATGTAATTATTCACCAGACCTGGGCTCGTACAACTTTAACTCAAAAAACTGTTAAACATGAAGGGTCAAAGCTGTGGAATTCTCTCAATCCGTCTCTTAAAAAAAGTTCTATGAGGTGTACTGTGATGTGGAACCTAAGCGTCTTGCCTTACAGAAGGCCAACGATGAGCTCCAGGCAGCTCAGGACAAACTCTCCATCATCAAGGCCAAAATTCAGGTAAGTCTTTGACATCTGTGTATTCGAGATGCAATTTCATTACTCGTTAGCATTGGATGGGAATAATAGAGTCAATGTTTAAATGGAAAAAGTCATTTCCAAGCTGATCGCAATTCAATGACAATTCGGTCACAAGTTATTATTATTATTTATTTGACCTGGCCAAATCATACAAATACTTAAGAAAACAAGGCAAAACAAGCAAATAAATAAGTAAACTAACATACAAACAATCAAAGAAATAAATGAATAAGTAGTAAATAAAATAATATATTAATTAAATAACGTATTAAATAACAAACAAAATAAAGATTGAGAAATAAGAAAAATAAACAAGAAAACAAAAATGATTAAATAACAAAGTCAATCAGAAGTGAGTCACAAATCAGTAACAAGTCAATCATAAGTCAGTCACAAGGCCATCATAAGTCAGTCACAAGGCCATCATAAGTCAGTCACAAGTCAATAATAAGTCGGTCAGAAATCTATCGTGCATCAGTGACAAGTCAATCAGAAGTCAATCAGAAATCGGTCACAAGTCAGTCAAAATCAGTCACAATTAGTCAATCATAAGTCTTTCACAAGTTAATCATAAGTCTGGTCACAAGTCAATTATAAGTCGGTCACAGATAAGTACCAAGTCAAAAATAAGTCAGTCAGAGATCAATCATACGTCAGTCACAAGTCACTCCAGACATACTAAGGGTTTGAACAGTGTCACAGTTGATTTGAAAAGCTGAGCACTTGACTTGATACCGACTGACTTGATGACTTATGATTTACACAAGAACTTGATTACAGATCTGCCAAATGAAGTCAAGCAGAGGGTGCTTGAATTGTCATCTTTGACATTAAAATTGTTGAACGGTGTATGTGTTTTCTTGACTTCTAGGAACTTGATGCCAATTTGGCCGAGCTGACCGCCAAGTTTGAGAAGGCTACAGGAGACAAGCTGAAATGCCAACAGGAGGCAGAGGCAACCACGCTGACAATCACCCTGGCGAACCGTCTGGTGGGTGGCTTAGCCTCAGAGAATGTACGTTGGGGTGAGGCAGTAGCTGCATTCAAAGAAGCTGAAAAGACCCTGCGTAAGTTGACCTATACTCTGTCAGGATTATACAGTGCTGCATCTACAGACCCAGCCGTGGTAAACTGGTCCAAAAATATGTCACTGCCATAAAATTCTGTACACTCAGTTGTGTCGCTGCCCTCTGTTGACCAGTGCTGTACCTCATTTCTTTCTTGCAGCTGGTGATGTGTTATTGATCACTGCCTTTGTGTCGTACATGGGATGCTTCACCAAGAGCTTCCGTCTAGAGCTAATGGACAACATGTGGCTGCCTTTCATCAAATCACAGAAGGTAAAAACCTGGATTCTTTAAGAGTCACACACTTTGCTTTGACCATAAATCACTCTTAATAGATTTCACAGTCAGTAGCTGTCCATTCTAAGTTCAATCTTTTCCTGCTAGCTTGGTAGCTGCTCTTAGCTTATCAATTTATAAATCTAATTCACCCTCCTTCTTTCCACCAGACCCCAATCCCTACCACCGAGGGCCTAGATCCCCTCAGCCTTCTGACAGATGACGCCTCCATCGCCAGCTGGAACAACGAGAACCTGCCCAGTGATTGCATGTCCACCGAGAACGCCACCATCCTGTCCAGCTGTGAACGCTGGCCGCTCATGATTGATCCTCAGCTCCAAGGCGTCAAGTGGATCAAGACCAAATATGGAGAAGACCTGCGCGTGGTTCGACTGGGCCAGCGTGGGTACTTGGACGTTATTGAGCGGGCTATTTCCAACGGTGACACAGTTCTGATTGAGAATATGGAGGAATCGGTGGATCCAGTTCTAGACCCTGTACTTGGACGTAACACCATCAAAAAAGGACGGTAAGGGCTTTCTTCAGGCTTTTTTTTTAGTTAACTTTGCAATTCCGTTAATTTTAGAGAAGTTTAAAGAATTTACAGAGAACAATTGAAATTACATTGACTTTTAAGTCTTTTGCTTCTAAAGAAGAACTTGTTAAGTTTGAAACGTCAGGCCGCATTAATTTGTTTAGATTTGTATATACTTGAGGTCAATCCAGTCGGTAAGCAGTTCGCAGCAGTCCTATTCATTTTCATGACTTTGAAGTTGGATTTTTTTTTGTCAGGGAATCCTAATTTTACTCTTTTTTTAGGGTGCCTGTTTACCTCTTTTGAGAGCTCCGTGGACGAGATATACAGTGTGCACGTACTGTACTGTACTGGTTCGCGTGCGAAGTACGCACGAATTCCTGAATGTGCAAAAGTTATAGCCACCGCGTCTTCGCGTGAGCGCCAGGCGTCATCGGTGCGCGAATACGTTCGAATTCAACTTGCGATGGTCTCCGAGACTAATCCCCGCCTCCAATAACTTTAGATACATTTGAAATACGCAGTGGATGGATCGGGAACCAGTCTAGGTCACCCCCAACTCTCTTTTTCTGGCTGTTGATGGGGTACTTGTGCACAGAGCCCATACGGCATTTAGAGTTATTCACATTAACTTGTCTTACCTTTCTACAGATACATCAAGATTGGTGAGAAGGAAGTGGAGTACAATCCGCTCTTCCGTTTGATCCTTCACACCAAGCTGGCTAATCCTCACTACAAACCTGAGATGCAGGCTCAGACCACGCTCATCAACTTCACTGTCACCCGCGACGGTCTGGAAGACCAGCTACTGGCTAACGTGGTGGCCCAGGAAAGACCCGACCTGGAAAAACTCAAGGTACCAGACTTGATGTCCGAGGATAACTATCTTGGATTTCTTACAGAAACTGTTGGTTCAGAGTGAGGCTAAGTTAAAATAAACAGTCTGGTGCCTACCTGGAAAAGGCCAAGGTATTGGTATCTTGGGCTCAGAGTGAGACTGAGGTTGAAAATAGACTGGTGCCAAGTAGGCTTAACACCTGGGCGGAATTTCATTAAGTTGGGTACCAGAAAATATGGTTTAAGTATGTGTTAAGCAGAATTCAGTGTAGCAACACTAATTGTGACCTTCGAATCACTCGCATTTTTATTTCAGTCGGATCTGACTAAGCAACAGAACGACTTCAAGATTATCCTGAAGGAGCTGGAAGACAACCTCCTCTCTCGTCTGTCCTCCGCTGAAGGAAACTTCCTGGGTGACACGGCCTTGGTGGAGAACCTAGAGACCACCAAGCGAACAGCCGCTGAGATTGAGGTCAAAGTTGAAGAGGCAAAAATCACGGAGGTCAAGATCAATGAGGCTAGGGAGCTGTCCCGACCTGCTGCTGCCAGAGCCTCGCTGCTATACTTCATCCTGAATGACTTGAACAAGATCAATCCTATCTATCAGTTCTCTCTCAAGGTAAACAGGCAGTTCCTTTCAATCTTTCGCTTTCTTGAAGTACACTGTTCACTAATCCAACATTGTGGTTGGCCATTTAGTCCATTAATGTCCCTCAATATCAATTCTTTTTGGCGTCTTCACCATTGAGGGGGTACTAGTGCATAGGGTCCATAATCTCTTTGAGATATGGTCGTTACTTCACAGAACCTAAACCTTTTTCAGATCAGAATTGTGAGGAAATTTCCCAACCCAGTGTTTTAAATTTGTTTGATACCAAGTTTATTTGATGTACAGCATGCTATGTCTCATATAAAATCACTCTTATTACAATCAGAATTTTTGTTCATCATAGGCGTTCAACGTAGTCTTTTCCAAGGCCATCGAGAAAGCGGAACCAGCCGAAGACGTCAAGGAACGCGTCATGAACCTGATTGATTTCATCACTTACTCTGTCTTCATCTACACCACCAGGGGTCTGTTTGAGCAAGACAAGCTCATCTTCACCACGCAGGTTGCTTTTCAGGTTAGTGCGCTAATGCTGCAAATGATAACGATAGAGGGCGCTATGGTGCCTACTCACGAGAGCCAATAGAGGGCACAGAATGTACGTGCGTCTGTTAATTCAAATATCGAAAGCAAGCTGAACAAGAATGGCACACATTACATGTGGCTTATTTTCAAATGATCGTGCCGACAAATTTTCATAGTTTTGTTCTTCACTGACTTGTTTTGATAAGCATTGCATACTAAGCACTACCTGGTTCATAGGTGACTGCGTCATACACACGCATGCACCACTGATTACCAGCACCCATTGGCTAAACATGCCACTTGGCCCTACTTCCAGTTCCAGTGGTCCCAATGCTACTCAGTGTGTGGTGGGCGTGGTTTAAGTAGAAATGACGCAACACTTACGAACCAGATATGAGGGTTTAAATTAGGCCCTGTACATTTCTGTTGTTTTTACTGAAACATATTGTTAATTTGTTTTCTTGGCACCACAGATTCTCCTTATGAAAAAAGAAATCAACCCAGTTGAGCTGGAGTTCCTACTGCGTTTCCCCTCTCAAGTCAACGTCACCAGTCCTGTGGATTTCTTGTCCAACCCTGCCTGGGGTGCCATCAAGGTAAAGCATGCTTCTTGATGAAAGCTGTATCTCGACTGAGAAGACAAAAACAGATCCACTCCATGTTTAATGCTTTGATATTTCATTGCATTCTTTATCGTCTCTTTTGTTTATCCAGTCCCTTGCGGCCATGGAGGAGTTCCGCAATCTGGACCGTGACATCGAAGGCTCGGCCAAACGCTGGAAGAAGTTTGTGGAGAGCGAGTGCCCTGAGAAGGAGAAGTTCCCCCAGGAATGGAAGAACAAATCTTCCCTGCAGAAACTCTGCATGATGCGTGCCTTACGCTCAGACAGAATGTCCTATGCAGTCAGGTAAGGGAGATGGTCAACATGCAAGACGTCATATCAAGTCATATCAGGCCAAACTTTGGAGTATTTCTTTTCAGGTTCCAATTCTTGATCTCAAGATCAGGCCAAAGAAAAAATCAAGTTTTAAAAACAAAGGCTTCAGTTTACACAGGCATACAAGTAGAATATCCATCATGAAAAACAGCCATTGATTATTAAAAATAACATGTAAAAATGTGTCTTCATGCAGGAACTTCATCGAGGAGAAGTTGGGCACCAAGTACGTGGAGAACCGTTCCATAGACTTTTCCAAATCCTTTGAGGAGACAGGACCAGCTACCCCAGTCTTCTTCATCCTGTCGCCGGGCGTGGACCCCCTGAAGGACGTAGAGGCCCTGGGCAAGAAGATTGGCTGGACGTTTGACAACAAGAACTTCCATAATGTGTCCTTGGGCCAAGGCCAGGAGATTGTAGCTGAACAGTGTATGGATCTGGCTGCCAAGGAGGGACATTGGGTCATCCTACAGGTCAGTCATATGGTATTCTTGTAGTCTCACCGTCAACAGATTCAAACAATTTGTCACCCTCATTAGTGTCAGCGCTACAGGGGGGCAGGGCCCCTCCCCCCCCCTCCCCCCCCCCCAATTGTCTTCCTTCCAGTTTGCCCCCAAGAAAGTCAAACCAAAGAGAAAAAGGAAAAAAAAAAGCCATTAAGTAAAGCATGGTGACATTGTCATCAAAGTATATCAAATTTTTGCAGTTAAAGTTGTCAAATAAAAACTGTACATCGTCACTTTTGAAAATCCGCCAATCGAAAATTGATTTCATCTACTTTGTCATTAAAGAACATACACAAATTAAGGTATATTGTCCTTGTCATTGACATCCACCAATTTATTTACATCTTGTCACTGATTATTATTCAAGAAACTTTTTATTGTCATTGTAGAACATCCACTTGGTAGCCAAGTGGCTGAGCACCCTTGAGAAGAAACTGGAATCAACCGGCGAGGGAAGTCATCCTGACTATCGTGTCTTCATGAGCGCTGAACCTGCTGGCACACCAGATAACCACATCATACCACAGGTACACAAGAACTTGTGCTATTACCTTCAATTGAATACATGCCTTGCCTTTTTCTTTATTTCCCCGAGAATTGCCCAAGGTAATTGATAATGAGCAAGTTTTGCCCTCCTCTTCCCCAGGGTGTCCTTCAAGCCTCCATCAAGATCACCAACGAGCCCCCTACCGGCATGTTTGCCAACCTCCACAAGGCCTTATATAACTTTGACCAGGACACGTTGGAGATGTGCGCCCGGGAGGCTGAATTCAAGGCTATCCTCTTCTCTCTGTGCTACTTCCACGCCGTGGTGGCCGAACGTCGTAAGTTTGGTCCCCAAGGCTGGAACCGAGTCTACCCATTCAACACCGGGGACTTGACTATCTCTGTCAATGTGTTGTACAACTACTTGGAGGCAAATTCTAAGGTAGGAGCAAGTTCCATCAAGAATTACGGTTACACATATTTTGATTAAAATTGATCAAAATACAGTGATTGTTTGAAGCATAATGTGTCGTAATGTAAATCTCTTGCAAAGAAGTCTGTCAAGTTGCAAAAGCAATTGTAACGATGGTCAAATAAGTTTCTTTGATTTCTACAAAAAAGAATTAAAAATTGGCATTAATTTTCTTTAATAAGCCCACTTTAAAATTATTTTAGGGTTATAATAAATGTTATTTCTTGTACAGAAACACACCACACCAAGCATACTGAAATGTGCATCCTTGTGGAGACATTTCTTTGTTCTCGTGTAGTAAAGTTTTCGAGTTTGAAAATGTAGTTTCAAAATGTTCTTATTTTAACCAGAATTAATATCCTTGGCTGAAATTCGGACTTTTCCTTTTTCTAAAACTTCCATTTGCGACAGATCAACGCACCTTGGAAATTCCTAGTTTTTAAGTAAAATCCATATATCTATTTGGTCAAAACGTTGTGGAGACGTATTCATCTATAAAAATTGCCCTGTGGAGACGTATACAATCATTTGCTCCCTATTGTGTGCATGTCTCCAGAGGGCCGGTGTATCAGATCACAGAAGTTATAAGTGTTTATAAAGCAGAGTCATTCAGTCAAGATTCAGATTCCTGATTGTCTTGTCTTTGTTTGAATCTCTTAGGTACCATGGGAGGATCTGCGGTATTTGTTTGGTGAGATCATGTACGGTGGTCACATCACTGATGACTGGGATCGACGTCTGTGTAGGACATACCTGGAGGAATACATGCAGCCTGATATGGTAAGCCCAAAGATGCTTAAACTCTGAATGGTATAGACCATTCTGGCAAAGGCCACGACTGCGGTCAAGCCTTGCTTTCGTGAATGCCAAAGACGTTCTCAATTTAAGGTAATGTGTATTTTGAACACACTATCGTTCATGGGAGTCATTGTCGTAGTTTGAATGTTTTTCTGTTTTCTTTTTCTAATTTTCAGCTTGATGGTGAGGTATACCTTGCGCCAGGCTTCCCCATCCCTCCCAACTCGGATTATGTCGGCTACCATCAGTACATTGATGAGATCCTACCCCCAGAGAGCCCCTACTTGTACGGCTTACACCCCAACGCCGAGATTGGCTTCCTGACTACCACCTCCGACAATCTCTTCAAGGTGGTACTGGAAATGCAGCCGCGAGACAGTGGGGCCGGGGCAGGGGCTGGCTCCAGCAGAGAGGAGAAGGTTTGTAACACTTGTTGTTGCCCTCAAAACATAAAATCTAGATTCAAAATATGTCAGTCCAGGCAAAATACAAAGAAATCAGCGTATAGAAAAGCTGTCGCGGGTCGTTTTGCAAAGTGGGTCATGGTGCACTAGGGCAAGGATGCAGCAGTTTTCACAGCTTTTTGACAACATGCTTTGCTCTGGATTTTTGTGTGAATGACCAGTTTGCTTTATGAGTCTGTTGAATAGATTTTGTATTGTGTGGTTTCATGTCAGCAGTGAAGCGCGGAAAGTATACCACACAATGCAGAAATCGAAAAGTGAAGTTGTAAAGTGCTCTCTTAAAGGCCCAAGCACTAGACCTTCACGATGACATACACAATCATGACAATGGGCTTTAAAAAAAGGCATTCTGAATACTGACCTGAATATTAAACAAAGTTTTCTGCAAAAAATGGCGATGAGAGCATATAGCACCATTGAAATAGATTGCTTCCTTATTGGAGACCAAGGCCTGCTTATTAGAAAATATTGCTTGGCAAATTTATAAACCTAGCGGAATACCAACGCTAAAACCTGTCACTAATAGTTGTTTATTTATTTATTTATTTATTTATTTATTTATTACATTTCTTTACCCAGGGTATGCCCAAAACAGTTAAAACCTGGTTTCTGCTGGGACCCTGTTCAGATATATATGGCATAAACTTTTGGCTTTATGAGATAAAAGCCAGTGCTTTATCACTGTGTGGCCTTCAAGGTACCAGACCAAGATGGCTGTAGATTTGTCCCCGTGTCTGATTATATTCTGTGATTTGTCACACACAGATCAAGGCCTTACTGGATGAGATTGTGGAGAAATTACCGGATGAATTCAACATGCTGGAAATCATGGGGAAAGTGGAGGAGCGGACGCCGTACATCGTGGTGGCCTTCCAGGAATGTGAACGCATGAACACGCTGACTTCAGAAATCAGACGTTCTCTCAAGGAGTTGGACCTTGGACTGAAGGTCAGTACTCAATTGTCGTTTTTGTCTTTCGTATTGCCACCTTTACGGACTCAATTGAAGGGGACGCTGAACCCGTACGATTTCAGCTTAAAAGATCTTATAAGATTCTTATAAGATTCTTATAAATGGGTCCAAATCTTTTAAGATTCTTATAAGAATACACAGCAAGTAAGAAAAGGATAACAATTCTTATAAGATTAATTATGTTCTTACTTGAGTTAGAAATTGCATGGATTTCTTATAAGATTGCTTTCCCACTGTGCCATTGCAATTGCATTTTCAGATTATTTCACCATGCATAATGTAACATGTACCAGTACTTAAGATAATGACACTGTAAAACTCCAGAACCAGAAATTTTCAAATCCCAAAGTGGAACTTTTTATATGGGCTAATGGGCCAATTACCGTAATTTCCTGCGGATAAGACGCGTCTTATCTGACTTTCTAGACCACAAAAACATCGCTGCGCCTTATCTACAGGTGCGCCTTATCTGGTGTCGCTTGAGTTCAAAGTGACGGTCTTTGTGTGAAGAATTCTTTCAATGCCGCAATCAATAATGCGGTCAACCAAGCTCAACTCTCCAGACATTGTGACCGTATTTTCATTCCAACAATGCCGCGATGTGTTGATCCCCCATGATCGTGCTTTCATTCCAACAATGCCGCAATACGTTGATCCCCCTTACACCGCGTTCCCACTTGAATTTGGAAAAGGTGGATCAAGATCCGGCATTTTGGTGTGATCGTTATCTTACCGCAACGAAACCGCAAGTGGCGTTCCCACTTATGCTTGATCCACCTTTTCGTACGGAAATGTTGGGTCCAAAAGGTCACTGAGTTCGGAATTACGCGCGCTCTGTGGAGTGCGAGTGGCGGTAGTGTTGCATGCTAGGCCAGGATGGATCAGTTTTTAACAGCGCTATGAATTCACCGACAAAAATTACGCAAATTCACCGACATAAATCACGGATCTGTACGTAGAGGATCCGTACGTGCATAAATTAACTGGTGAAATCGAACAGCGCCGCTCGCTCATTGTGTGACATCACGGCAGAAACCAATGCATCGATAAGGGATTCCCTGGTTCTGAAGCTTCTCATTGGTTAAAATGGTCACATGATGTACTTCGACATCATTTTCCAATTTTCTATAATCAATACTACAGATTTGTCACCTCCAGACGCACCGCGTTATCGGCACTATTCTCATTGCGTATTCGTAAGCTTTTCCATGATTCTGTGCCAAATTGAAGTGTTTTGGTGAGTGCGAACTCAGAGTCATTTATGGATGGAAAAATAAGTAAAATTTCACGAATAAAAAAGGTTTAGAAATGGAAGAATACGCAACGAAAATTTTAAAAGGCCTAGTGTAGTTTCCCCCGGTGTGACGGGATTATTTTCGTATGGTACATACATATAGGCGACGCTAGTTTTTGTATTAGTCACCGGTAGAGGGCGCAACATCTGGCTCGGAGGGACTGGGCAAGTCTATGAATCTTATCCAGCGTGCGTGTTGCAATATCTTCAGACAGCGCGTGGACCATCGTTTCTGGCCGCTGATTGGGCCGCACTGCATTAACAAAAGGCCAAGGAAGGCTAGGATCGGAAACCGCAAGCAAGCATGCACAGCGCGCGTTGGCTGAATGTTGAAGGTCGGTATCAATTTACATTGGTCTTTTCTTCATGGCTCTACATGTTACCAGCCAATGTGGTTACAGTTTAATTCATCCTCCGAATAGTGTGATCGTTCTAAGGCAACACAATGGCCCCTTTGTGGCGATGTACCGACACCGGGTGACGCCTGGTGTTCTTCTGTGTGCGGTCAAACATGCGTCTTATGCGGCGGTGCGCCTTATCTGTTGGCGTTTGAATTTTTTTGGGGTGATTTTAGGGACCTGCGCCTTATCCGCCGCGCGCCTTATCCGCAGGAAATTACGGTAGATATGGATGTTGCATATAAAAAATATAAGTTAGTGTTTTCTTAAGTTTTGTTCCTAAACCTTGCTGAAGTTGAATGTGACTAGGACAAGAAAATACAAGAGATGATACCTTTTTTATTTGAGACAATAAACATGTCTTTTTTTCTGTGTTATACGTACGTAACATGGACAGACAGACACACTGCAGCAAGGAAAAGGGTGCTGAGGACAAATTCAGATTCTTATAGGGACTTTCATTTGACATTATCATCCCATTTTACTTTGTTATCAAACGAAAATATAACAGCTTTTGCACTGGCATCAAAGTTATGATGTGATTAGGGCTATGTACAAATAGGGACAGACATTTTGTGACAAATATGTAGTCTGTTCGTACGTATAAATCCTGATTATAAAATTTCAAATAATTCTTCAGATTGACTCTGAGTTTTCTAGGTTTTGACTGATGGCATTCCTCCAGGGTACATCTTCTTAAATCAGACAACATTAGGGGATCATTAGATGTTATGCTTACTTTGTGACTTTATCTAAAACGTCTGTCCTTTGTTACATACATGTATATAACACTTTTATAAAAAATATCCACGGTATTTTCTAACATAAAAAGTTATATCCTTTGCAGGTGAGGATATTTGTTCAAAGCTTGCACTGTTTACAACAAAAATTAAGAGACCAAGATCCTAGTTTTATATCAAAACTGAAAAGGTCTTCTCATGGTCTTCTTAAATGTCACACTTTTGGGCCCATTAGTGTGGAATTGCCAATTGGGCCTGTCATGTCATCAAGCACAACTCGCAGATCCCTTTTAATGTGGCAGTGAATCAATGTATACTATGGCACAGGGACACTGGTATACCCCTCGGTCACAAACCATGCACAGTATATCCTGCTAAACGCAGCAATTAACACGCAGCACTTGACAAAATGACAAGCCTGTGTAGCAAGATCAATGATGTCAAAAATCCCAAGGCCAAACAAGGTTAGGTTGAGGGTCAATAGATGGTGACTGAATGCAACAGAAAACAACTGTGGCATTGTGCCTTGGATGATACAAGGAATATGGCACAGAGTCAGAGATCTATACTTTTTCAAAGGACAAATCTGTGATGGCCCTATCTTTAGGGATAGGGATTGGCTTTATAGCCTATATGGCTCTCATTGTCTCCGAATTGGCTGTCTATGCACTGGTGTTGATGGCTCACTAAGGACAAGGGTCCACAGACCTTCACACCCCCACCACTGCATTGGTCTGACAGGGTTAGGGTTATATAAAGAACTTTGATTCAACCAGTAACAATGGATTACTTTATTTACTAGCATGGGGCCGTATTTAATAGGGGGTAACTTTTTTATTGACAGGGCTTCCAAAAGTTGACCTTCCTGTGCTTCAAAAATAAAAATTCAAACAAAATTGTTAATGTTTTTTTCCCTGACAAATTTGTAACCAAATATTTAAATAAAAAAATTGAATTAGTAAAAAAAAAAAAAAATTTTTCTATTATGGACACAGCAACCCTCTGAAAAGGTTTTATGTAAGGGTTGTTTTGTGTCTCTTATGCACAAAAAGGTGATCACGAATCACGAAATATCAGGCTTCAAATAATTGATTTTTAAATGACATTGTTTGATAGTTTTTTTATCGTCACATTCAAAAGAGACTAGTATTTGTATACATTGTATTGCTCAAAAATAGATTCCGCAAATCTATTAAATTTAGATAAACATTTTTGAAATCTAAGCATGAACATGGGTTCTGCAGAACTCTGCACACAGTCTGCAGACTTTCATTGAAGCTCTTCCTTAACTGATATGTGCCACTTTTGAAAGACCGACGTGATTGGTACAGGACTTCATTTATTGATTGATTGATTGATTGATTGATTGATTTGTGAAACCAGGGTGAGCTTACCATCACATCAGACATGGAGGATTTGAGCAATGCCCTATTCCTGGATCAAGTGCCAGAGTCTTGGAACAAGCGTGCCTACCCCAGCATGCTTGGCTTGGCAGGCTGGTACGCGGACCTTCTACTCCGCATCAAGGAACTAGAGAGCTGGACAGCCGACTTTGCCTTACCCACGGTGGTCTGGCTGGGTGGGTTCTTCAACCCTCAGAGCTTCTTGACGGCTATCATGCAGTCCATGGCACGTAAGAATGAATGGCCTCTGGACAAGATGTGCTTGCAGTGTGACGTGACCAAGAAGAACAAGGAGGATTTCAGCAGCGCTCCTCGTGAAGGGGCGTACGTCCATGGCCTATTCATGGAAGGAGCTCGCTGGGACACCCAGACAGGAATGATCGCTGACGCTCGCTTGAAGGAACTGACTCCATCGATGCCAGTTACCTTCATCCGTGGTATCTCAGTGGACAAGCAAGAAACACGTAACATTTATGAGTGTCCGGTCTACAAGACAAAGCAGCGTGGTCCGACGTTTGTCTGGACCTTCAATCTCAAGTCCAAGGAGAAGGCTGCTAAGTGGACACTGGCTGGAGTGGCTCTACTTCTCCAAGTCTAAAAGGTAACCTTCTGAAGTACAAAGTCTAAGAATGCTGAAGGCTATTCCCACACTAAGGCCATTTTCATTTAAGTACTTGGATTACGGATTTTTCAGGTCCCGCGGTTGGGCGGGTAGCCAAAATGTTTTCCAAAATACACCAAACATGTGGGGGCGCCCTTTACAACGCGCACATAATAGTACGCCCTGTATTCCGACGCAATCTTCAATTCTGAAAGTGTTCAACCGATGTTCCATTTAAGTGCACAACAAATTATCAACATTTTATATATCATTCCAAACAATTGCTTGGAATCTGTTTTTAAAATATTTCATTGCCAATGTTTGAAAAGCGCTTGTGTATCGATGCAGCTGGTTTCCGTTCATTCTGCTAATTCTTAGAACAGTTTTGGTGACGGGAAGCAGTATACCCACTGCGCGTCACAAATGCAGATGAACATGCAAGAACATACGATCAATCAACAAGCTTATAGTAAATCGGTACATAATGTACGATTATTCCTTTCTCAATTTTTGGTCTGACGCCACGATTGCTTGGTTAAAAGTAAATCAAAAGATTGTGTTTGCTACTCAAAAGGTGTGATATTTCTTTTTTCCATTATTAGTTTTTTTAAATCAAATTTTTGTGACGGTGACTCTGTAATCCATGTTATTAAAAAAAAATGGCCTTACTATCTCTTGTTCTTTAACAGTTAGTTTTAAGCGTCAAGCATTCTGCAACCTCTTTTTCCGCATGTTGCAGCCACCTTGGTCTAGATCCCAGACCTACATGGAGATTGCTGTGAAGCTATCACAACACCATATAGGCACCAGGCTAATCTCTGGCTGATAGAAAATCAAATACCAAGGTTTAAAGAGAGGGTTTAGTGTAACAGTTGTTTTACAGCATTATTTACAGTTTTAAATTTGGGGGTTAAAAAGGGGACCATTTCAACTTAAGTTTAAATCATTCAAATTTCAGTGCATTCCAATTCTAAATGTTAGCCCAAAAGGTTGCGTGTTGCATTTTTTTTGAAAGAAACCAAATGTACATAGAATCAGTTGATGTAAATATTTCAAACATCTGATATTCATAACATATTGTGTATTTTTGCAGTTCTAGTCAAAGGTTTGTTTCAGTTCTTCCATAGATGTCATAACATACAAACGATTCTCATGAGGAGTTTTTAAAAATCTGAAGGCCCATTTGCCATCATGTGTTATTCATGTTTAATATGGCTTTGGAAATTTTAGCTGTTCCTAATTTCATAGCATTCACTACTAATATTTGAGGCCAGTTTTGGGATTTTTGTTTGCCATAATTGATTGCAATTGTCATTCACCAGTTTCCTTCTCATAACTTATTTACAGAAAAATAATTAATAAGATGGAATTATTTCTGTTCAATAGTGGGTTTTGCCCTTGACCAACTCAATATTACGTCAGTATTTGTTATGCCCTCGCAGACAAAAAATACTAGAGAAAGTACAAGGAGTTTGCTAATTAAACATCCTGGCGACGCCCACGTTCACGGTGGGCGAAGTTTAAGTGCTACATATAAATATGCAAAGTATTTGTAAGCATTGACTGTATTACTCAATGCCTCAGTGCCGTCCATTTAGTTACCATTTATTGCTTTGATTTTTATTACCTTCAACCGACTGATGCTTTGAATTGATACATTACAGACCACCTGCACTTTTTAATATTGCCACTCAAATACAAGTATTTATATCTTCAAATTTTATATGCCACTGCAGTCCGTCCACAATTTTAAAATAAGAATAATTATATTTGTGTCTGTTATTGAAATTTGTTTTGGATTTGAATGAAGCAGAAGCTGTGCTGGTTGTTCAATATGATGTATTAAAGTCTCTCTATGTGTAGTATTTGCAGTGATAGATTTGAATTCACAGAAGAGTGATGCAAGTTTTGAAGTATTCTGCCACCATTGTGAACAGGACCAAAATTATAATATAAGGTTAAAGGGTCCATACGAGGAATTGTTCTTAGGAACACATATTGTGCAACTTTCTACTTCTCTTAAATGTATGAACACCTACTGGACAGCCCTTTTTGGGTTAGTCTGATTGAAAGTGCACTTCTTTAAACCTTTAAAATTGTCCTTGTTTTTCCCGACTATTGAGGGCGCTGCTGCTGTGATGTCATTGTAGGAAGACACTGTTCAGTTTGGGGGTTTCAGTTCTGTTCAAATTGTGAACCCACAATTTGCTCATTGAAAACATTTGTGAGAAGGAGTTGCTCATTGGCTTACTCCCATGTTCTTACCAGTGTTGGAGTACTTGTACTCGTACTCGAGTACACCCAAGTGCTCAGCCCGTACTCGACTATCAGTTCTCGAAAATTATTTGGACTTGACCTGCACTCAATTCTTTGTACTCAAATTTTGCACAGACTCGATGGTTTGGTACTTGACTCCAGTACTCAGGAGGACAAATCGAGTACATTTCCTTTTAATCGATTCTATAGCTCGTCCTGGAATGCAACGCGAGTGCAGTTGCAGTCTGTATTACGGCCATAGATTAAAAAAAAAAAAACCCATAAAAGACTAGATCGGCAGCGCGTGCATATGCCCTCTTCACTGTGCGATAAATGTGTGCCATTTTTGTGGTCTCTCGTGGACATGCAAAAATTAACATAAAGTCATACAGCTAAATGTATCTGTCGCCAAGCACGTGACCTAGCTTAACTCATGCGAAGCTAGAAATGCACACCGAGTTTGTACGCGTTGCGCCCACACGTGCCGCTATCCGTTCGGTTACGATAATTATGTTTTCTGCAAACTTATAAACCTGTAAACCTTTACACTGTGCAGGCCATTTACTCAAATGGTTTTCAGTAAAAGCATTCGCTTAATTTTTAAAAATTGGTAGTAAATGCAAATGCAACTTTTTATTCATACGAACTATGGTATTACTTTGTACTTTATAAATTTTTAATATTAATCTTTCGCAATTAACATTAATAAATGCATTAAGTTTTGACAAGTAAATATTTAAAATCTGAAGCAATTACTCCTTTTTTATAGTAAAGTAAATGATTATTAAATTATTTATTGATTTCTGGTAATGAAATTAAGGATTCCTTAAAAGTGCATGCCCTAGGCACTGTAGCTCGCTAGCCTGAAGAAACTTGTAGAGAGAAGACAATGAGCAGAAATTACAGTTTTAGAGGTGGGAGGAAAACCCCAGAAGAATATTCTGGGGAAAACCCACGGAATCAGGTAGGGACTGAAAACCCAATCCACATGTAGACCATGGGTGCCGATACACAGCGCATTGTGCGCGTAAACGGCATTGCGTTCGTCACGTTGGCGCGCGTTTTTTGTATGTGTCCTCCAGCACGTGACCCTCCAGGTAAGGTCACACGTATGCACGCGCTGCCGATCTAGTCTTTTTATTTTATATCTTTGACTACGGCCTGGTCTAGTTCAAGTCATAGCACTGAGGATTCGTGAATCGGGAGCCAGCCAAGCCCACGCTTCTTGTGTTCACTCGCCGCTTCACGGTTACCATCTTGGGATTTTTCCCAAGCATAATCCTTGTCCAGCAACATGTATTGTCCGTTGCCTAGGGAAATCTCAGGAATTTTCTTAGCTTTAGGGTTGTATGTTCTCGGATTCGAGGACTCGACTCCAACACTGGTACATGTACTTACACCACAACGAATCACCAAAGAACAGAAAATTTACTACGGCAAAATTTCCAAAATTCTACCAATAATTATTGTTTGTGCTGAAATAGCTGTTATTGAAGTTTCTGCCTGGAATGACATCACAGTTTTGTCATGAATATGGAAATTCGCATTGACATAAAATATAAAACAGAAAAGCACCAAAACACTCTGGAAAATGGCAAAACAAAATTGAAAATAAGATTATAAAGTTCTTAACAGGGAATAATTTGGAGAAAATACAAGTGAAGAGATATTGTTTACTTGTGCATTTTCAGATTGATGGGAGTTTATGGATATTTCGTTAAAATTGTCTTCAGAACATTTGATGTGGTTTAAAAAAACACTGCTTTGTATTCTTTTCTGTTCTGAATTTGTGCCTTTTATCAATAAATGCATTTAATGACAAGTGAACCAATGGAGTTCTTTGTTTCATTGTTCTGTTCCTAATGAGTGAAATCTATTTATTTTTATGTATTTAATAGTTTTTATGTTTAACCCCAATACAACAATCAAATTGATTTTACATGATGGATGTAACAAACATTGAGCAAAATAAGAGAAGAGTTGTTAAAAATGCGTTATAAATTATGCACTTCATGTGTAAGAAAACAATATTTTGAAGTCTAAAACTTTGACATATGAAGTTAAAATGGAAATATTATAAAGTTAATGATAAAGTTAATGTAACTTGATGATTACAATAACAAGAAAAAAGTGACAAACCCCAACTCACTTATAGGGTGACCTATCCCCCCCCCCCCCCCCCGCCTTACAGCTTTCCACATTTGCATTAGAAATCCAGCAACACAAGATAGTAAGCTGGTCCGTAAGCGCAATAAATTCCGAGTCAATTGATTCACAATGGCTATTCAATGGTCTACACAATAGGCCCGATTTAACCCATTCATTGGCATTAGTGGGTAAACCTGTACAATAGCACTGCCCGGCTCACAAGTTTTAGTGGATCAGTCAATCAGTTATCATTGACCCTAAAAAAAATGGGTTTAGATACCTGGTTTTATACAATTTGGACAAAGTCCTGTGAAGGTATATACAAGTGGTAAATAAGTTATGGCGGATGTTTATTTGCATATTATGCATAAAATATACACATTATCATTGTAAAATGGCTTTAATGAATTCTTTCACCCTAAGACATATGGGTTTAGATTCCTCGTTTTAATTTATACGATTGGACAAACTCTTTGGGAGATATAGATGGAAATTAAATAATGGAGGATGCTGATTTGCATATTATGCATAAAATACATAATAGAAATGGCTTAAATGAATTTGTTTACCCCCAAACATGGTCTGGACACCTCGATTGATAAGTTTGGGCAAAAGCCTGCATAGATAGAAAACTCATATTTTCCTTGTGCCGGGAACTATTAAAAAATGCTCAAGCGTGCCAAGGTGGCACAATAGCTATCGGAATATTGCCCTACAAGGTCCAAATGACAAGATAATGCAAACACATTTTGTGCGGACCCTAAGCTTCCGTGGACAATCCCCGGACTATCTTTGACGCCATGCCAGCGCCAGTAGAGCAGGCAATGCTAACGCGTTGATCACAGCCAACAGAATAAACGCCAGAGTGTAGCTGCCGTAGATATCGTAAATCAGTCCTGCGGGCAAAACAAAACAAATTGAAGCTTTAACGGAAAACGAGGTAACATGAAAAGAAAGACAGTTATTACAAGTGATTGCAAGAGGCTGCAGTTTTAAATTAAACGGGTTTTACAAAAATAGTCAATTTTAGATATTTCTAATAAAAGTCACCATCCGTTTCAACAGTCTTTAGGCCTATTTAGATTTCTGCTTCTGACGATAAATAAGGGAATAAATGTGTGCTCCGGAGGTTTTTATCACTCGTTTAATACCGCTTAGAGTCTGGGTGCTGATAATTACCCGAGCCGGAGGCGAGGGTAATTATCAGCACCCAGACTCTAAGCGGTATTAAACTCAGTGATAAATACCGACCGAGCACATATTTATTCCCATTCATAAATACCTTATCCGTAAAAAATATCAAATAATTCGTTCAAAAAATCCCGATTTTGTTCAACAAGTTCACTTCATGCTTTTTGAAACATCCCTCTAGCAAAATAATGGAGTGTTCAGCTGGCGAGTAAGATGTAAACAACCCTTTTATGGAGATTGACGCGCGCGTAACATGTTCTGCGCGATGTCACGCAGAACGCACCTGGGGCGTTGCGTTTTGAATTTAGAACTATAAAATTCTGACTCGCTTGTAGTGTTGCGCATGCCTACGTGAGGATTGTGAACGTTCAACCAATGAAACGGTAAGAGGCACTGGATTTTTAGGAGTCCACATTTTATTGTGACACTGGAAAAGTGTTTAAGACCTGGGCCCAATTTCATAGAGCTGCTTAAGCAGAAAATTTGCTTAAGCACGAAAAAACATTGCTTAGTAAAATTAGGTTACCGGCCAAAACTCCATGTGATGTACATTGCTTGTGACTGGTATTTAGCTGTTGTTTACTTAGCATAACAATCACATGGAGTTTTGGCCAGTAACCTGATTTTATTAAGCAAGACGTTTTTGTGCTTCAGCAAATTTTGTGCTTAAGCAGCTCTATGAAATTGGCCCCATCTAGCCATGTCTTTATCATCCGTTTAAGACCGGCCACGTGACGGGCTCTCGACCAATAGGAATAGCTAAACTGTCTGAGGTATTTATGAATAAATGTTTAAAATTGATGGTAAATGTCTGCTAATTTAAGAAGACGCAAAGGGTTTGTGTCATATCAGTGTGGTTAGCCTTGGCAAATTGTACACCGACTAGGAAAAGTTGGCGCTGTTTTTGTGAAGTAGGCTGGTTCCCGGCTAACAAGACTATTTCATCATGATAAATCTGGAATGTCGGGTCAGGGACCCAGAAATGTGGACCGACATGTCTTTGGTGTGCACGTGCGCCGCGCAACTTGAGTGCAGGCTCACTTTGGCAAAGCGTCCTTCAAACTCTCTGTTTCGATGTTGGGGTGATGGCTTGATATGAGCCTTTTTTAGACAGTGTAGAATGGTTCCTGATAATCTCCAGGTTTCTTCAAGTTTTGAATCTATGAGATAGGCGGGAGCAGTGTGTCATGCCTCGGTACTATCTACAGCTTGCACGGGCCCTCAAAGACAGTACAAGTACATATACACGCACGTGCGGGACTGCGCGGCTGATGATAATGACGAGTTGGATACCATCGTTTTTCAAGATACCGGCCTCATCTGTTGTCTGGTAAGTATACATTTCTTTTCATATTTTCACCGTGAGTACTTTTTGGTCTGTATGCAGCCATTCTGTAATGTCACAACAGGTCCATGATGTCGCCAACATTCACCAAAGTCTATAGACATTACGTCCGTCTGTCCACAATAACTAGGTCAGTCTTCCTCCCAAAATACGGGTTTTTTCATCAGTGTGTTTAATACCTGTAGGTTGATTGGTGCATGCACCCTTTTGAATGCCAGATGATCGGATGAGCGCTCATATACTCAACTTGGACTATATTATTTGTACATTTTGTATACGTATTCGTTCATTGTGGTCCACAATTGAAGGGATTGTGTGCCAGCACAAAAAAAGTGATATAAATGTGTGTCCTGACACCCCCCCCCCTTCGCTGTCGAATTCCCAAATTTCAGAATTAACCGTTTCCCGATAATAATTGTACGAGTTAAGCAACATATGAGTATATATTAGTAGTAATTGTATGCCCTTAAGCGTTTGTCTGAGTGTCAGCTAAGACTAGACATGTAACAAAGTCTCCGCGTCATATTTTGAGCTAAAATTATTTAGGCCCAAACGAATTATGACTATTCAATTGTCGACATGTGACACGTGCTGACACTTGTTTTTTTAATCGTCGGACTTCTAGTCTGCCTTTAACAACAAAATGACCCTCGACCAACAGTAAACCTACAGCGTTTCGTTTACTGATGGCATGTATTTTGTTCACATTCAATAATATGCGTAAAAAACTTTCAAATTGACCCTACCTGGAAAGAAGACAAATAATGCCCTGACGAGGCCCGCCTTTAAACCGATCCATCCTAGAGCACTGCCCAGCTGTTCCGCGCCAACAGATTTCTTGGTTAGAACATCCAAAAGAGTATACGTGCAGGAATGGAAACAGCCGTAGATAAAGGCATACACCATGATGGGCCAATACGAGTTTAAGAGCGGATCAATCAAAAAACACGCACAACTACCAATGACTACCAGTCCCATCCAAGCATTTGTGCTGACAACTTGACAACTGTCGAAGAAACAAGCAGCTAGGTTTCCGACTATCTTGCCCACACCGAATATTGATACAAAGATGGCAGCATCGGCTAAAGAGAAGTGTTTGGATTGGTTAACGTTCGGTGCGAAATACACAACCCACGCTGTGGCTGCGACTGTCGTGACGATTGTTACCAGAACTACGAGCCAATAGCCTGGTGAAGTGAACATGTCAGTCTTGAACAGATCCTTGATGGATGTTAGGATGCATCGACATCCATAATCTACTGGACTCGTCTCATCCGCTGAAACATCCTCACTGATTATCTCGTAATCATTAATTTGTATGTTTAGTTTCTTGTTCGGTCTGAGCAATGCTCCACAAACTACAAGATGTGACAACAAGGCACCCAGCAGCATCATGGTCCCTCGCCATCCGTACAATTCTAGAAAACATTGCGTCACAGGCGCGAAGACAACAAATGCCACCGAGGCGCCGCTTGCGCCAATCCCGAAGGCCCTTGTATGGTTCTCAGTGTAACATTGACCAATCAAATCCCTTGTTACAATGTTGGACACGCCTATTGCAGGTGCTGTATGCAATAAAGAAAATGAAACAAAATACAATGAATTTCAAACTGCTGAATCGGCGCGTGTTACTGCCGGTCGATAGCCAAGATGATATTCAGATGCACCCTTACCTGCCAACAGTGCCAGAGCCAAGGTCATGCCAACCAAGTTGGACACTAACGAAGAAACGACGAAAGAAACACCAACAAACAAACCGCTCACCATGACAACCGTCCTCACACCAAATCGTCTTTGTATTGGCGATGCCAGGGGGCCTTTAAAGAAGGAAAAACGCAAGTGATCAATTGCAAGCATACGGATTTTGATTTAACGTATGGTGTTCTAAAACGGACAGGCAAACGTCGTGTGCCTGAGCAAACGTCGTGTGCGTGAGTGTGAAACGTCGTGTGGGTGTTTAAACGTGTGTTTGAGCTTCCGTTGTGTGTGTGACTTGATCTGGTACACGGTACCCTCTGGAGACATGTGCACAATAGGAACAAAAGATTGTACAATGTATACGTCTCCACAGAGCAATTTATATAGGTGAATATACACAAGGTTATCACGAAATAGATATATGGATTTACTCAAAAACTAGGAATTTCCTAGGTGTGTTGATTTGCCGCAAATTGAAGTATTTTATTTTGTATTCTTTGTAACTGCGTTCTAATTAGCAAACATACCGACATTTGTGGAAAAAGGACAAGGGAATATTGGGTATGGCACATTAAGTTTGAAAAATTGTGTGCACAAGTCTATGGGAAAGTCTCGCTAATGACCATTACCGGTATAGTAATAATAATACGTGTAATGGTACCATTAAGGAGACAGGTTATTGTAATTTCTTCGCACGATGGGAGACATCGGTCATTAGGGAAACATTTTCATGTCTCTCTAATGTCACAGCCCCCTTTAGAGGCAACATTTTATTGTCGCCATTAGATTATATTTGTTGCTCGTGGTCTAATTAGTAGACATACCGAAAATTAGTGCACATTTAAGTTTGAAAATTGAAAAAAAAATTGTGCACAAGTCTATTGGGATGTCTCACAAATGTCCAATCCAGGGTGATGACAATTATTATTATTATTAAGTTTGAGTGCCTAGCATTCATAGTTCTCATATTAACCGAATCAGTTTCTTAAAGAAAGATACAACCACGTTCAAAACTTTAAATTAAAAAAAAAAAACAGTATTACCTGCTAAATCTATGAAGCCATCTAAGATAGCAACCATCCATCCAACTAGCCAGGTTTGGCTGTCAAACTGATCTCGTATTGTAGGCAACATCACCGACATTCCTTTGACCATCCCAATCCAGGCGAACCAGCTAATGAATGTTCCCATCACTGCAAACCATCCCAAAGTGTTGTCATGATTTCGAACATGAGAATCTCCCATCGTGTAGCAACTAATGGTTTGTAATATTTTACCGAAGCAAAGGAAGCCGCAGAGATTTTTACAAACGAGTGTTGCCGTGCCGACACAGTTCAACTTGACTCTTGCACAATCGGAACATTTGTTTTCTAATTTCAGATCTCTTCCAGTTGACAGATTTTGTGTAGGCCGCGCCGACCAGTGTCACTGATCCGGTGTGCTTAAATTGCCGATGAGGACATTTCGCTTCAACACGCATGCGCGAAATTGCGCAGTAGTGTACATTTTCGCCAACTTAAGTTGTGTGCTGCGTTCTTTGGGGTTGTACTAATGAACGTTAGATCATCGGTAATTTGGGTACCAGTAAAAAAGTGTACGATGTAGGCCTAGGCCGCGCATATATCTTTTGCTTCGACATGGTGTCGGCAGACATAGCAGTAAGGCTATCGATCGTGTATCATTTTGTATCTCACCAAAGACCGAAGTTAGATTAATTTTCTTTATTCAAATAGTTTTTTTCGGGGGGGGGGGGGGGGGGGGGTTGACAGTTTCCAGCCCACTAGTATAAACATATTTAATGACTAGAGGGGGATTTATACTGATTTGATATGATTTGCAACCGCACAAAAACAATTCTTGCCCAACTGAAGCAAGCATGTGTTTCTGAAAAACGACTTTTTGAAATGATTATCTGGTTGGTTCCTGGGTTCTTTTCTTTTGACAGTGCTCGGGATTTTGTCCCGAAATCATCAGCCATCAAAATTAATGTTCAAAATGAAACACCGAGCTGTACAGTGATAGCGCCCTCTTTTGGAATTAACCCTGCACAAGGAAAAGTAAGAACGATATAAATGAGTATGTGACTGTATTAAACGTGCTCAATTATCCGCTGAATCCGCTTGGAAAAGTTAGCACATCGGATAAGTGAGACCGTTAGTTTCACCGGTGATGCGACCCAGATTCATAAAACAAAAACTCTTTGTTCAGAATCAGTGTATGGCATCGCAAAGGATTCTGGGTGCTTATTCAAGCATTGATGAATGTGATGACTGACATCACAATTGACATCGAACTCTCCTGAATTATACTTGTCAAATTATTTCCACAAATATAACAAAAGACTACTATATAACACCTGATTAAGAATTCAGATTAAAAAGGGTTGTATATTATATTTCCCCAACATGTCAACCTTCTTTGACGATTGATCCACTGCGCCCCCAACTGAGGGCAGTGTGTTATCTGTAGTGTGGACTCGTGTGTATCCTGATGTTTGTGAATTTAATTGTGAAAACGGTGGTAACTTGATTTACAGAGCGATCATGTTTTTGTTTTTTCATAGAAATACATAAACCGTCATGTGGACCCCCTCCTCCCCCTGCTGTGACACCCGAAACAAATCTGACAGTGAATTTTGCAGCGCCCCCCATTGAAAGTATGTACGAGCCCCCCCCCCCCCCCCCCCCCCTCATTGATTTTACGAAGGTCAGTGGCTGGAGAAAAAAGTGTCAACATTTCAGCATTGACTGCTGATAACCTCCCCCCCCCCCCCTCCTGCAAAACATCCTGGATCTGCCCCAAATTTACAGGAAAAGCAGATTGGACAGTATTATAAGATGGAATTTTTGCGTCGGGTGATATAATATAAATCAAAGTAGGTCTTGCCCTTCAAGATTGGACAGGAAACCACAATCGAATCGTTGCTCGACTAGCCCGCCATCACTCGGTTTATTCAACGTCATTGATCATTAAAACGAGACAAACGATCTTGACAATAACTAATACATTAAACTAAGTAAGAATGAATTTGAATTGTATTTTACAATAGAAAGGCTCGATGGATCGTATAGTTTTAGTAATATTCGGTAAAAGAAGACCAAAATAGAGAAAAACCGGGAAGGATGGAATATTCAGAAATGGATTGTTTCCAGTTTTTGTGCCACAATAGTGTCACTATGGTTCGCATGGGCCTATTTTTCAATCGTCTCTTTTTCAGGAATGATTCAGTAAAATTAGCATGCAACGTTTCTTCATGAGCTGTACCATCTTTAAAATGAAAACAAAAGACAGTCACTTGACATTTTGCGTAATCATTTCCTCCTTCGGTGGTTTGTTAAAAGTCAGCAAAGTTATTTACAAAATAAACATGCGTTTCAATCCGTGAGCACACAGACAAGATTGCTATCTTTCTTACAATTCTATTTCGATTTTAAACACTGGAGTAATTTCCATGAGAATCCTTTCAGTTCCAAATAGCAAAGTGGAGAGTCAAATTTCATGATGTGTGCCAGTGGTATTTTGATGTTTAATGTCGGCAAAAACAATATCAGTTCGATAAAAAGTGTAAAATTAAATGTTTATAAAGGCGTTCCATATGGTAATTCGAACAAGATTTATTTCATGTTTCTCAATTCTCGTTGAGGGTTTTCCTTACGGTTTGATCACCAGACGCATTTTCATGCTGCAGGCTTTAAGGGAATGCGACTCGCCTCTCCACTTGTCCCACAAAATACCGTCAACCTCGGTGCCAGTATTTCCACCAGGGACATACACGCCATTCAAGTGAGCCACATCACAGTCATCAAACCACCACGCCCCATCACGATCGTTGGCACAGTTTCGTCCCGATCTCCCATCATTGTCGTTGTCCTTTGTCGTAAACGGCCATCCGTCGTGGTATCTCATTGCGTTCCCTGCAGTGCTGCTGTCGTCATATTGGTCAATATGAAGGGTGAAGTTGTCTCCGGAGATTTTGAAGTCTCCGTACTAAGCCCAAGCCGTGCTTCCATTCCAGTCCTCCAGATCAACCCGTAGCTCCCACTTTCCCTGACAACCGTCAGCGGTAAGTTTGGCCAAGTTGTCATTTCCGAGCCAGAACTCACCGGACAGATCGCCAAAGCCAGACTGGTACTCGGCCCAGTTAAGGTAGAAGTCCACACTGCCATCTTGTCGCCTCTGAAAGACGATCCATCCCCCGCCGTCAGTTTCCATGTCGCAGTAGACCTGTAAACCATCGCACCAGCCATCTGGGTAGATCGTATAAACACCGCTGGAGTTGAAGCCCGCCTTAGTAAGAGTTTGGCAATTTCGTCGGAATTGAGGACATGGGAGCATTGCCGTGCATTCACGTGGGCCAAAGTACTCACTGCCTTCATGTTCAAGGAATGCATCTGGGTGCTCATATCTCGTGGCCCTGTTGAGTTCACACAAGGAATTATCCTTGTAGAAGTTAAAAGATCTGCACTTCTGATCTGCGCTGCAGTCTCTTCCGCAGATGACTCTTGAACCGACAGTTTTCGTTGTGTAGTTGACGTTTTTCAGAGCTCTGTTTTTGCAAGCATAAAACGTCTGTTGACGTCTGCAAGGAGGCGTACATCCGGCAGTCACACAAGAGACAGTCGCCATAAAAACAAACATGAACACAAGACGAGCATTTTGAAGATGACTAGTAGGATTTGCCATATTTCAAGTTTATAATCGGAACAGTTGTGAACATTTAAAGGTGTCAATAAATTTTCATGAGCTGCAGAATTAACGGAGGATTCAAAACACTTTTTTTCTGACAAAATGTTCAGTTGGTAGTGAGAGCTTTCACGAGAACTGCCTCAAGCCCACAGAGCTGCGTGCTATCAGCGCAAAGGCGGTCGACTATTCCTGGGATGTGATTGGCTATCCGAAACGCGCACTGCCGTTATGGTTGAAGACGATTGGTCCAGGCTCATCCATTATGCAAATTGGGGGCAACTCGCGATCGTATAATATACGGCATCCATTAAGTATCTCATTAATATTTTACCTGGTTTTATCCAGTTCGGTTAAAAACGATAACGTGAAGTCTCCCATTATTCATCTCCCCTGAAAATTCAATTGAAGCAAAATGCTGCACACAGCACACTGTGTGACGACGTACTATTGATTTTTATTTTTAAAAATATCAAAATCGGTTTAAAAGAGAAACCTTGGCCTGGATTTCTTAGGGCCATTTTCAATTGCCAGGATCTGAATCATTGCACAACGCATAACGTGTTTTGGAAGGGGATTTCGCACGACCGGATCGGAGCTAGGGCTGGACCAATAATATTATTTATGAAAGGAGACACATTGGCTGCAACGCGCATTGTATCATAATTATGGGCAATTGGGCATTTACTTCGGTCATCAATTTTGCTGTAGGCTTAATTGTTCGATTTACTGTATAGATAAAGGGACGCGTATCACAGGACAATAGGCCAATATGCTTGCTCAAGTACTGGGGGATATTAACGTCGAAATTGTTAAAGCAATCACCAATCTTCAGTCCATTAAGTGATCCATTTTGTCAAGTGGGAAATGTAGCTCGGTTTGTGCCTTTGTGGACAATAACTGCCGCATGATGAATGAATGTCAACTTATAATCCAGCAATTTTTCATAAATGGTAAATAAAAGTACAGTCCCCGCAAAAACTCACCCATCAAAGACTATTGTACCATGTGTAAATAGAATGAACATCATCTCCACTAAATCTAGCAATTTGTTTTTTTTTCAAAGTTGGAATTTATTGCCAAAAAAAGGGCAAGCCTTGAATAACCAAGTGCAAAAAGTAACCGAATGTGACATAAACAAAATTGTTTTGTACAATAAGTATAAATATCGTACATAATGAGATATTTTGACAAAACTCATACAGAAATTTACATCAGAAAATTATAACGGGAAAAAGCAAATTTTGTTAGGATTAGATATCAGAGTTAGTTTGTGGTGACCCTTTAAATAAAACGTTCAACACACCAAGAGTGCACGAGTCACTGCTGCAAAAATAATTCATGAAATGTAGCTTAAAAGGTTGCCCACAAAGCTTTTGTTTTGGGAATGGGTATAAATGAAATCTTGTACTTATAGTCCAGAATGGAGATCCACTGTTGAAATGCTGCAGACTTCCCGCTTTGTACAAGAGTTCATTCAAAATGTTCAATCTACAAGATTTGCAGCTAAATATTTGGGAAGTCTTTCGTTTGATTACAATAATAAATGTCTTGATAAAATGCATTTTTTTTCATCATAATATAGTACATTTTTTGCCATTTGACGAGGAAGCATCTATGTTAAGGTTGCCTCATTGATGTTTTCTTTGCTTTTTCTTCATCAAATAGAATTGTCAGCTAGTTGGTCCATGCCATCGATCGATGCCTGGATATTGTGTAAGACAGCAGCATGGGCAGCATCATACGCCATTTGGATTCCTCTCGTTGAAGACAGAAGTAGCTATAGGATCAGGAGATCACACAGATATCCATAGGAACAAGGAAATGACTAAAACTCAACTGGAACTTGTTTTCTATCAAAGTACATGTAAGTAATTTGAACTTCTGTATTGCTAAATTTTCTGATTTAAAACTAACACTTGCACAATACTAAGTTTATAGTCAAAAGAAAAGGCGCAGCTTCAGACCAGTTTTGTTTCGAGGTAAACATTTGCAGGCCGTAATTTTCGGAATGTTAAAATTGAAGGTCAATTTTTTTTTTAAATATATTTCTTGTCATTTTGGTGCACATATTGAGGTATACTTGATTTGGTTTGAGGTAGGGTGTATAAGAGCCCCCCTCCCAGCAAGAAAACACTTTCCTCGGCCGTCTTCTTTGGATTCTTGGCCGTCAGTGCTAGGCTCGTTCGTCGGTTGGACTTGTTGGGTTTAATCAAATTCAATGCTCGCTCCTGTGAAAGGAAAAGGAAGAAAATACCAAGACAGTTATAAACATACAACCGTTAACTGGCAGATAATTGCAGAGACAGAAAACATCCCACTCTCCATTCCACCCCACCCCTATCAAAATAACCCACGATTTCCTTCTGACTTTTATCATCTTCTGTTAATTTCCCATCGATTTACAGATAGACCAGCACCTTTGGTTGGCTAACATGTATTACTAGGCCGGCCGGCCACGGTGACACGTTATTATCAAGAGTTATACTTGTTTGGGGAGACAGGGTAGATTAAGGAGGGATTTGAATGTCTCCTAATGCTTCAAGTCCTATTTCTAGGCCAAAGTTTAATGTCGCAAATAGGCTATTAATCGATTTCTCGTGATGCAAAACCCAAATTTACAAAGCTTGGTAAGGGTAGGATAAGGTAAAGGTTAGGGGTCATTTAAAAGTTAGGATTTTTTCGTGCACAAGTGGGAATGTCCCCCTGTAAAAGCTACCATTTCCAAAAATAATACTTATTGTCATCATTGTTATTTCTAGAACTTAAATTAACGATTCAAAAGAGACAATACGTAAGAAAATCACTCCGAAATAATACTCAGGTTTAAGTTGGCGTTGTGGTCAGGATTTGGAATATGATTCAGTACGTGAAAAATAAGCTTTCGGTGTATTTATTTGAGTACATTATGTATGGTCTGAGTTTGGCTTTGGATAAAGTTTAGGGTTGAGTTGAAGATTGCTCCGGGTCGTAGTTTCTACTCCATGCCTATTCGAGTATGGACATTAAGTGTATATACTTACCGTGGTCTCCGTTCACTTCAGTCGTTGGCCTGCTCACTTTCCTTTTCTTCTTCGACTGCCAAACCCAGCCACCAATAAGGAGGCCGATAATGGCCACACCACCCAAGGAGCAGAAAACACTGATGAGGATTATGTCTGTTTGAGACAGGCCGGGCTTGTCTGTGGGAGAACAGGCGGGACAGAAATGTGTCGTCATTTTGATCATGGTTGTACGCAGTTCCAGAGGTGCCATTTTAGATTCGTGGATGATTCTTTTATCTAAGGATCATGTGACCAACCTGGATGTGAATGGTCACTTGTACAGTTTGTAAAAGTATATGTGTATCTTTCACGGCACGTCTAGTACATGAAATAACATTGTCGCAAAGGTATATAGCGCATGGCGGAGGTTGTTCGATGCTTCACTCCGATTGAGAATTGAATCCCTCTGGAAAGCCGGACAATATAATCAATCCATTTCGCTAAGTAAACATTGTTAATTGGCACGATAACGAACGAGATTTCTTTGATAATAATAAGGGCCGGTAAAATTGAGTGTCATCTACCTGTGGGTGGCTGGTAGTCATCTGGTTTGAACAGGATGTATTCGTCTCCTTTATTTGGCACCAATAGGTATCCCTTCCTGGCCTGTCTGCAACAGTAAAACTCGGAATTGTAAACGGAGAAATCAAAAGCAACGCATTGGTCGTTCGGATCGTGTTTCCAGGCTCGACACAGAGATGCACAAGTATTCGGTGTATTTACCAAGTCTTTCCTCATCACGGAAGAGTCGTTGAGACGCACGTCGAAGAACGGATTGTATTCAATGACATATTCATCTATGTAAAAAAAAAAAACACACACACACACACAATAAAGAAAGGAAAAAGTAGGTGAAATAAAGAAATAAAAGGATTATCTTGTCGGTTGTAACAAATTGATTGACACCTCATGCAGCGCACAATTCTTAGCTCATACGCTAAAATGTGCCCCTCTCGTGATGGAGACGTTGTCATGGACAGTGCACAAGTACGCCCTCAACGGTGACAAAGCGGCATTACAGATATTTTTAATGCCATTCAAGCTCTTCCAAACGTGTTGTTAACTTTATTCCCAAGAGGGAGATATTTGCCTATTTGAGATATAGCAGACACATTAGGACTGCGTTGTTTGGTTTAGGTACAGTTTTTGTATTTACCCAAACCATATAGCGCCCTCCCATCGTGTCCACAATCTCAAATAGGCTATGGTGCTAACAAGTACTTATAACAAGAGTCTGCAAACTCACCACAATACAACTCGTCGCTCCTCCCGTAGCAATCGTGAGCACCGTTGCATTTGGAACTATGAGGAACACAGGCACCACGTCGACACGTGTAGCGACCATCACTTTCACAATCGTTATCCTCTGGAAGCAAGAAAAAAATACAAAATCATCCCCCAAAACGACAAGGATTATAACATCAAATGCTAATGATTATGTATTGTGTGTTAGCATGTCTAACATTAATTGGTACAATAAAAGATAATCACCAATCATGCACATTACGTTTTATATATTATGTGAGCAATTGCAAAGTTTATGCGACCCCGCGGCCCGAGCACTAGCCAATCAAGTATGAGTTCGTGAAAAAGTGACGAAATAAGTGTCATCTATACTAGTACCTGTTGGGAAGTTATGATCTGGTGCGAAGTGGACGTATCCTTCTTCTTCATTAGGCACCAATTCGTATCCCTTTCTGGCGCGCTTGCACAGGTAATAAGAATTGTAAACGGAGATATCAAAGGCAACGCATTGGTCGTTCGGATCGGGAGTCCATTCCCGACACAGCCGTGCACAAGTCTCAGGTGTATCTACCGTACTTTGCTGCATAACGGAAGAGTCGTTGAGACGCACGTCGAAGAACGGATTGTATTCAATGATATATTTATCTGTGTGAACAAAAACCAATGAAATTTAATTGAATAAACAAAGAAGTGAAATGCCTCACTCAGACGCTAAAAATGTGTCTCTCTCATTATGAAGACCTTATGGTGGATTTGAGTTATCAACGGTAACAAAGATACAAATTTTAAGTATTGCAGATATTGTTTAACAACCTTGGCATTCAAATTCTGCCAATCGCACTTCAGTTCTGCCAAGTGCGTTTCAGTTCTGCCAAACGCGAAATTAATCCAATGGCGTTTAAATTAAGCCAAACGCATTTCGATTCTTCCAATTCTTGTGTATCTTTAAAAGAGAGATATAGATATGGTGCTCCCAAGTACTATAACTCACCACAATACAACTCATCGCTCTGCCCGAAGCAATCGGCAGCACCATTGCATTTCAAACTGTAAGGAATACAGCTACCATTTCGACACATGTAGCGACCATCACTTGCACAATCGCTTTTCTCTGTAAACAAGGATAATAGCATTGAAAATACACACAATGTATGATAATGATTTTTGTTCTGCTAGGTATCGTGTGGTTAGAATTTCTAACATTGGTACATAAAAGATGATCACTTTGCATGCGCTCATGGAGCCCTCCATTAATGGCGAATTGTGCATCCCCCGAAACGACAAGGATTATAAATGCTAATGATTATGTATTGTACATGTATTGTGTGCTTAGCATGTCTAAAATTGGTACATAATCACCATGCATGCACTAGTCTGAGTATCACCTGTTGTCCACCAGAGCCCCTTCCTAACGTTTTATATAAGTTTGAGTACAGACATTTCACGACGAATTTAAACATTCAACCATAAAGACACGTCCTTTCCCTATGATTCAACTATACACAACTTCCAATCAATATATCATGCCTATATGGGTAAAGCTAAACAAAAGAGTCCGTGTCAAGTACTAGTTTTTTGGGTTTTTTGGGTTAGTCAGTTTCACATTTAAATAACATTCATTTGATAATGAAGTATATTTTTATAGCGAGTCTTAGATTTCTTTTGGTTCACGAGTACCTACCTTGAAAAGACTGGCTGGTCCGTATCTGGGTCACGACCAGCACAAGACCCAAGGCTGTAGCGACAACACCTGGCAAACCCATGCTATTGAAATCACCGTCTCTGCCAACAAATTAAGACAAAATCTAATTCAATGCCGACAAAATTATACCAAAGCTTGAAATTATAAATTCGCGGATTCTGAAGTAAGGTGTCGATGTATGGTTCTGAGAAGAAGCAAAGGAGTGGTTTTTAATTTTGATTAGGAAGTTTTGGCCAATATGTTCTGACCGTCATCGAAAAGCCGTCATTGCATCGAAACGTTCACATCATCTTGGCCGTATCTGGAAATAGCCGTTATACTTCTAGGCTCACATTGCATATCAGTATTCCCAAAAATGTACTAGGAAAAACTGGCAGTGAGCAATTCGATATTCAGTCTGAATAAATCTCGAATGCAACTCTAACCTTCCGGAAATGTTTCAGCAAATTGTGCAGTTGCAGGATGATCGCATGCCAACATGCACGCCACTTTCTGGTCTGAACTGGCACTGTGATCTCCAATCCACATTTAAATACTGCGTGAGCGTGAACTTTGGAACACGTTTGACATCACAAATTAAAGCTATACTGACGCCTGAAAATTACTAGTAAAAATCCACAACGTGAGTCATCCACAATGTTCGCAGTACTAAGCCAAACTTTTCTAATACTCGAAATTCGTGAATGGCCATAATACTTCACAAAATGACATTGTAATTTCTTTGCAGTGGCCATGCATGTATTTATCCCGTCAACGCAATAATTACGAGTTACTGTTTAAACAACATTGCTCGGTAAAAATCGACTGTTTGTTGGTCAGGGTTGTCGATTAAGTCCGTTGGTCGATTGTTTAGTCGATTGGTGTCATATTGTGTCTTGAATAAAAAATTACAACAGAGAAATTCAGTTTCGGTTATTCATGATCCTGTAAATAGTTTAAAGGTTATATATTCAATGACTTTAATAATGGTTCGTTTTGCAATTTGTCTTAAAAAAATATATAACTGACTGGCAGAGAAAGGCACGTTGATCCAGTTATCAAATCGTTGATAAGGACACGTTGAAGCCTACCTTATGCGGCAAAAGACTTGATCGGTTTTTCTTATTCAAGCTAGCTGCAGCGATTCGATTTCGACAGGCTGCATAGCCACTATTATAAAAAACGCATGACACAAGCCCCGGCGTGGGACGGGATGTGACTGCTGTAAGTATATGCACGAATACCCATCAACCACGTTGGAGTATCGGACTCCAAGGCTGCAAATGATTAATGATAAAAGGGCTTGGTTCTGTCAAATATGTTCTATTCTAACGTCATAAACATGAATAAAACTGCTGCAGAATGCTCTCTGACTGGATTGACCTGATTATTATCAAATCAAAGCAAATTAAGTCGGCCTGAGGTTGCGATCTTAACAGGATCTTCAGAGGCAAAGTCGTCAGAGTGTAACGTCAGGGTTTCCTCTTTACTCGTTGAACCCCAAACCAAGCTCCACTCGCAAAACTCTCTTTCGACCAAACCTTTCTGCATGGACAAGATGATAGTTACCTTTAAATGGGTAATTAATTAACCCAGTTTAGATTATTTATTATTGAATGTTATCATTGAACTTGTGACTCTGTTTTTTTTTTTGTGGAAAGCTATTTGAAGTGTGGTAAGGATCGCCATGTACTTTGCACCTTCCCCTTATCAAAATATAGCCACACCCCTTGTGAAGGAAATTTTTTCTTTTTTAACTCAGGATCTGGAAAAGTTGAATTTAAGTTCACCTGGTTCGCTTGAACTTCTGGTATCCCGCCGTACACTAGTCTGTGGAATAGCCCAATGCAAGGGCGGATCCGGGGGGGGGGCCAAAGGGGGCCATGCCCCCCCCCCAAACGAAACCAATTTTTTTTTTTTTTATGTGGCGTCGCAATAAAGGCAGACAATGAGTACACCGCCATCTTTTCCTCAAAAAACATTGGTTAAAGTGGTCAGAAACTGCCTCAGATCGCACCACAGAGCATCTAGAATCCAAAAACTTTTCGGGGCCCTTAAGCGGGCCCCGAACCCCGCGCCGTAATTTTTTTGACCCACTTTTTGGGGGGACCAAAATTTTTTTGGCCCCCCCCCCAAAAAAATTTTTGTTCTGGATCCGCCCTTGGCCCCATGCACAGCAAGGGTCTATGATATGCGAGCAGATTCGGTGATTAATTATGAAAGACAAGACTGCGTTTTGACCTCGAGATTCTGACCATTTAGTAACCCGCTGTTGTATTACAAAAACATAGCATATACAAATTGACCAATCAACAGCTTAGTCCATATTTCTGATGGAAATGACGTCATGGCCGCGGAATACCACTCCGATTTGCTGGCGCGCGGTGTCGCATAAAATGTACATGCTACGATATATCAGCCGTTCACCCGTGGCTTTGCCCACGTGAATGTCTGGTCCTCGGACTAGTCAATAATTACTTCGACAAAATAACTTAAAAGCAACTCGAAAGCTTTCATCAGATTGAAGCAAATTGAAAGAGGATTATTTGTGTTTAACAAGACGTCTTCATTTGCATGTATAGTTCTTATTTATGCTAATAAATTGTTTTTAAAATGCAATAGGAGATACATGTATTGTCATTTCTACACCAATGCACTTTTTTAACGTAGGCCTATCTGACTATTGAATCCGATGAGTCAAAATATGGAAATTTTTCAAAGTACCAAAGCATTCTTTCATTTTGAATGGTTGCATTTTTGTTTTCTCGATATTCCTTTTGGTTCCACTTTCGGAGTTCAAAGTCGAGACTCAATATCATGGTTGAATTTACTTTGGTCGGCGTGTAATCATTAACTATGGGCGGAGACTCGAGGCTTGAAGAGAAATGTCTGCACGAGTTAATCATTGAGTTGGTGACGCGTTTCGTAATCCTTGCCCTTGCAACAAGCCAAAAGGGGTGAAACAAAGTTCAAACTCAAAAAATAAAAAATAATAATGCAACGCAGTTAAACTTTTTTATGCGGTCAAATTAATGGTAAAAATGGACTTCTTAAAGATTATGCTTTAGCCTCGAATCTTCGTAAAGAGTTTTAAAAAGGAGTCATAGTATTGCAGTACTATAACGTCTCTATTTATACACTATATGGTGTAATGTTTGGTAACATGTGAGGGAAGATTTCTGAATTTTCTTTTCGATTACTCGGTTTCGATTTATTCCAAAATTCTGTAAAATAGAGCTTTAAGAACATTTCCGGAAGCCTAATTGTGAATGGAAAACAGACATGAGGAAATTATATTTGAAATATCAGGTAGGCTCAGTGAAATAATTGCCTTTCTGTTACAGTAATTTGAATTGTAGATACTGACAATTGATATCACTGAATATTTATTTTGGTACACTATGCCGTGTTTGCTAAATATGCTCTTCGTCATTGATGCAAGCGACTCTCCATTCAGTCGATACAGTGATGGATTTTTGATAAACTAAAAAAAAAGAAGTGGTTATGGTTTATTTGATTTCATTTTTGTGCCAAAAGGCCGAACTGTGGTTTAATTTACAATTTTTACCTAAAAAATCGTTATACACTAAAAGAACTATATTCGTCATGATATTAAAATACGTTAAAAATTGGGAAATTACAACAACAAGTACACTAAGTAAAACAATTTCATTACGATAATCTAACAAAATTAAAAAGAAAGACAGAATAAGAAATCTACCTTTTGCTTTCATTTATGCCCCTTTTTCGAGTGAAGGTTTGGTAAACAAAAGTGCTTTGTGATTATAAGTGAAATCTGGTTTTAATTAAAGCGTGGAACAATAAATTATTTACAGGCAAATATTGAAACTTGAAATGTATGGCAGGCGGTTGTAGAAGGTACTAGATGGTACTTCATTTTGTGTTTAGAAGTAAAAATAGCCCCTGAAAAAAGGCTTTCCTTTGAAACAGATAATGCCTTTGACCCCTGCATATATGTCCGAAGTCCACACAATGGTCATTTTTTTGCTGGGTGTATAGCTCGGGGTCACCTTGTTTATTGCAGTCGTTGTCATATAAAGCAGGACTACATAGAGGAGAGAGAATCTCTACATCCGTGAAACTGTGTTGATAAGGTACGTGTCGGTTCTCACGTTGAAATATATTCACGTACGTATTATACTATAGGCCCCTAATTAGCTTTAAGAAATGATTTTGTCAGTGTAGGACTATACTAAAGCCTTTATCGTCATAATCCAGGCTGTTTTGTGCATGCTTGGGGCCAATATATAAAATACCGAACCGATATTGTTCCGTTTTGTCTTAAGCGGAATGCATCATCGAGTAAATTGCGATTTATCCAGATGAGTTACATGTAATTCCTTCACTGACTTTTTAGGCCGAGAGACAAATTGTTTACTTTCCTAAATTTGTCTTTAAGAATGAGTTTACAGTGTGAGGTTAACTGTAACTAATAAAAGAAACACACTGTTTTGTAGCCTATAGCCCATTGTTAAACAAGAAAAAACGAAGCTGTGAATACAACGGTCAAGCTTGTAATATTGTAGCGTAAGTGTCGATTGGGGGTCAGTGTCGGGACACAATGAGAACCACAGTGTCACACAAGCCCTGATGTCTCATGAAAACACTGGTTTTATTCCTCGACTTACTGGGTACAAAAACACCTTCTTTTCACATCAAAACGTGACTGAACTCAGCAAGGAAACCCGTGTAGAACAAGATTGCACCCACAAACGGGCTTTCCTGTCTCTTTGGCAGGGGCATTTGTCCCGCGGCAGTCAATGCAGAATAGCGGCCTTAATCGGCTCAACACTACACAATAGATAATGATAATGATTAACTACAAAATAAATAAGGTAATTTCTCTATTGAAAAAAAAGGTCATTTTGAAACAAGTCGATTTTATCCATTATTAATTTTGGATCCCCTCATGTAAAAGGTCTGCCGAAATATGATTGGTTTTGCAAACATATAATCCGTTTTGCTTCATGACAGAAGATACGTCGTCATAGCTTATGACTACCATGACTTAAAAGTGAAACATAATAGCCTAAACATTAGATTAGAACATTGGCTTGGTTTCGCATATCACCATTGAAAGAGAAAAAAAGTTATCCGGTAGAACAGTATCCCATGTCACTTGTCTTGTTTTTGAGCCAGTTGCGTTATTCACACTTGAACTATTATAATCAAATTGTTTTTGTCCAATCTAGCTAGGAAGATTAGTCAACATGAATGAACTGTTAACCCAGAAAGGAAATACAATGGAGATCTCCCTGATTTCGCTGCTTTTCACGTTGCTGGCATTGGTGGGAACCAGCCACTCTTACCAAAGTAAGGCCAATAAACTCAGTAAACAGTCGTAAGACATTGCGAAATCGAGTCACGTGATGTGCAACTCTTTCAAAATGCTAAGTTGCAAAATAGACTGTACACCTCAATATTGTGATAATTAATTTGCATTGCTTGCCATGCGCCCTGATGATTCTAAGTTCCATGTAGTTCACGTATACATGAAGGAGTGGCATTTCTGCGCATGTTAATAATTAAGTTTACCCTGCTTCAGAGGTCATAAGGTCAAAGATACCGTGGCCCTTCTCTGACCCTATAGACAAAATGAGCTATAGACCATTATCATGTTGCCGCCATCTTGATTTTTTCCCATTCAAATCAACGTAACCAAAGAGAGGCTGGAAGGAAAAATAGTCTGGTTCCTTTTTGCATAAAAAACATTATCATTCAGTACTGTTATTGGATACAGGTAACATGACTGAAATGGTGGCAGCATGATAAAGGTCTATTGCAGCAATTTTCGAACTCAACAATACCACATATATTTTTCCAATAATAAAAATGAAATGTGAGGATGCGTGTCCTTTATGAATTTGCTTCCCTGACTGAGTTAGTCTTATAAATCATTCGTTTCATAAAACCTAAGGGAAAAACATGCATTTAAAATGATCTTTATTGATACACATGAGATACACAAAAAGGTGAAATTGCTGGGGTTTTTTTTTAAGAATCCTGCCTTAATATTTTTTTTTGTGCTTTCAGATCATTCCACGTGTGGCCAGCAGAAAGTGTTCGTTAGCAGTGATTTGTTGATAGTAGGCGGTAAGCCAGCTCAAGTTGGCGAGTGGCCCTGGCAGGCGTTGATGATACGCGATGGGGTCGGTGTATGCGGAGCGACACTGATTGACCTGCAGTGGGTCCTGTCGGCTGCACACTGTGTGTAAGTTAGTAATTAGTGCGGTTTGCGGGTTTGCAATGTTAACTTTTTTGTATAATTACTTGAGCTATTTTTTCTATCTCTCCCAGGATTACGATTCCAAATAAACCAGAACTCTTCACCTTCAAGATGGGAACCAATTCATACAGTACCGACCCAGCGAACACACAGGTCAGAACAGCCAAAGAAATCTTCATGCATCCCGACTACGTCATCTGTGATACTGACCATGATTCGGACATAGCTCTCTTCAAGCTGGAAGAGCCGTTCAATTTGACAGACTACGTGCAGACTGTGTGCTTACCGACCACTGATATGGCGGATAAGTTCCCTGTTGGCACGCAGGTTACTGTGACAGGCTGGGGAAGTACCGAAAATTGTAAGTGCCCCCCCCCCACCAACACCACCCCCTGTCCCTCCCCAACACACCCAAGTGTGTATTTGCCTGCAATCGGGGACCCCTGTTGTCCCTCTTTTGTTTGTACCCAATAACTTTTTAGGAGGACCTCCTATTATATGTTTTGTACACATCGCCAAATTGAGGACCTTCGGGAACTGGGGGCCCTATAATTGTCCTCTATTGTTCAACGTCCCCTATGGAATGCAGAAACAAACTCACCCACCCATTCCAAAACACATTCCCGAAAAGGAGAAATTATCAATGTGATTTCAATCTAGTTTGATCCCATGCCAATCCTTAAATCAAACGTCATGCAGGTCAAGAGACCGACTGTTTTCTTCAATTTGTCCACGTGATTTTGGCTTCAACCAAAATATTGTTTTCATTGTCTGCAATGCGCGAAGAATGTCATACAGAAGGATTTAGGAGTGGAACGCTCCAAGTCTAAAATTTGACGCATGCAGCGACTAATCAAAATAGTAAGCATTTCAATAACTTATTATCTGGAACTTAAGACCACATCCATCCCACCATGAGAAACTGCTATCATTAAAATAAATTCCGTATTGGTTTCCTTTCCCTCAAAACACATTCTTCTTGGATTTCTAGTTCTTCTCTTTCGCCCATAATTCAGCCTCTCGTAGTAGCGAGGATCTGCTGGAGGTTTCGCTTCCCATAGTCGATCAGGACGACTGCAAATCCACGTACGAGAGCGAGGATGTGATCATCACTGAGAACATGCTGTGCGCTGGGGAAACCAACGGGGGCAAAGATTCCTGCGGGGTGGGTTGATCATCAAGTAAAATTATGTAATATTTACTTTGTAGCAGGAACCGCCATTTTTGATCGAGAGTGAGACAGTCCTTGCTTAGACTCTGGCGTGGATGCTGTTTGAGCAATAACCATGTACTCAAATGGGTGGATACTGTGCAATCCCTCATCAAGACTCGTTTGCCCTGATGGCAGTGTTTATATGTCGTCTTCATTTTTTTGGCTAATCCCAAAGGACCGGCCTATAGTGTTCTATTATATCTACCTTACTGACTGAGTGACTGACAGACTGATTGTCACGTGTGACGTAGACAGGTCGTAGACTGGTGAAGAGTAGGCCTACCCGGCAGTGCTATCTTATAGGACTACCCCAAAAACGCAAATGACTGGGCAACATCAGACCAATGTGCAGACAAATGCAAATGCTGTTAAGAGCAAGTTCTGAATCAATTGAAAAGAAATTGCGTGCACAGTGCACAGCCAAGTGTCTTTGTATCTATCTCACTGACTGACGGTCACTTGGCTTGACATTTGTAAAGATGTTCAATTATTGTTGAAGAACACTGCTATATTTTGTAGGGTGATAGTGGAGGACCGTTGGTCACTCAGTACGACGGCAAGTGGTTTCAGGTCGGCGTGGTCAGTTTCGGCTATGGCTGCGGTGTAGCTGGGTATCCCGGAGTTTACGTTCGACTGACAGCATTCCAAGATTGGATCGCTCCGATCTTTGATGGGGAGGACCCAGATCGTCGTAAGAAACGTCTTAAACTCGTTTGTTAACAAACTAACCACTTGCTCGTTTAAGTCGTCAATTGTGCATGTTCCGTATTTCATTTAGGAGTAGTATTGACAACTTAAAGAGCGAGTAAACGTGTGCATAAGTATAAAAAAAAAAAAAACGAAAAGGCAATCTGATTATTGTAAATGGTCAGAGGAGAAATTTCTTATGAATGATCGGATGTAAAATTAACTTCATGGACATTTGACCCTTATTCTCGCAGAGGACAGTAACTGCACCGATCGTGGTCTGTACAGATGTTACTGTGGAGGCTGTATACCATATGATGCAAAGTGCGATGGAGTCAAAGATTGCTTGTCTAACAGCGACGAAGCGCCGTATTCCCGTTGTGGTATGTATATGAGCTATATGTCTTTGCACAGTCACGGGTTGATCCAAAGCAGACCTTTTTAATTGCGAATTTCTTGCGGATGACGTGGTCTTGTTTTGTGTATTGGCGCTTTTTTCATTGTTGAGGAAAGTCACAACTTTTGTTACTTAGCTTAAATAAAAACACGTGATGAGTTTTCCATGCTGCGATCACGTACGTTTTTAATGTGAGACAATTATTGATGGCTTCCCTTAAAAAAACTTAGTACATTTTGTCATCAGCTTAATGCCTCAAATAATTGAAATGTTGAGCTTCATCCAACTGTTTTTTCCGTCTTGGTTAAACAGATTTCCCAATCAGCATCTTCGATCGAATCGACACGTTAAAACCGGGCTCGGTTTATTTCAAGATTCCAAACGAGGACGTCAGTCAAAAAGAATTCGTCCTGAATGAGAACGACTGCGCAGCCCTTTGCCTTGCGTCCGGTATCTGTGTGGCATTTGATGTTAGGCGTAGGGATCTGGGAGGCTACGAATGTGATATGGCTGGCCCAGGATTCAAACTGGTGGAGGAGTTCCATTCCAGTTGGTTTCCCGGTTATGCTGCTGATCATTACGAGCTTGGAAAGCTGAAGGGTAAGTTTGAAAAATGGCTGGCTCCATTTTGTAGTTAACACGTTCACCCCCTTACTCAAATTAATGTTCCTCATGTATGGTGATTCTGTGCGGAGTATTATACTACTTTATATTCTATGCCGTTGAAGATGTACTGTACACAGTGTCAGTATTAGTATTGGAGGTAACACCATTGTTTTGTTTTTTTGAGGTAGATCCTGAGCCAGTCATGCACATCAGCAGTCATCATGGCTTCATCGGATACCCCGTACAGCTCCCTGACCCTACCGATATGTCCGGTGTCTACGAGTTTGTCTGGAACATCGAGCCGAGAGATCAAGTCAACTCCATCACATTCCGCTTCACTGGCATCCACACGGACGAAACGCTCCACTCACTCCTCCCTTGCTCTAATTATCTGACGGTGGGCGATGAGGACGCTATGTGCTTGGCTCTGTACCAAGGCTGGGATTCCTTCACAGTGGTGGTGGATTCTCCACGAACCAGCGTCAAGTTGAACACCAACAATGTTGGCAAGAATGGATTCTTGGCCGAGTATACTACAGGTACGTATGGGGGAACAAACGAACACATACACATATGACATGTTCCGTAGTTGTGGGGACTACACGAGTTGTACTATGCACCACTGCAATGAACTTGATTAGGCCGGTTGTGATTTTGATGGACCAAGACAAGTTGAAAGTATAGCTCTTCAATATTCAAGAAGTAATTATTGTTTAAGAATTTCAGACTAATGCAATTAATAACGTTTATTAATACAGGCACCCGGGAGCCGGGCGCAGTGACCACAGGCACCCGAGAGCCGGACGCAGTGACCACAGGCACCCGAGAGCCGGACGCAGTGACCACAGGCATCCGGGAGCCGTACGGGTACGAAGACTTGAAGAATGAGCGGAACATGATGCGAGCAGCCGTGATAGGTGTCAGCGTTGTCGCTGGTGTTGCTGTCATGTGTCTGATAGTAATGGCATACTTACTGTTCACTAAACGAGGAGTTAAGGCTAGGGACACTCAAGACCCCAACGGTAAGTGAGTGGGCAACTGAGTGGAGCTGCTAATAGAATTTATTGCTTCGCACATAATGTGTTGAAGATGGTATGTCACCCAGAAAATAAATGCTCAAAGCGAATCGCTATAATTTCGATTAGCATGAATACTATTACTAGATAAAAGTTCCTCAGTGAACCCTTGCACATACAAACAAATCTCAGCCCACGATGAATTTACGCATCAAAGAAGTGTCATATTCTGAATAAGGAGCTGGTCATCCGCTCCTGAACCAAATAGGCTATTTTAACGAAGCATATATCTTTTTTGTGTGGTAGGCTACATGATGGAAACCAGATAGGCCTATTGCTCAGCGGAAAATTCTAAGGGTTAAGGCAACATGAAAAATTACTCTTTAATGTAGGCTACATACCTACTTAGCCCAAGTATCACTATAACTTTATATGCGTCTATATATCTTTTCATTTCTGTATTCTTTTATCTTACAGCATTCCCCGTTCATCCGATCGCGCAACCAGCAACCAACAATGGGCAGGATAACCTCGCTTTAGAATGACAACCAGTAACAACTTGCGAACGCCTCTAGTCAATAGAGCTTGATCAGGGTACGCCATCTTGATAATTAAAGCGAGGCATACAACACTAAAAAACATGGCGGCAGAAATAGTGTGTGCGGTGTGTGGCTCTTGCAAAGTTACAACAGATCGATGGATAGCTCAAATTCTCCGAAACATCAACATTCCCGTCTTATTGTATTTCGAAGAATAAAGAATCTTATAAATACAAAGCCCAAAATCTGGGGCCTAACTGAAGTTTCCGTACCCGTATTTTACCGTATAGCCATCGCTGTCAGATCAGAGAAACGATCAAGACTTTCTATTTTCACCATCCGCGGCTTTTTCTGAGCTGAAATTGCGCCTGTTTAGTAGTACTTACATAAGGGGGCTATCCGCGAATTGTAATTCGCACAGGACCTGTCATTTTCCAGAAATAACAGGGAAATTGGCGCCCGATGCGCGTAGTATGCGGGAACGTGAACAATTTCTCTTTGACTTCCATACGTTAGCGCACTGTACCCTGACTCGTTTAATTGCAAAATGACACGAGCCCTTCGCGATACCCGTCTATTTGTTGAACAGACGGGTGTCGATACCAGGGTACAGCGCACGACCGAAATTTTCCACTCGTTCATTCTACGCGTATCAAACTCAAGAACGGAAACTTCAGTTCAGCCACTGGTTTTGGGTTTTATATGGCTTTCTTCAAGATACAGTAAGATGTGACCGACATATAGAATGTTGATTGATGTTTCGGGGAATTTAAGCTATAGATATAGTCCTCGCCCGAACTTGCTTGTCCACACTGGAAATTGCGCCATCAAGAGACGGCAAGAAGGGGTAGTTTTTGAAGTTCGAATTATTGTAAAACGGTGTGTGTTATTTACAAAGATTCTGAAACATTTATATTTGTGTGATACCACGAAAAAGATCCCTCCCAGGTAACCACTAGGCGGCGTTCTGTGTGGAACAAAAAAAAATCAAATCGACACATGAATCAAAATAAAATCGATTAAATCGCAGTAAATGAAATCAATAACTTTGTCAAGTGCAACAACTGAAATGCATCGGATTTTTTCTTTTGATCATAACACTTAATCCATAATAAGTTCTTTTTTTTCGTTTCCATAGACTAGAGTAGGCCTATTTGAAAGTTGTATAATTTAAATGGTAACTTGAAAATACATGTACTTAAACGGTGTGTTATTAGACATAGGCTCTTCAGCGAAAATTTAAGCGGTCTGTTTTAAAACATAGCTAGTACTGACTAGCTACATGTAGGGCCTAGGTTTTGGTTTGTAAAAGATATTACAAATTAAGGTACAGTGAAATGCCGCTATAACGAACACAGCTATAACGAATATTTGGCTAATATATGTATTACGAACATATCGGGCCCTTTGGCTCCCACAATTGTTTTCGTTTTTGATGAAAGAACGCACACCTTTTTCTGTCATCCGTGGACAGAACTTTAAAACGGTGGTTGTGTTTAAAATTCCGTTACTTGAAAAGTACTAGAGTGATTTGAATGGTTCTTGTACACAAAGAAAGCTTATGAATTGGGCTTTCATATCCAAGGTTTTGAAAGTGCTACATGCAGAACTTCACTTAAACAACAGTCCCAACATTTGGGTTTTTGGTTTTTTTAATCACCCTGTAAATGTTGTGGGCAGTTTGGACGTTAAGACCTTTTTGATTTGTTGTGAGAGTCAAAATAACCAAACCGACAGATTAAGATCATTTTATGCCTTTGTTCGTACGTCAGTAAATACATCCATTGAATAATTGCCAAGCGTGGATGATAATTCCAATTAATGGACAGTGTTGAATGCCGTGAATAAGATCACAAGAGCGTCGATACTTGCCGTAGGTGCACAATCACGCTCACTAGATACTTTTTCCTCAGGAAATAATGAAATACATGTACTAAGCAGACTTTTCAATATTACAACTTTTTGTTATTTTTAATAATCAAGATGAGTTGCTTAATGTACAACAGCAAAACGGGTATCAATTTCACTGGCGTTAGGCGTAGAGTAGTGTCTTTGTATGGAGGTATACCATTTTGCAAAATCGGTAGAAATTTTTATATGTGTGAAAATACTGAAATAGCATTTTGATTGAATTTGTAAACCATGTTACTATTTTGAAACATGTTACATTCCACCAGTCCCAACTTATAACTTGAGACCAGGTGCGGTTCTAGAGCCTATATTTTAGGGAGGCTAACATAGATGGATCCAAAAATGTTTGCAGGGAGGCGTGCTGAAATGTAGAATTTTTTTCTCCCCGACACTTAGGTCTCCCAAAATCAATGGGGGGGGGGGGGATTTTCAATGTGGAGCGCTGATAATATCCTACAACCATGCACACTATATTAATGTATAGTTTACAAATCCCCCCTTCTCATTACAATTTTTTTTTGGGGGGGGGGGGGGGCATTCGCAATTGCTACTACACATGTACCGTGTTTTTATGCAATATTTTTTTTTGGGGGGGGGGGGCCTAGACAACAATTCCCGCCTGGTTGAGACTGCAAGTTGGGACCAACAACTGCACTGTACATTACCATTTTATGGTGATTATGGCAAAAACAAGTTATACTTGATATTAACTTCCAAATGCTGGGAAACTTGGTATTTAAAGGCTCTTTTTAATATTTACACGGTTCTACCTCATTAAATATAAACAATTTAACAACCTTAATTTATTTTTTATTTTCTCAACTAATGCCTGGTTGCCTATCATGTCCCAATTATGAAATTCCAAAACTTAGCAAACCCATATTCGTAAAAGTACCCTTGTGTTTAAGCACTTATTCCTAATTCCAATACAATTCAGAAGCTCCTAAATATTCAGTAATCAAGGGGCACTTTCTTCGTTGTATAAACAGACACGAGGCATGCTAGACTGAATAGTTACAGTACTAAATCCATCGAAACACTGCAAAGTGGGATGCTAAAAGTTGGGAAGAGAATAAGGCTACATGCAGTTCTGTTTATGTTCAATGTATATTATGCAGATTGTTAACATTTTCCATTGTAAAGTTGTAACCATGACAATGCACCAAAAGCCAATACCATGGATCTACCATTAAATTTCCCGTGAACAGAAAACAGTTCGAACTAAAGCAAAAACAGGTGTTCAGCCAAAACATTGTCTCAAAAATTGTCCAAACTGTAGTTGAAGACCTAACAGACGTAAGGTCTTCAACTTAAGTTTTAAAAAACCAGATTTTTTGATGTTGGGTTTAGTGACAAATAATCTATGGATGGCAAGTCAAAACTACAGACTTTTTTTCCCTCACAGTAGTGCAAAACCTTTTTCCACATGAAGTAGGCTGCAATTAACATACTGTGATGATAATACTGTGATGCAAATCACGTAATCCTACAACCCCAACTCCATTTTCACAAACATCTTGACATTGTGATCCTCAATAAGATCCAGTACTTTCGTTGCCTGTTCCTTGTCAAGTGGCGCATGTTCCTGCATCTCTTGAACATATCTTATCCACACGCAGTTGGCGCAACCGCTCTCGCAGCAGGTTTCTGGGTCTGGCGGTTGGGGAGTGGGTGACCTTGATTTGTCCCCAGTGGAAGTAGCATTGTGTTGATTTTGTGGAGTCTCAGTTGAGTTGTTAGTGGAGTTTATTGTGTCACTATCCAGTGGCTGATCTGTTAGTTGCTGATCCACAACACCTGAACTACTGTTTGGTGGTTGACTAATCTGCTTAATAGAACCTGTTGATACATTTCTCTTTTGACCTTTTGAAGGTATTTGTTGATATGCTTTCAACTTGGTGGTTGATAACATCAAGTTAGATTGCACATTCTCATTGCCTATACCATGTAAAGTTACATCCACTAATTTAATTGATGTTGGCATTGCACATGTAGACACTTTAGTGGAGAGAGATCTTGTTTGCTGCACGGAGGCATTTTCTGCTGAAGTGGGCTTTATTCTGCTCCCCCATCTTGCTTTTGCTGATTGTGACATATCCACAGCTTTCTCTTGTGTGGAATCTGTGGATGTGTTGGTTGATTGGGGCCAGATTTTCAACTTCTTGTTTGCCTGGTTAATTGGTGTTTGTGCATCCAAAACATGAGCACAACCGCAGAGACGTTTTGGCCAGGCTAGAGGCTGCCTGCTCCATCTGATGCCTTGAAAGTGTTGCATTTAATTATGAATCGAATCTGTGTCCGTAAGAGAAAAAAAACAGAGTGCCTCGTCATGCTCGTTCAACTAGAACAGGGGATGAACCAATTTGAAACATGAATTGAATGGTAATGAATGAATTTAATTGAATATGTCATACATAGTCCCAAATTTTGGGATTTATAGTTGTTGGGCGCAACCGGTCAATCTGTGCTGTCGGTCGATCGCGTTGTACAAACTACAATGGGTCAATTCTGTAGGATATCCTGGACTCAGGCTTTGGACCTTTAAAAAAAAAATCCTCCAGAGCCGTGAATTAGAAAGAAAATGTGTTCGACTGGTGGCAGTGGGATCGACCGATCGCATAATGATCGACCAAATAGCGCAGCGCGATTGACCGATCGCGCAGATCGACCGATCGCGCCCAACATGACGATGAAGATGATGAAACCAACTACCTGAACTAACCAAACTGAAAAAGCAAATCACAACAAACAACAACAAGCTAAATGACCCCACCTTTCTCGAAATTCGATACCGGTCCACAGAATAACACACTCAGTAAAACATTTGAAAAATGATAAAAACCCTCAATTATCAGATTATGCACTGAACTCAGGACCAATGTCAAATTCACACACTGCTTTGTTGACATGGACAAAATCAACAGTGAAACTTATCTAGCGCCCTCCAGAGTCGGTTACTTTTTACAGGCGAGGATCGATAGGCGGCGCGCCAACCCAAAAGTCTCGTGCTTCACCTGGTGGCGCGCCAACGGCATACAGTGGCTAGCCATAAGGCCGTAAGGTTGCATGATTTCTATTTTCTTATATGGGCGAGTGATGTATTGTTGAATGATATAACCAAAAACGTAAACCGTAAATATATGGCAGACGGCAATCATGATTTCAAAACTTCTGATATTTGAATTTCAATAGAACAGTATGAATTTGCACAGAAAAAAAAGATCTCTCTGAAAAAAAGTGAAATGTTTCCACGGATACCACAATATCTTCGTGAACATGTGTTTGGAAGGGCATTTCAATGAAAATACGCCCCATCTTGCATCGTCATGATTGTATCCTAAGCATATGGGACGTATTTTCAATTGAAATGCCCCAATAGATGACCCCGTGATCGCATAGATCATAATACAGATCAGTGGTATCCATGAAATGGTGTGTGGGGATAAGCAGCTCATTTTCCTTGGGGTGTTACTGTTACCTTTTCATCAAAGAAAACTTTCAAAAAGTCAACAATTGGCATCAACATGAAAACTTTGATCAGTGAAAATGCAGTTGACCCTCTTTTACTTGCAGTTGAGAGCGCTAGAGACGTAGTCTGCTGACTTGAGAGAATGTGCAAAGAGGCAGGCCTTCTGCAGAAGCTGATTGGACTATGCAGTCGCTATGGATACATCCATCCATCTTGTGACCTCGGGAGGTCAGGGGTCAAGGGTTGCTATGACTACGGACCCCTAGGCACCTTGTTGAGGCGCAACATTCAGAATGAGTGGTATGCTTGTTCGGAAACTTGTCAGACGAGTCAATCACAAGTTAATCACATATGAAGGAAAAAAGATGAACATAACAAAAATAACAAAAGAATGCAATAGGTTGGGGTGGAGTGACGTCATCCAATGAAAAACATCTACAAAATGTACATTCATTTGCGCATCAGTTTTCATCGATTGCTAGCTGTTACTAGTCAGCAGTCCTAACTCAAGAACCATTGATTTTAAAGAATTTAGGTCTGGAAGCTTGACAAGCCAACGTAAAAATTCCCGTATGTCCGTGCCAGCCTATTGTCATGGTTCTGTATAGTGAGCATGTGACTTGAGATTAGATGACTTGGGAAGGTGCTGTGACTTGATTCACATTTTCTGTTCTTTTTTAAGGTGGACGAGTGTTGTTTCATCTCAAGAAGATATGTTTGGCATAGAAAGCTCACAGCTACAGCAGACGTCTATAAGAAATACTAACCAATCAGAGAATTCTTCAGATGATATAAACGATCATCGTAGACTTTCCGTTATCCCAAGTAGTGATGAGATGCAAACACAAGGAGAGAATTTGAACTGGACACTTCGTGATTCCCTCAATCAAGGTAAACATGAAAAAACTTGGATGAACTGTTTAAGACTCTTTGATGACATCTTCTTTGCAATATGTTGAAGTTGAACAAATTAAAAAATGTATATCAATGTTAATTTTCAGGTACCATTTCGCAGTACTACAACACACTTCAGCTAGTCAGTCGCAGACTGCCGTTTGGCCTGGCCCAGATTGGTCAATGCTTCAGAAGGACTGGCCAATCAGAGAGCTTGACAGATGACGATCACGACAGATATATCTTTGAGTGAGTGAAGGCTATTCAAGAGAATGAGTTTCTGAGTGCAGTTGTTGGATCTTGAAATAGTGTCAATTTCTGTAAAAAAACCAGCTGGCCAGATTGTAATGGAAATGCTCAATCAATGTTGAGTCTTGCAGATGTTTTTGACAGTTAATTTGGCCATTTCAGTGAAACTTGTTTGAAAATTGCGTCTCAGGTACCATGGTCAATACCCTGGCCAAAAAGTCGGTAAATTATATCAAATGATTTGCATTACCAAAACTATTCTCACAGTGAAGCTTTTACACGGGTCTAATGTTAGCTTCAAAGTTTTCATTATTTTTTTGCAGCTTGCCTGAGTTTACTCAGATGACAGCCCAGTTCTACTGCTCCCCTAAGACTGCGGATCGTTGGATGATTGACTGGCAACGAGACAGGATTCAGTGGTGGAGAAAGGTAAACCAAAACCAATTTTGTCCAGACCCCCCCCCCTTGACTGTCACTCCAGTTCCTACCCTAAATTCTGAATTAATCTGACGTTTGTTCCCTAATGATAAATCATAAAGCAATTATTATTGACTCTGTGTACCAGTACCCCCTCAATGGTGAAAAAGAGAAAGCTTGCCATCTTCTTCAAAGCGATTTATTGCAAGGCAGTTGTGGGCCTTTTCAGCAGCATTCTGTTTCCCGAGCTGAGGAGGGCAGCGGATAAAGGCAACCTGGTGAGAAGTCTAAAACTATGTCTGTCCATTTCACAGAGGAACTATTCCAAAGGCTCCAAACTACCACAGAACAAGGCAACCTGCGGGAACACAAGGTTCCCTATCCAGGCTAGCCTCACGCTCAAGCCAGAGTTTGCGGAGTGCAACGCGGTCACCCCACTGACAGAGCAGGAGGCTGTGGATTTAGAGCAAGCCACTGTGGGTCAGGCAAGCTGCATACACTGGTTTGAAACCAGGGAGAAGAGACTAACAAGCTCCTTATTTGGCAAGATTCTGAAGAGAAAGAAGGCAGTCAACCAATCCTTTCTGATGAGTTTGTTTGGTTTCAACTCTAAAGCAGATAGCAGTCCAGCTGTCATGTATGGGAAGAACCATGAAGATGAAGCTAAGATGGTGTTTGCAGAGAGAAATCCACATCTCCACGTCCACAATTGCGGATTTGTAGTCAACCCAGCGTTCAGTTTTCTTGGTGCCTCTCCGGACGGGAAGGTCTGCGATGGAGGCCAGACTGGTATCTTGGAAGTCAAGTGTCCTTACAGCGCCAGAGGCATGATGGTTCGTGAAGCTGTCGCATCCATCCCACAGTTTTACATGGTGAAATCTACGAGTGACAACAGCGCCCTCGCTCTGAAACGGGACCACGATTATTACTATCAGGTCCAAGGTCAGCTGATGGTAACCGGTGCGCCATTCTGTGATTTTGTTGTCTACACGGACAGAGACGTGTACGTGGAGCGAATTCTTCCAGACGTAGAGCTCTGGAATGCCATGCTGGACAAACTAGCTGCATTCTACCTAAAGCATGCAATGCCATTTTTAAATGAGCAGGGAATGTGATTTTATTTTTTTTCTCCAAACAATGACATATTTGTACTAAATAGAGGGCATACTGTGCACAGAGTCTGTAAGTGTATTGTATGAATCAACGCTTCAAAATTGTAAGTGGGAAGTTTTAAACGTAAGGTGTTTAATTTTAATTAAAATGAAAATAACAGTCTTTTAAATATTAATGGTATTCATCAAGTTGCTTTTCTCAGAGATAAAAATTAGATTCCAAAATAATTTCTCAGGATGTTAGATAAAATGTTTACCAAAGTTGTATCAAGTATTCCTTCAGGATGTTGTTAGGAACCATTTTTATGTATTCAAAACTTACGAGAAAAAAAAAATGAACAGTACTTACTTCATGTAAATTTTTATCAGTTGAGAGGCAATCTGTAAACTGATTGATGAATATATTTGGCACGATACAAAAGAATAATGTTACACACAAAATTGAATTCCAGCACTTTCATTTCACCTTTTTGTATACTTTTCTATAACAAGTCCTTTGGTGATTTAATTCAATAAATTTATTTTCTGACCAAGAGCATATTTTGTCATTAAATGTTCTTCCTTTAAGTGGCCTGCTTCTCACACACAGTTTTCAGGTGCTCCGTCTAGCTTCCAGATGTCAGAGACCAAGCAGTCCGAACTCCTGCGCACAACAGACATCCAGTTCCAGTTTCCCTGGGGAGTAGAGACGATTGAAAGAATATCCAACAGAGGGAGTGGTGAACTGGAACGGCTGCAGAAGGAGACAGGCGTAGACTTCCATGTGAGTTGACATAGGCTCGACATCGGCTCAAAAATCACTGACCAATTTGTAGACATGATCTCACTCAGAGGCCACTGGCTCGTTGCCATAGCAACTGGCTCTCATTTTCTTTACAAAGACTAGGCATTTCTGTTGCAATGTATTGTACAACGATGTTATTTCCTGAGTCTTATCAGCTTTTGTTTCATACTCTGGTGTGTTTAGATTGAGAAAGGCAAAAATGTGGAATGCATGTTGGAGACAACATGGCACCCAAACGGTCCTTCAGATGCATCTTCATTAAGGGAATACTTGTGTAGGTAGTTCATAAGGCCGTAAGCTGCGTAATTGAGACTTTAATATCTTCTAAATCAGAAGAATCATCCTGTCCCAAGCGCACTTCTCTTGTGATTCAATATGCCAGGGTCGGGAGGGAAGGAAGAACGTTCTACCCCAGGTGGTTGAGATGGCATGTGGTCTAGAGAGGGGCATACTGGCATTACTCCTAGATGCTTATCAAGAAAAGGAGAGAACAGACAGCAAGGGCCAGAAGATCAACCACAGAATGGTAAGTGGCGCATCATAGTCAAGAATGTTGCAACCTGAAGTTGCTACTTCAGTGGTTGTGTACAAAGTCTACGGAGGGTCTAAAAAAATAAGGGGTATTGCCTAACAAAATTGGAAATGTTTCTCGGTCCCAGTTTCATGTCTTGTCATCATTCTTGCAATGACTGACCTTCATTGAGATGATATAAAAAGAAAAAAGCAGCATCAGGTAGCAACCCTCTTTCTGTCATTTACTTGTTTCCTCTTGAATGAGTAGATATTCACTTCTGAAAAGTGAATTTGAAGCATGGGTGTAAATCCAAAGGGAGGATATATACATGTATCTCCAAACTTTGTGTTCTTTTCATATTTTTTGTACAGGTGTTGAGATTGCATGTCAAACTTGCACCCATCAAAGTAGCTGTTCTACCCATCAAGGGAACAAAGGAAATAATTGAGGTATGAAGCTGGTTTTAGTTTTTATTGTGATGGAAGGGTTTAGACTCTTTGCATTATTACACCCTAGAGCAAATTTTATGTGACAGCCTTCAAGATTTCATTTGCTGCTTACAAATTTCAGATTAAAAATGCTAGCAGTTTGAGGCTACAAAACATGTTTTTGGGGCTGACCACTTCTGGTCAGAAAAGGATGATCAGAATGCAAAACTAATAAGAAATCATCGTTGCAAGTATTTTTTTTTTTCAGAAAATATTCTGATATCTTGGCTGCTTGGAGCATTTGCAGTGAACTATAAAAGTTACCCACTTTTTTCATCTCGATTGACAGATTTGTGAATATTTGGCTAAAGAGCTGCGCAAAGGGAGTATTTCTTGCCATCGTGTCAATGAGCTCGGCCCAGTCATTGGCCAACATGTAGCAAGGTTTGTATCAGTTGTCCTCCTTAAAGTTTTATATTTTTGCATCAGTTTTACCGGAAAAAAAAAAATAGACCGTGCGCTTAACTTATGAACCAGAAGTATGTCCATTACTTCCTGCACAGAAGTCAAAAGCAAGATTCAAGTTACTCACAAGCCGCATCACTCTAACGAAGGCAAATGTAAAACTGATAAACAGTGACAATGGAATACCTTAGTCAAAGGTCACCAAACCTAAACACCCAATCCACATGTTACCTTCAGAAGAATTCAGACCTAGAATAAAAAAGCCTACTCACAAACTCTGTATCATATATTTGGCTATCAATTTCTTTAAACTTTAATTACTATATTTTTTGTTTAGATTTGACGAGATGGGTATCCCCTTTGTTGTCTTGCTTAGTGATAAAACTCTGAAGACTGGTGTAGTCAGGATGCGGCATAGAGACACAATGATAACGGTGAGCTAATAAAAGAAACATTGCTTGATTCTAACTGTAAGCCATGGGCTGTGTCCTTGGGCAAGCCACTTTACCCACACAATTGACCTATCGCGGTAGAATCGCGTCAACACAGCTTGTGAAATATTGTCCAATTACATGATATACAAATGGACGAGGAACGCGCAAAATCTGAGACAAACAAAACGTATTGTACAAACATTCCATAGGGTTGTCTAAGGGGCGTGGCTAACTCGCAAACGGCAATAGGTCAATACCACATCAGTCTGTTGGGCTGTACTTCAGATGACATTTAATAACCATTTTATATTCTATATACTCTCCTCTCAACAATTTTGATTAACACTATTTATATTTATAATTTCAGCAACAATTGCACATCACCGAGGTAAGAGAAACTATAGAGCGCCACCTAGAGGCTGGATGAGGATAGGAATAGCGCAACGAGCTAATGACTGGAGCAACTCGGTGACTGCAGCACATGCAAGTTATGAGTCATGAGCTTGGGGACGATCTTACAGTATGACAGCAAATGAAATAAACATGCCTAGCAACGGAGAGTCTACTCTCACTCTCAAAAGACTGAAATTGAATCCTTGGTCTTCTGATATGACTGTCTAGCCGGAGTGGGGGGGGGGGGCCTCCTGCTGTAAAAACAACTTCAATTTATATAAAACTAAAATTGTAAGATTTTAATTTTAGCTAAGCCCGATGCAAATTTTATCTTTAGATATGAGTATGTATACTGTATTTCGTAGTATTCATGCTACATGTACTCAGTGGGGAAAGTGCCAGGAATCACCTCAGATTGCACCAGAGCAACTAGAATCCAAATAAAAATTAAAAGGGTAAAAATGTGAATACATTAAGTTAACAAAGTCCACTAAAATGTAGATAACACAGACATTTCCTCAGCAGGCAACAAAGGTATATGGCCGGTCAGACTTGCCCCCCCCCCCCCAAGTCTATACTTTTTTGTTTATACATTTACTTCTTTGCAACAGCTCTCATTGGTTTACATCATAAACAAACGCGCATACAGCCCCCACAGACAAATATAGAATCTCTGAATTATAGTTAGATTATACAGTCAAACCCTGATAAGAAGAGCACTGTTAAAACGTCCTGCACAATTTTACGTCCGGGGTCTTCGGGATTTTTTATTTTCCATTACTATTCATACAATTAAGGTACCTGTTATAACGAGGTAATTTGTCCCAAGGACCGTGTTATAAAGGTGTTCGCGTGTCCACTCTCAATAATACAGTCAACCGTACGTAGCCAAGATGTTTCTTATATCAGAATTTTGTATTAAGCGGAACATCCCATCAGTCCCATTCATTGTGCACGTAAAGCACAATTGGGACCAAGACTTAACGTTTGTTTTAACCAGACTCTGTATTAACAGTGTTTGTATTAACGAGAGATAGAAGATGTTATTGTTGAAATGGCCAACCAGCCGCTGGGTGTTATGCTCCGACGCACAACTACAAAAGTAGCGATGATCTCTTCTTTAGACCGAACAGTGCCGGACCATGTACAGCGACTGTCCGTTGTCAACATAAGATGGGAAATTGGCCGTCAAAAACAAAAGTGCATTTCACGATAATTTCTCGAGATGAAAAACTGCCATCGAAAGCACAATTTATTAGTGCCTCGCTCGCAACATGAAAATTGTACCTCTTTCATGGAAAACTGGCCTTTAGAAATAATAGTGCTCCTGGTCACTGAGCTGGCCATCAAAAGTGGCAGTGCCCCTCTCTACATAACTAGTCAAATTCATGGGCGGACCCAGAGAGGTTACTGCCGCTGGCGGAGGGTGTGTGGTGTGCCAAGGGCGGATCCGGGGGCAACGGGGCCATACCCCCCCCCCCCCCCCCAATTGACGTCACAAAAAAGGCAGCAACTATACGTACACCACCACGAGAAAAAATGTCACCAAAATTGGTGGAGTGGTCAGAAATTGCCTCAGATAGCACCACGTACAGAGCATTAAAATCTATTTTTTTTCCCCGGCCGGCCCTTAAGCCTTAGCGGGTCCCAAACCCCATGTGTGCTGTGAATTTGTTGACCCGCTTTTTGGGCACCAACGGAAGGTTCCCCCTTTATCAGCGGGACAAGGGCCCCTTTTTGGTGAATCCCCCCAGTTTGAAAAGCGTCCGCCGCCCCTTGTTAATGTTAGATTACAGGCCAAAAAAAGTCTCCGGTTTCTGGTATGCGCGCGCGTCGCCGTAGCCATATGCGCGTCGGCAAAATTGAAAAGTTTTTTTTAATGTAAGATGATGTCTCAAAACCGCCAAACTCACTGGTTTGACTGGAATCCTGCTGCTGCACAATTTCAATGTGTTTTCTTTATGGGGTTACGATCGAGTATAAGCTTTATGTGGCCACTCTGGGCTCCCATACATTTTTGCACTAAATTTAGTCGGCCATCATTTGCAGTCATCAGCCGACATTTGAAGGGGAAAAAAAGTAAAAGTAAAAAAAAAAAAAAAAAAGCCGCGTCGCCGCACCACTTTTGGGGCAAGCTCCATACCAGAAACCTGAGACTTTTTTTGGCCTTATAGATAGATGATGTTGTTTGTTGGTCCGACGCACAACAGAAGAAGCGATCTTCTTTACCGTAGAGTGCAGGCTTTGCGAGCATTGTAATTTCTTTATTTTGAGATTAATACAGTTTTCTTATGTCTTATTCTTATGTCTTGCAGTCGAACCCTGATAAGAAGAGCACTGTCAATACAACGTCATGCTTATTACAAGCAAGATTTCAGGTCCCAAGTCTTTGTTTTTTAGACCTTGGACTAACAATAAATCCCGAAATGAATGAATGAATGAATTTATAAAGTCCCAAGGACCTTGTTATCAAGGTGTTCGACTGTACACGTACACGTACGCTTATTTACATGAATGAAGAAATGCTTCTTGGTACTTTCTAGAGTTCTTTGGTCACCTTGTTTATACTTTGGCACAGGTAAGCCTGTATAATGATTCTTGTCATGTATGGCTACCCGATGAACGTTATAATTAATTCAGGGGCAAATACGCTGATTTGGGGCAAGCTCTTGCACTTGGGTAAGAGAAGCTCTCTATACATTGCTCAAAATGGGTGAAAATGGCACAAAGACGTGCACGTCTCTCAGTAACTGGGGGTTGCTGGCGTAAGGCATGCCCCGAATCGCGTGATACAGCAACAGTCTCTTTGGTCTGGAGAATTCATTTACATTTTAATAACTGTATTTTTTATTTTTTTTATTTTAAATATTACTTAATTAATTGATTTATAGTTTTAATTTGTATCTTATTTTTGCCCTCAAGGAAAACAGTTTTTTTTAACTGAGGAGGCCATCCTGTTTAACTAAGACTGCAAATAAATAATTCAAAAATGATATGTGCCAAGCATTCGAGCAGTCATGGTACCAGATGTAACTCGAATTAATTCGCAAATGGTTTATTGGTTGAACGCATGGATACCCGTTGGCATGTCAATCGCGAATATTCCATGTGTGCCATTCAATTTGTCGTTTTTTTGCATGACATCTATAACAGACACATTTTCATAAAACTTAAAGCAAAACCACTCCTTGTGTAGATAATTATGTACAAGTTCCAAACTTGTTTTAAAAAAATAGTTCAGGATATAACAGATGGTATTGTGCATTTTTTCGTCATATAGATGAAGTATTTACCCGGGAAATCAACGTCAAATGTGACACCTTTTCCAAGGAGAACACTGTTTACCCAAATCTCAGTTTTAATTAGGCTTTCGTTGAAAAGTTTGAGAGAGATGTGGTCCCGACCCGATAAAACAATTGCGATATTTCATAGTTCATTTTAAAGCTCAAGATATTGTGCTCGGCGTTAACATGGTTATGTAGTTATCTCTTATCAGACTTCAATAATAAATGCCAAAAAGTAGGAGCATGAATATTCAAAAATATAATGTTCATGGAAAAATTTGTCCATGATTAGTTGAATATTGAATACATTACATTGTACATGTATATTGGTAGGGTTGCAGATCCTGATCATTACGTAACGACGACTCTTTGCAATAATCACACATTTCTTCGTGTGGCCTTTAAAAAATAACATCCTCTTATGGATTTGTCCGCACCTGCATACATGGTTGTACCAGAATTCGCCTCTTTCTCTTCTTGTTGGCCACCGTTATTTTATTAATGCAGTTTAGAGGTGACTTTCAGGAAACAATCAAGTTGATAAGATCAACTTCAGTGTGTTTAGTACAGTATAGGACTATATCTTCAAAAAACGTACAACATTCAATACCACACCTCAACTTTGTATTAACGAGAGATAGACGATGTTATTGTTGAAATGGCCGCTGGCTGTTATGCTCCGACGCACAACTACAAAAGTAGCGACGATCTCTTCTTTACACCGTGCAGAGCTGGACCATATACAGCGACTGTCCGTTGTTAACACGCAGCGAAGCTACTGAGCTATGCTTCTTATTATACATTGTAGATGAAATCTTGTTACTTTCTTGAGTGCGTTCTGTTTGTCACCTTGGGTTATACCTTGGCACAGGTAAGCTTGCTAAAGTTGTAATACAGAGTGCATGAGTAAAAAATAAAACGAAACCAAGTTTTGCCTGTAGCACTTTTAAAATCTAGGATATGAAAGCCCAGTCATGTTCCAGGTATGTCGAGTTTTTTTTTACAGGACATATAAAACGGAAATATGTATAACTTGTTAAAACATAAATACTTCTATTTGTGATATAAAGATGGTATTGTGCAGTTTTTGTCGTCATAGATGAAGTATTTACACGGGAAATACACGTCAAATGTGACAGTTAATCCTTGTATGTGTATATGATCCGTGATATACCGCTGGCTGTTCATGGAACAATAAGCCATTTGCGAGTTAAATTTGAATAAAATCTGGAACACTGACTTAATCCAATGCTTTGCACATTTTAACTTTGCATTCTCCCGACCAAAGAGACTGTTACTACATCACGTGATTCGGGGCAAGCCTTATGCTAGCAACACCCAGCTCTGGCATGGTCTGGTGTATTTGTGCCATTCTCACCCATTGTGAGCGATGTATTGATGCTGAGCGTCTCTTACGTAACTATGTAAGAGTCTGCCCCGAATCATGTGAATAGCAACAGTGTCTTTGGTCTGGAGAATTCAAAGTTAAAATGTGCCAAGCATTCTGAGCAAGTCAGTGTACCAGATGTTATTGAAATGTAAATCCCAAAGGGTATAGGTTACTCGCAAATGGCTTATTCTGTCAGTTGTTGAAATTGAATACATGTACATGTATATTGATTGGTAGGGCTGCAGATACTGATCATTACGTAACGACGACTCTTTGCAATAATCACAAATTTCTTCGTGTGGCCTTTAAAAAATAACATCGTCTTATGGATTTGTCCGCACCTGCATACATGGTTGTACCAGAATTCGCCTCTTTCTCTTCTTGTTGGTCACTTTATTTTATTAATGCAGTTTAGAGGTGACTTTCAGGAAACAATCAAGTTGATAAGATCAACTTCAAGGGCGGATCCAGGGGGGGGGGGGCATGCCCCCCCCCCAAAAAAAACGAAACCAATTTTTTTTTTTTATGTGACATCGCAATAAAGGCAGGCAATGAGTACACCACCATCTTTTCCTCAAAAAAACATTGGTTAAAGTGGTCAGAAATTGCCTCAGATCGCACCACAGAGCATCTAGAATCCAAATTTTTTTTTTCGGGGCCCTTAAGCGGGCCCCGAACCCCACGCCGTTTGTTTTTTTGACCCACTTTTTTGGGGACCAAATTTTTTTTGGGCCCCCCCCCAAAAAAATCGTGTTCTGGATCCGCCCTTGATCAAATTCAGTGTGTTTAGTACAGTATAGGACTATACCTTCAAAAAACGTTCAACATTCAATACCACACCTCAACTTCAAGCTGGGCTGTGGTGTTTTGGCAAACACCGCAGCCGCTTTACAAACCAATTTTCCGATATAAGGGAAAATAAAATGAAAATAACATCTGAAATTGATATTTAAACAAAAAATTAATTGTTCTTCCAGGTTGTGCCCTTGAGAATCACCTTCACCATGTCTTCAATCAGTCTTAAGACCAAGGGAGCTGTATTCTTACTGTGTCTAGCATCCTTCACACTCGGTCGTTTTCTGGTTGTATTCGAACCAGACCAATGGTTTGTATATCAGAGATGGGGAGACGTGGCCCCAGTCAGCCGTTTTGATGTTCCCAAAATTAAAAGCCGCTACGAGAAAGAAAGCGACATTGGTGCCGCTGGATCCGACCGGGATAACCCCAGTGAAAATATTTCTGCAGCCGATTCAGAAATAGAAGAGGCTGGTGGCAAGTCTTTGGGAACGATTTACCACGGTGAAAAGATTCCTGGGCTTGATTCAGAAACAGACAAGAAGAATGACCAAGTTGAAGATAACATTGTTAACCGCCGCCCGCCGATTATCAATGAGAACGTGGAGGATGAAACAGGGAACTTCAAGGATGAAGCAGGGAACTTCAAGGATGAAACAGGGAACTTCAAGGATGAAACAGGGAACTTTAAGGATGAAACAGGGAACTTTAAGGATGAAACAGGGAACTTCAAGGATGAACATTCGATCGTCAAGGATGAACATTCGATCAAGTATGAAACAGTCATCGCTGAAACGTCAATCGTCAAGGACGATAAAATGATCGTCAAGAAAACCCCACCAGTTAAAACTAAACCAGTTGCTCAGCCGAACCGTCTCCATACTGGTGGACGGTACTCCATCACCTCATCCCAACTGTTGGGAAATGCACTCAGGTTTATGTCCCCAGATGTTAAGGCATCCTTCGCGAACATTACAGGACTGAAATATGACAAGCAGAAGGCTACAGTTATTTGGCCAAACTTAAGTGCTCAAAAGAAATGGGCCGTGCTCAGAGCCGGCATGCGCAAACTGGGCTATGAACAACGCTTACCTACAGTCATTTGCCTTGGAGTAAAAAAAGGCGGCACAACAGCGTTTTTGTACTACCTTGTGCAACATCCACAGATTGCTCGCGCATTACTGGAAGAAATACATTACTTCAGTATTGACTACGAAATAGGCTTAGACTACTACCTATCTAGAATGGGGTTTAGCTCACAAAACATGCTTCAGTTTGAGAAATCACCGTCATATTTCGTCTTCCAGAATGTACCGGAGAGGATGTTGAAGGATCTACCGCCCAATGTCAAGTTCGTGGTATGCGTGCGGGATCCCGTGGAGAGAACCATATCGGACTTCAGACACGAATATGAGTTGAAGCTCAATCGCAACCCCTCCATGGCCAGAGGCGAAACGCCTGCCACACAAGCCAAACACTTCGTAGAAATGATTTTCAATCGTAATGGTGAGGTAGATATGTCCAAAGGATTGACAAGAGAAAGTGTCTACTCCATGCATTTCAAGAGGTGGTTGCAGAGCTTTCCGAGAGATCGATTCTATATATTGAGTCATGAGCGCGTGGATAAAGACCTGTACAGTGAACTCAAGAACTTGGAGAAGTTTCTGGGTCTGGAGTCATTTTACAAGAGGAGCATGTTCTACTACGATGAGAAGAGACAGGCGCCTTGTATGCGGTCTGGTTGCCCACACCCAAGTACCCCTGGGTTTCTACCTAAAGCAGACCTCGGTCCCGACGTCATCCAACAACTCAGGGATTTTTTCCGGCCCTATAACCAGGAGTTTGCACAACTTACCCACATGAACTTTTCCTGGACAAATCTCTGAACAGAGCGTCTACGACTGAAAGGAAAATTGTTCAACTTTGTTTTATTTTTTATTTTTTTCAGATTTGAAGATCCATTAATCATAATCATTGCGCGTTGTATATTAATCATAATTCATATAGAGAGGTTTACAGGTCTGCTGGCCGCAGAACTGTTTCCTGTCGGGGAAAAAGTAAAACATTTGCCAGTAATGAGAAAACAAAATGCTCGAAACCTTTTTGGGATGAGGGTCGGTAACCTCCTTATCGGACCATCCAGCGAGACAAGTTGTTTTGTAATCACAATGTGCCACTTTATAATGCAGAGTTCAACTGAAACAGCAACTGTTTTTCGCATGTTTGTACATGTATTTGTATCTTGAACGTATATGTCTAACGTAGTCTAATTTAGACATGGAAACAATGTATTTTTAAAGGGAATATACAACATTTGCAAACATCGAAAAATAAAACTACCAAGTTTTTGCGAAATACCTTAATAGGATGTTGGTAAATGACAGTCTAAAGCATCCTGTAAAATTATGGCACCTGGTATACTGTCATTTTCAAGAAAAGTGGTATTTTTGTATCAATTTCCAACGCTGATCGGCCGATCAGCGTTGGAAACAACTGGCTTTTTTTTTCAAATACTGGCCCCAATTGACCATTGCACTTGTTTGCAATCGATTACAAACCTATGAACGGGTACGAGCCAGCTAGACTGGTTCCCTGACCTTACAATTCCCCAATGTATGTAAACTGCTCTGTTTCTTCTTATATGGAGTCAGGGGACCAGACTACAGGAAAATGATCGTTTTTCTTGGTTTTTATAGCATTTTCGAACCCAAAACCTCCAAAAAGTCAGTGTAACTATATTTGCTTTATATTTCCAACCCCCCAATTCCATCCATTTCTGAAAATTACAGCAAAAGCAAATGATGTATATTCCCTTTAACATTAAAATGATGAAACACTAACGATGCCTATTTTTCTATTCCTAGTTATTTTAAAAGAGAAACAAAGACAACATGTCATTTTGAGACACGTCAAGAACTTCTTTTTCGATTGTCGTACTTAATTTTATGATACTAAAATTGATTCACAAAATTGATACAAACGATGCCTATTTTTCTATTCCTAGTTATTTTAAAAGAGAAACAAAGACAACATGGCATTAATTTTGAGATACATCAAGAACTACTTTTTTTCGATTGTCGTACTAAATTTCATGATACTAAAACTGTTTGATTTCTATTGTAAGTTTGATTTACCGTAAAATCTCCAATACATGTAATTGTTTGTGTTTTTGTGATAGGTTGTAATTTTTAGTGTTTTTGTGATAGCATGTAATTTTTAGTGTTTTTGTAAAATTGCATATCTTTGATTGTAAACTACTCATTCTTTATTGTACCGGTAGCAAATGTAATTTCCTTGATGGATTAATAAACTATTTTCTATTCTATTTCTATTCTTTTTAAAGGGTCTATGCGATGAATTTTTCTTTAAGAACATATTTTGTGAAACGTTCTACTCTTAAATGTATGCAAACTGTTTGACATCACTTTTTGGTTAATTTTATTGAAAAGTGCACTTGTTAAAATATTTAAAATGTTCCATTCCTTTCCGGACAACTGTGGGCGCTGTTGCTGTGATGTCATCAGGAAGACACTGTTCAGTTTTAAAAGATTTTTCTGTTTAAGTTGTGAACCCACAAATGTGCTAACTGAAAACATTTTGTGAGAAAAGTCTGCTCACTGGCTTACATGCTATGCACTGATGCAACGAATCACAAAAGAACAGAATTTTACATTTACGCAGCAAAATATCTAATGTTCCGGCAATTTTGGTGCTGAAATAATAACATTGAGGTTTCTGCCTGAAACGACATCACACTTTTGAGTATGGAAATGGCATTAACATGAAAACCAAAAAGGCACCAATATACCTTTGAAAATGGAAAAACAAAAATCGAAAACAAATGTATGGGGCGCAAAGGTGCATTTTCAAGGATTGCATTTGCACGGGCCCACGCCCTTTAACTGAACGAGTGTAAAAGTTGTCGACAACATTTTGCGAACATTACTTAAAGACAATGAAATTTTTTATTTCTCCGGTGTAAACAATGATGTAAATCTCATACACTGTGTCAAGACGCCACATCAGCGGTTGTGTACAAAGTGAGTAAATTTTCCAAGTATTTTCTAACAAAATTGGAAAATGTTTCTCAGTCCCAGATTCGTGTCTTTTTAACATTTTTGCAACGACTGACCTTTTATTGAGATGATAGGCCTATAGGCCTATGAAGAAAAAAGTGGCGTCAGCCTAATTGCACTGTACAAGTGAACATTTACAAAAACTGAAGAAAAAAAATGTCAAGTATTTGGCATTGTTCAAGGAAAATTATTTTTCGGGGATGATTGAAATTTAACAGCTGTTTTCCTCGGGTTTGAGGATCCAGAAAAAAAATGCCCTTTTGAGAAATTAATATTTTCACACAAACGTATTAGTTTTTAAAGAATTGTGCCTTTCAAATATTCTAACGTGAGTAAAGTGTGTAATAAACACTTGTATGTAAAATATGAGTCTTTTTGAGACATTATTGTCTGAAATTGTTTTCCCCCGTTGTTGTTGGTGAGTTTTTTTGGATGGGGGTGGGGGAAGGCTAAAAAACATTGTTGGACATGAATAATTTTTGAGCCTACCCTAATATGAAATAGTAACTTGTGATTTTGAAAAAAAATGGAAATTCCTGCCTGACAAAACGTTTGTTTTACGTATATCCAAACAGTTGCTCTCTGGTTTGTTTATTTTCAGTATATACGCAAATTATATGGAAAGCGTGATATTTTGGCTGAATGGTAGAAGTTCCACACAACGCCCTTCCCGCGCCACGCCCCTTGTAGCGAAAGTTGGGAAAGCAAATAGAGGACTAGGTTACAAGTCCATTTATTTATCGGTGTGGTTATTTGTCCCTACATGTGTTGAAGCTATAGCTGTACCTTGATTGCGGACGGTATCCGACTAAACACAAGATCAGCTGGAATCACTGAAATTTGCATCGCATTCGAAGTTACTTCCTTGCTCTATGCTTCGTTCCTCGTTCGTTTTGTCGATTTGTTTTGTACATTTGGGAGATTATGGCAACCGTCAAGTCATGGATAGGTTCAGAGAGGCACAGAGAACGTGTGGGTGATTTACTGAGGTAATCCAGTCACTTTTATTGGTCAGATCGTATCACTAAAAAATGACAAGAAGCCCATCAACCAACCGGCGGGCGAAACGGTACCATAGCTAGCCGCCTAGCCGAGTCATGTTGTGAGTAACTCAGCTGAAATACCCATCAAACAAGAAGTCACATGAATTCCTGATGAGCATGTCAGCTGGAGTTATTCAACCTAGGCACAGCATGCATTGCACACTGTTGCATGATCGGAAAAATTCAGCTATCCGATCACCACTTTTTTCAATTAATTTTCTAGCGCCAAAAGTTACCTCTTTTTATCATGTTTATGGTTATTCCCTCCACTTTCCCTCCTCTACTCTCACCCCCTCCTTTCCTTAATTTCTATTTATCAATCAGTCGCTCACTTCATCGAGATTCGAACCTCGGACGCTTGCTTGATACACGAGTCTCTTATCCGCTAGGCCGCGCACGATCGCTGTTGCAATGATCAATCTTTGGACGTATTTGAAGTATCCATTGAAATAAACTAAATATTCATGAGAAAAGGGAAGAATCTCATACTTGGACTATGGACTCCTAGTCCTAGCCCCATAAATGTGGCCAATTTCTGGACTACCTCTGTAAATAAAGGCCACACTTGAAACATGTGCCCAAAAATGTAGAACTTTGTCAAATTTGGATTTTCACAATTAGACTATTTGTAGTTTATTTACACTTTAGAAGCATACTCACCCTCTTTATAGCAACAGAAAATTGGTCCCTCCAATTTTCAGACATCTACTTTTTATGTAATTTGTAATAATGTTTTGGAATTGAGATGCGCAAACGTGTGCAAACGAACCTTGAAATTATATGAAATATAGATGTCTGAAAAAGGGGGGACTAATTTTCTATTGCTTTAAACTAAAGAGGGTGCTGTGCTTCTAAAGCATAAATAAACTACAAACAAAGTCTAAATGTGAAAATAAAAACTTGACAAAGTTCTGCATGTTCGGATAGGCCTACATGTTCCAAGTGTGGCCTATATTTACGGAGGTAGTCCAGTAAACTAGCCACATTTATGGGGCTATTGGACTCCATGCTTTGGAAATCACTTATTTTTAATATTTCCCTGCAGTGAACTTCAGCCATCAGAAAGCGTTAGCATGTCCTAAAAAGTCAAATTTAGCAGGGAAAATATGGTAAAAATGTTGCAACCTGACAATAATGATTAAGACATGTTAGGGAATAGAAAATTTTCTTGACTCTCCACATGAAGTGGCGTCAGGTTGTAACTTTTTCCCCGAAAATATTGAAGCATGATTTACTGAAAAAACATAAGGGGCAGTATTTTTTAAAGAATAGTTTCTTCATAATAACTTGAATATAAAGGACAGGAAATCTGTAGCTTAGTTTAACATGTATCCATGCCCTAAATTTGATTAAATAAGTGTTATTGTAATTTGTTTTAGTTAAATTTATATAATATTGCATTATTTCATTGTTATTACAACCCATTTTATGGCAGATATTTAAATTCAAACAGACTTAACACCTTGAGCCAACATTGTTATTATTTCAGCACATTAGATGTACCGTCTCTCAAGGGAAAAAAAGTTCTGGTGACAGGTGGCGGTGGTTTCTTTGGCATTCATCTAGCGAGGGCGCTACACATGCTTGGATGCGCAGTGGTTATAACCGACAAAGGAACGCCCATTGAGGACTACAGCAAAGATATCACATTTGTGCAGGTTAGGAAAAGCTTATTCCTTTCACTTTCAATTCCAATGGTGTACAGGCCTACATCTACATTCTCAGTTTAATTAAATGCAATGATAAGGATTTTAGAAGCTTTTGTTGGTTGAGAATAACAAATTGTGTTGAGTTACATTTTTCCTTTTTGTTAATTTCACAAAGGGGGACATCAGGGACAGAGATTTGGTGGAGGAACTCTGCAAAGATGTCAACTGCGTATTCCATATTGCATCGTTCGGCATGTCAGGAGCAGAAATGGTAAATGTCTCATTTGTCAACAAAATCCTTTTCACCAACAAGTCAGTGTGATTTCATGCAAACTAAGCCCACGTTTTGGCCCTTCTCTCAACAAATTCATCAACTAATTGTAAAAAGTCAAGTCTTTCATAAAATGCAAATTATGTTAACATTGTTTTTATTGTCCTTTCTGCTCAACTTTTGACTCTTTTTTGAGTTATTTATTTTAAAAGAATGTGAAACAAGCTTCTATTTAATGGCATAATTTTTTCTTTGAATTTTTTTTCAGATGAAGAAAAGAGATTTTATAGAGAGCATCAATGTTGGAGGAACAGAAAATGTCATAGAAGGTAGGACATTCATTCTGTTGCTTGTCTGTAAGAGGTAGTGGCTACTTTTATTTACTTTGAAATTTAAAAAAATGAAGCATGAGATATCACATTTTCATCCATGAATGTTATCACTATGAACTTGAAGGTACAAAGTACACTGATCTAAAATTGTCACGCACGCACCTAAAAATAGATTTTAAGTGTCGTGAATAACCTGTACTCTGGCATCATACAGTTTTGGTCGTTGTTTACAAGTGTTGTGAACTTTGTCTTTTTTAGTGTCATTGAGAGTTTGAAAAGCATGGCTGATCTTTTCGTACAAATAAATGCATAAATTCAGCACTTCATATGAATTGGTGCCCCAGTGAACCTTGTTGGGCAATAGATTTTGTAGGGTATTTGAGAACCATAGATGTTTCTCTGAACCTTTACCCTACAAAATCGTTTGAAATCTAACATTTGGTTGGCTTTCATAAAGTATGTGCCGTTGGAATTTGGGAATTTTTTTGGCAGAGATTATTTGACAATGTTACCCAGAGGGAAAAGGTTTTGTTAGAAATACTGAACAAGGGGGAATTACTGAACAAGGGAAAAAAGTGCAAAAGTTGAACTACTTTTGACTTTTTGTTATTTATAAGTTAGCAAACTAAAATATGAAAATATTGATCTGGAATCATGCCTTGCTGCAGGGGGTAGGAATAAACACAGTGAATAATCTTGATACATCTCTCAGAATATGGCCTCTGTCCACTAGGTACTCGCCTAATGCCGAACAAAAACAGCAGCAAGATTGGAGAACACTTAACTGCAGTTACTGCACCACATCCTTGTAGTAGCTACCTCTGCATGCTATAACAATTATTATTTATATTCACTTATATTTTTGTTAGCATGCATCAAGCAGAACGTTGCTCGGCTAGTTTACACCAGTACTATCAATGTTGTTTTGGGCAGCAAGGCGTTTGACATGGCTACTGAGGCAGAGCTCCCACGGATCCCTCCTGAGGAGGTAAGTTACAATCCCTTCCAGAGAGTTGGTTTGTCTGTGCTCTGCTTTTTTTTTTTTGCTTAAAAAAAAATCATATAACGGATTTCGATCTGGTAAAGACTTACGGAAGGAATTTTTATCTGAAGCCATTTTTGACACTTTGTACACAATTTGGATATTAAGTTTTTTGTGCCTTCGTTTGTTCTTTGTTCGTTTTTCTTAATTTTGTTCTACACATGACAATTGATATACATTAATATTAATACTAAGAATGGATGTTCCCCTTTCCAAATTTGATCTTTTACTTTGTCACCTGGTCACTAGATAAAGTGGCAGTGGCTGCAAAGTGTGCCGCAGCACCTTGTAAACCCAAATAAAGGCGCTACATAATGTGTCTCATATTTTCATCAACTTCATTTACCTGTCTCTAAAAAATAGAGAGCGCTTTGAAACACCCGTAGAAAGTGCTATATAAATGTAATATATTATTATTTTAATTATATGTTGTTAGAAACGTTGCCACAATTTATTATGTCCTTGACTTTGAGTTGTTGCAAACTTATGGTACAACCATGTGAATCTTTTGCGTTTCTCTTCTCATAGTGTTGTGTTGAAGTCAAACAAACCTAGAAAACATAACATTGTAAGGCAAAAATGAACTGCACGCTGGATTTTGGATTGTTGCATGAAGCTACGCCAAAGCAATAGTAGAATTGCACTGTCAAGATAACTCATATCTCTGTAGCTTTAAAAATAGCTGCTTATCAGCTGTAGGTCAACACTTTCTTGATATGAATTCCAAACAACTCTTTGTACCCTGCTGTATTAAGGCAATTTTATTTTACATGGGAAAAGGTTGTTCACAGCAATATGCAAAATGTACAGAGCAAAACTTGTACAACACACGTGAGCTGATGGACCTTTCTAGGGCTTGCTTTAATACTTGACATTGATTATAAGTTGTATAGAAAAATTTATGTTTTGAAATTTGTGAATTTATAATTCCCACTGTATCATTTATATTGTAAGTCATTGCTATTAGTTGTGTTGTAGTTTGTTGAGATACGCTATCAGCTGTGCTGCTGTGTGATACTGCAGAATAGATTCACTTCACAATAATTAACATATTAAATGTTTTCAATTTGGAATGAGTTACATTGTGTATCTGGCAAAGCTATGGAGTTTGTACGTTTACTTCATTTGCAAATGAGGAGGTCAAGATTCCTGATTGTGATCTTTACAGCATGCAGATGACTACTCCAGAACTAAAAGCATTGCAGAGGTGCTTGTCTTAAAATCAAACGGACGACAAACACAAAGTGAGTAGATTGTGATCTTCAGATGCATCATCAGGATCCAATGCACATGTCACTACTAGCAAAAAACCAACCCTCATAAAACATGCTCATGTCTGACCTTATTTAAATTGCTCTGATTTGCAAAGGTTCAACCGGCTGTTTTATTTTAAAATTTAAATGAACTTTCAATTTCAGTGAATTAAAAGTGTAGGGTTCCCTCGCAATTTTAAAAGACTTTGAAGTTTTTATTCTGAATCCTATAATTAATGAGATATTTGCACTTCATACATGTACAGTGAAATCTCCATAAGTCAAACTCTGATAAATCAAAACAAATGTTAGGTCAAACACAGAATCCATTCCCTTCAGTAGTATAACAATGATATACAACCCTGCTTAACTCAAAACTCTGCTGAAGTCAAATTTTGAACCTGTTCCCTTGAGGTTTGACTTATCAAGATTTCACTGTACAATAAAAAATGTGGGTTAAATTCTAAAGGATCTACATCTGTATATTTTAGAGATATGGATATTTTCATGATAAATTGCATGTGGGGCAAAATCATTTCTTGAGGCTTCTAATTTGTACTGTTTTTTTTTGTGCAGATGGTGAGATATTGCACACGTGTGCAATCAGACCACCGGGCATCTATGGTGCTGGAGAACAGAGACATTTCAGTAGGATTGTGGTAAGGGAATATGAATGCCCTTGCAATCCAAACATTGACTAAATTTTAATTAAGTAAAAAAAAATGAAAGTTGGAAAAATTGGGAAAAGGTTTCTCAACCAGATTAACCATGTCTGTCAAACTGCTGAAATGAATAAATCACAAAAAGGCAAACTCTGGTATGTCAGGCCCCAAGATAAACACTCAAAATAATCCTCTGTATTTTTCTGGATTGAAAGGAAGATGTTATTGTGTTTTATCTTTTATCCACTCACAGGGCATTTTAAAAATCTACAAGGCAAACCTGGGCAGTCCTGACAGTAAAACAAACTGGGTTCATGTGGACAACCTGGTGAATGGCCACCTACTGGCGGCAGACGGGCTGTCGGCAGGCAAGAATCACATATCGGTAAGGAACAAACAATGGACTCTGTGCATGAACAATAGAGGGCGGTCTTTCACCCAACATCAGTAATAGTTACCTTGTCAGAGATATTGTTTTGTGTCTCGTGTTCCAGGCAAACCAGGCGTACTTCATCACAGACCAGACACCCATCAACAATTGCCTTTTCTTCAAACCAATCATCACCGGCTTAGGCTACACCTTCCCTGATGCTTGGCTTCCCCTTGGTGTGCTATATTGCCTAGGTAAGAAATAGTATAATGAAGTGACGTGGGCAGCCCCCCCCCCCCCCCCCCCCCCCCGTCACTTTCTGGATTTCAAGCCAGTGTATCAGTTGTCACTCATCCTAAAAAGAAAATACCTTGTGAAAATTTCCTAGCAAAACTCCCCAAGGAAAGCAGTACCCAAAATGTAGCACAGGGCTTCTAGAAACCCAAATGTCAAATTTAAGGCAATTGATTTTGTAGATCACAAGTGAAGATAAGTGACATGCCTCAAAATGGGAGTCAAGGTGCCAAGAACCCCAGGTTTATCTTTTAAAACCTTAAATTCATCAATTGCAACATTTAATTGTAACCATTTCATTAAGACTTAACAACAAACTTATACTGAAGTATTGGATATCATTAGAAATCTATTGTTCTGCTTCTGTCTTTTATCTTTAGGTATTAGGATTTTTTATGCTATTGAAGTCAAACAAATGTGAGTCATGACAGCAATTAAACCTACAAAATTGATTGCTCTTCATTGCAGCCTTCCTGTCTGAAATTGTGCATTTTCTTGTGAAACCGTTTTACAACTTTGTCGGCTTCACTAGAACTGAGGTAAGCATGATGGAATAATCTTATTCTTGACTCTAATAAGTTTAAAAAAATTCACTCTAAAATTAACAAGTAGTAATTTTGTTTAGCTCTTATTTTATAGTGAATGTTTAATTGGTTCATTTCAAGTTTATTGTTAATGGTGCATCTCCTTTTATTTGGTATAAACCAGGTGAATTGTCCATAGCCTGTGTAATGGTTTATGTTTTTGTAACTGATGTCTGAACAGTTAATGCTGCTTGGCTCAGGTTATGGTCGATGGTTAATTTTAACTCAGTTTTCTGGTCAGTGCTTAGTTTTATTTAACTGAGTTTTATGGTTTATGGTTAATTTACTCAGATGTTCCAGGCAGCTCTCCACCACACAGTCAGCTATGAGAAGGCACAGGACCAGCTGGGTTATCAGCCTCTCCAACGAGGTTTAGAAGACTCCCTGGCTCACTTACGTCAGTTAGGCTACGGCAAAGACCCGGAAACTAGCTCTAGTTGGACCTCGTCCCTTCTCTTCAAGATCGTTCTGTCAATCACCATCATCATTGTCTTGGTTGCAGTTTTGCTGTAGGCTGGGCAGGGATTCATTGGGTCGGGGTTCGGATTGAGGCTGCCAGTGTACTAGTGTGCAGTTGTTTTTGCCAACAGAACCATATTGGTTTTCTTAAAGTTTGGTTCAATGTACTATAATTGTACTTTGTAATTTGCCTTCATAAGAGTATGCCTACCTATGTTTTTTTAACATTTAAAAAAAATCTTACAACAGTACTAATTCACTGACTGGCCATAGACCTTATGCGTTGCGGATGTCTCATCAAAGGCTGTTCTTTGTTAGTTAAATTCAGTAATGCTGAATGCACACAAGGATCACTCATACCTATCCAGGTGATAACAAAACAATTGCCCACGAACACCTTAGCACACAAGGTCTAAAGATACCAAAGTTTTCCTGCGTATTCTGGTTTACGCGCAGAGCTTATTATTGACATCAACGTGCTCACACTAGAGCAAAGACAGATGACATAACTCGTCGTTTCTCTATGGTGTTTTGGTGTCTTTAGTGTTTTGCGTAAGATTTTTAGGTGATTAGAGAAATCATAAGGTTGGGGTTTTCCCATTGGTCATTTTGTTTTTGGCAAGTAGTGCAAAACAATTAAAAACGGATCAGTTTATCAGTATTACATTGTCATTTGGTGTGCTAGAAATATTCTTAAGAGAGATGAGAATAATGTGTGCTTTGTTGTGAAGAGGAGGTACTGGTGTCTGTGACTCAACACGAGATTACTCAGGAAGGCCGCTTCGTTCCTAACCATATTTACCACTTTTGAAAAACTTTACCATGTGAACTTGAACCAGATTAAGTTTTCCATGTTTGTGCACAAACCCTCAGAAAACGTTTTGTCTGTAGTATTCAATTTTCAAACTGTGATATGCCGATGACAACTTTGAAAATTATGTAAAATGGTAAATGGTTTAATCTAGATTTTTGCACAGACCTCAAATTTTTTCTTGCACAAAATTCAGAAATCATTGTGAAATCTATTTTTAAGTACAATTTTTCAAATGTTGAAGGTACTATTGTTTTGCCGACAACAACTTTGAAACTTGTGTGAGTTGGATGTAATTGTAGATGCTTTATTCTAGATGTACATGTACATGTACATTAATGCAGAGTCAGGCTGTCATAGAAAGACTGTGTATTACAATCTATGTAATAGTTGTGATTATAATTAAGACATTTATTCCAGATTATTTGTTATTAAATGTTTGTATTTGTTGCTATTAAGATTTTTAAAGAAATTCAGTCTGTAATAATTGATGGGTTATCATTTATGATTTGATATATTCTGATGCATAGGAAATACATGAATAGCTTTAATAATACATTCATGTTTAGTTCTAGACTATGGGTCCACTATTTGGGAGACATTTTTGCCTATAATTTTATTTTGATAAGCCATACAAAACATGGGATATTTCTGGTAACATTACTTTGGCTGTACATGTATACTCTCTCATTGCCTTTTATTGTGTAATTTAGCAACAGATTTATTTCAAACGACCAAAATTGTAAAATTTTACAAAATATTTATAATAAACTTGTAACAGTATATTTGATGAAAAAGATCAAAGATCTACAGAAAAATTATATGCCCTTATAAATAAACAAGAATATGTAATGCGCCTATCAATTGTTCCCCCCCCCCTCCCCCGGGCTGCCCCACCCAAGACGTGGGGATTGTCACTTTTGAAGTGACAAAATCCCCACCCCTCGGGCAAAATTTAAGTGACAATCCCCGACCATGCCCTGACATACATATGTGGGGCACACTAGTGATTGCCTTTAATGTAACACGCCAATGTTAACAATGTAATTTGAGTGACCCAAATCCCCACCCTGGGGCATGAAAAACGTAGCCAAATCCCCGCGGTGGGGGTGGGGAGGGGGGGGGGGACGTTTGAAAGGCGCATAACTATTACAAAAATCCTTGTCAATGGCCTCTCTCTGTGATTTTAATTCTGTGTGGAAAATAACCCCATTCTGTCTTTGACAACATTTCAAAAAGTTTGAAGACGATCGTTCTATATATTTCATGTCTGTACAGTTGAATTGTACAGCAGTTCATAATTTAAGTAATTTATAGACAATTGAGATATAAATACTGCACATTGCAAAAAGGTTGTGTATAGTTGTTAATCATAATGACATGCAAAACACGCAAAAAATATGTACACGCAATGTTCAAAACATTTTGTAACCTCAATTACGTTGATACTCATTTTTTTGGACAAATAGCATTTGTTATATATATATCAGTGATAGATGGCTATTTTGTGATGTTTATGCCAATGAAAAATGACAGAAAGAAGGAAATTAGGAGATTTATTTTTAATATAATGATAAATTAATTTCAATCATGCAATTTCAATTCAAAGATATATTTAAAAATTCACTCAGTGTATTATATAAGCAGTGAAGTTGTTTCATAGTTATTGAAATTGAATAACACGATTCTAAATTATGCAGGTACTCAAATGCTAAGAATATCAACATTCAAAACCACCCCCCCCCCCCCCCCCGCGCCAAAAAGTGGAACAGGCCAAGTGATTCCCTACAGGTACAAAAGTTTGGTTTTCTCATTCCATTAGCCTATCAATTAGAACAATCCTCATATAGTGGTGAGGTTATCCAAGCTTTGTCGGTGTCATGAAATCCAAGAAAAGACGAGTTTCTGCAACCCCCCCCCCCCCTCTTCCAGTTTGTAACGAAGCCATTCCTGACTTTAAATTTTCAAGTGAGCAGGGCGAATTGAGCTGAGACTAAACAATACCGGTAGTGGGTATTGTTAAACTTCGGCTTTGTTTGGCTTCACCTTTTGTTTTTGCTTTCTTGAACTTAAACCCCTCATACTCTATTTAGATGTATTTTCTGCCCACGAAGCCTCACATCGTCTTCATGGAGGCCAGAGTTGGGTGTCGTTTTCATTCTTTTTCAATGGGCAATGTTTTAAAATGTTTCAGAGTCCTAAATGAAAATGCAACAAATTGCCTCTGGGCTTGTCGCCTGTTGACTTTTAAAACCGTCCGGGGTACATCGTATGGCTCTAGGTGGCGCTATTTATGGCGCCATAAATTAAAAACTGCCGACTGACGCGATTTTGTCAACAAAAACAATGGTTTTGCCGACAAGAACAAGGATTTTGATGAATGCAGTTGGTGCGTTGCTCTGGTCCTGTGATCAGACATCGACGATGTCGGCAGCAGTAGGTTGATTTTGCTCCGGTTCAGCTTGGCCAGCCAGTACCGGCTGAACCTCGGCGGGTGTAGCTGGCTCCTGGCTCGCTTTGGCCGGGTGATGGTAAGGCGGAGCGTCACAGAGGCAGCACAACAGACGAGGTACTGCGTAGTAACAGGATGCGGAGCAGACGATGCCAAGGAGAAATCCCAAGATGGATAGTAGGAGGATGACTAGGGATAGAACCTGAGGAGTCGCCTGAAAATGTAAGAAGTATATTGTTCTTTCATTTTGAATTAATGCAGGCCTAATTTGGATAACTTTCATTGTACGCCTACAGAATTATAGGCCTAATTGAGACATGGTTACAAAATGGGCTAAAACGATGAACGCATGCCTCTGTCATCGTTCATTTGAGTGTCTGTGTGGTGTTGATTTATGATTAACTAGTGATGACTTAAATGCAATGTCACCTTAAAATCAAGTAACATTTTGAGTGGTAAAAATGGCAACTTATGTGATACGATCAGAGACCTGCAAAACTGACTTAAGGTTTAATTTGCAAATATGTGGGCTTGTGGACATGAACATTCATGACTCTACTCTTCCTCGCTGAGAAACTGGCCCGCCCCTCCCCTCCCCTTTTGAAACTGTCCCTGATGGTTCTCGGCTATTCTCCTTACATCAGAAACGCAGGTAAACAATGGCGGCACTGTGCCACTGCCGGTTACCAATTCGTCGCTGGTGGTCACCGGTACGTTCTCACAGGGTGGGGTTCTCGACGTCATCTGCCCGGCTATAATGGTGCACTGTATGGCAAAGGCCCCAGAGGCGTGGCAGGCAACCACCAATAGTATCAGCTACAGAAACGAACGAAACATAAGGTCTATTTTATTAAAACAAATATAACTTTTGGCTTAGGAATGTCGTAGATGAGGGTTGCATGCAACAGCACTGCCATATCCATGAGAGCCAGCTCCAGAAATGTGACGTCACATGCTGTAATGTGATGATCTACTTTTAACAAAGAAATGTTTGGGTCACATACTTACTTTCCATCTCCCAACTTTGTCAGCCCTGGTCATGAAGAAAACGAAACAGCCAATAGAACCGGTGATAGTAAGCTGTAACGAAAAATACAGAAATCTGAGTTAATAAATGGCAAGGTCTAAAACCCGGCCAATAAGCACCCTCCTTAATTACCAACTAAAGAGATTTTAATGGTACGTGCATGAACGAAATTGTTGACCCCCCCCCCCCCATTTAACAAAAAGAAAGAAGACTATTACCGTCACACCGGTAGTGGCAGCATTTATGCCCGTGAGCCCCTGTAGGGCACCATTGGTTGTGCCGATGGCTCCAAGTATGAGCAGCACTGAACCGGTTATCAGCAGGCAAACGGATGACACGAGCACAGTGATGCGTACTCCTCGTGGGAGAATGAACGCCGATTGGCCCGTTGATATCGGTGCTGCGCCGGTGGGTCGCATCCTGGAGTTCTCGGCCGAGTTGGCGGTCTGTTCTTCGGTCGGGGCACCGGTCGGAGCTGTGTGATTCGACATTCTGTCAAGCAAGCAATATAATAATGGAATTCTTTAAGATTGATAAATTCGAAAACAAATTATGATGGAGAAAGTACCAACATAATCATTCCTTTTGACTTCTGTGCAAAAGGGTTTGTGTGCACACGATTCCTGCACACTCTCCACCTTTTCTGAATAATTACTGACGTATGCCTGTATTTTGGGTTTTTCTTTGCCCATCCCCTGCCAACGTACCATTTCCGCAAAGATTGCATAGAATCAATAAAATTAATTTTCCCACGGAAACGGCTGTTTTCTTTTCGTCTCCCAATTACTCAGACTATGTCTGCAAATCGTTTAAACCGTTATATTCCGCTTTCGATATCATCACAAAATAATGAACGACCAATCATGTTGAGCGATAGAAGTTGCAGAAAGCATCATTGTATCAGAGACATGGGGATAATCAAAGGGGCGTGGCATGAAGCACCCCAAATCCCCTTTTCAAAACGACCAAGTCTATCAGGTCGTGGCAATAGACCTAATTGACAGTGTTGGAGCAAAGGCTTTGACCCTCAAGGCCAAGGCCAAGGCCAAGGCTTTGACCCTCAAGGCCAAGGCCAAGGCCAAGGCTTTGACCATCAAGCCTCGAGGCCAAGGCCAAGGCTTAACCCTCAAGGCCAAGGCCAAGGCCAAGGCCCTGTTTTATGAAATGACCACTGATATAGAACTAATTATAGTCACATGAGTGACACATCATCACGCAAGGGCGGATCCAGAACACAATTTGGGGGGGGGCAAAGAAATTTTGGTCCCCCCAAAAAAAATTGGGTCAAAAAATTACGGCTTGGGCTTCGGGGATGCTCTGTGGCGCGATTTGAGGCAATTTCTGACCATTTTAACCAATGTTTTTTGAGTAAAAGATGGTGGTGTACTCATTGCCTGCCTTTATTACGACGTCACATACAAAAAAAATGGTTTCTTTTTTTGGGGGGGGGGGCATGGCCCCTTTTGGCCCCCCTGAATCCGCCCTTATCATCACGAATTGCTCGTTACGAAGAACAACATTTCTTTAATTGCAATCAACATGCTCGCATAGGCCTACACCGTTTTATGACTGCACTGTATCTATTAAAGTATAAGTTCAGGTCTTCAATATGGTTTAACTAAACAAAAATAATGATGGTTTAACTAAACAAAAAACGGAATATTTTTGCAGCAAATCTACTACAATGGTAACAAAATGTGATGCTACAAAAGTGGAAGTGTGCCCAACACACAAATCTATAGGGTGCTTCCCTCCTCCATGGTAATACGATTAAAATGGTAACAGCAAAATTTCGAACAGATTTATCTGGAAAATGCAAAAATCTATGGGCCTTGAAGAGCCTTGACTCAAATTTGCAAGGCCCTGAACCCTCAAGGCCAAGGCCAAGGCCAAGGCTTTTGCCCTCAAGCCTCGAGGCCAAGGCCAAGGCCCTAAAATCCAGCCTTAAGGCAGCCTTAAGGCCAAGGCCCAGCATCAAGGCACTACATCACTGCTAATTGACGACGAAGCCAATTAAGATCCTAGTCCCTGAATCTATTTTATAAATTGTAAACTGTTGAATGAGATGTTGCCAGAGTGCGTTCTAAGCCTCACTTTCGATTTTTTTTTAAAATGTGGACATTTTGGGTATAATTGTTTAATCATAAATTTTAATACTTATCAGTCTAGCAGACTGGTATTAATTTGTAATGCACTTGTATTTCATTGCTATCATTTCTACTCGCAATTTTCAAAACTGAAGAGTTGACCTCGCTTTCAATTTAACATGGCCGACTCGTGAATAAAGTCCATTGCTCGATAATTTTTGTCTGCACGTTTTCTTTCCAGAGGACAATATTGCACTTGGCAGTATTACAACTTTTTAGTCTGTCCGGATTTCCTATTCCGGTGGAGTTTCAGGGTCACCATCTTGCGAAATACTTGAACCGGGAAATACCAGCTGAGAAACTGTCTCATTGCACAATACCATGTTCATAAAAAGATCACTAACTCCAAGTGAACAACCCATCCAACAACTTCAGTCCATTAAAAGCCTCACTTGAACTTCATATCATAGGTTTGGGTAACGATAAGACAGCAGTTTGTCAGGAAAAGTAATACTGCTGGGTCCAAAGGCGTCAATCGCTTCTTAAAAGTGTGTGTGTGTGTGTGGGGGGGGGGACAGTACCAACTCAGTTGTCATTCTGGTCGCTTGCCGAAATTGGGTTGAATGTATCGACGTTGAATGTAACGATGTATCGAATTTTTGTTTTAAGAAGATGAATGACAACAGGGACAGATTTAGAAGTGGGTGGGGTAGATGATGGGGGGGGGGGGGTAGCAGGCATGTGGTACTTTCTCTGCATGATTTTTAAATTTCTTTTTGCGACCCAAGTGGGTGGGGTGGGCGGGGTTACGACCGTCTATACCCCAACTTCCCCCCCCCCCAAAAAAAAAAGAACGCATCGGGCCATGTTCTGAGGCCGAGGATATGCGGCCTAGATTGCTTCCGCTAGCCGGTTGCTACACCACCCAGCATCCTGCTTATCGGATATGGTATCACATCATGCGACAAGATAGACACGGATATCGAATTTGTGACTGATTACGTCCGGTTCACTAAGTAAAATTTCTGGTTTCACAATCGGAACTGACATTTTTATTCCGCAAGTAGGGCAATGTCCCACGTGGACTATGCCATCGGCCAGCTGTGAAATCATCCGTCATTTTTTTTCTGTATCATTATAGTGCTCTAGAATGAAACAGAACCTTCATTGCAAAGGGAGGGGCTAACGGGAAGGACATTTAGGAAATTTAACTGAAATCCGTACTCCGGAGGGCCCCACCTTCAGTGGCCAAAGCACTGTGCCAGCTATTGTCAAGATTTTAAGATAATTTATCAATGGGGCAGTTTCTCAAGCTCGCTCGGGGATGGCACACAACCGGCTCTACTGGAAACTTGTCTTGTAAACTCAGACGGACAACGCCCAGTTCTCTTCACAGCCCCATAGCCAGGCGCGGTTCTACGGGGGGGGGGGGGGCTAACCGGTCTACATTTCAGCACGCCTCCCTGAAAAAAATTCTGGATCCACCGTGCTAGCTCCCCCAAAATATTGGTTCTAGAACCGCGCCTGCCCATAGCCCCACCCCAAAGCAATCATGGTTTCCCCACACACAGACAAAAGGTCTGTAATTCAAAGGCGGATCCGGAGAGGTTACTGCCGGAGGCCGAGGGCGGATCGGTAGGGCTTTAATTAGTGAAAAATTGTCTTATTTGAGAGAACTCGAGCGGCGCTGCCGGGGCGGGGCGCCCCTCCGCACCCCTGGCCCCCGGCTTGGATCCGCCACACTGTATTTATAGTCATTGTGGTGTGTGATAGTTTTACAAAGTCTTCAACAATTTTCGATGTACTATTATGTAGAGCAACATGCCTGATATACATCAAGATATTCAAATCCCCGTGAGATAAAATAAAACTATAGACAATTAGACATAATATATAGACATAACATACGAATCCTTCTCATTCCTATACATGCTACAACTATATTTTCACAGTCAATATGAAATTCAATTTGAATCATATCAAGTTTAGTTTAACTCTGTCTGATATACCAAAAACTTGCAAATATACATGTACTCACATTTTGTAGTATCTCAAAACCGTCTGCGGAGAGTCTAGACACGATGTGGATAACGCAGGTAGCAATGAATAAAATGCAGAGACGTCCGATCTGTGTTGATTATGTAGACTCGCCTACGTGCAGTCACTCACGATCTCAATGCAAGCCGTCTGACCCCAACATTGATTGAACGTGCACGCCTGCAGACTTCACATGGGTATAATGAGCTGATACACATTCGTCAATTGAAGGATATATCACATGCAGCGTGCATGATGGTTGAGTTTCCGGGAAGTAAGTTCGCGGCTTGTGGCTGGACCGTATTCCGACGTGATCGGTATCCTGCAATGTAGCCAAGTTCAAGGACATCGGAACCGGATTGGGAATAAAATTAATGGAATTGGAAAAAGGGGGTTGCAGGTATTTGGTAGTTGAAAAGTACGGCTACGGGTGAAAATGAAAAAAAAAAATGAGGATAAGCCTACTCCAGAGGTTCAAAGTAGGGGTAAACGTAAAGTTGTCTTTAAAGTCGTAATTTCGAAAGGGATGTAAAAGATGGGGGCCTATTCTCAATCCGTCCACGGTCAGTGTCTTTGACTCCGCCCGTACCTGTGCGCGTGATAAAAATCTGGGAAAGAAGTGGCCAAAACGCACACGAGACTCCAAGGGGAGGGGCAAATAGCCTCTCCCCCCCCCCCCCCGGCCCCGTACTGTGGTTACCCCACGGCCGGATCTTCTACACCGTGTAGAAGATTCGTGGTTACCCTACCTGCCGCACGCACGCATACGTGACCCGTTAAAAGAGGCGTGCGTGGTCATGTGAACTTATAAGGCAACATTTGCCAGTACATCTTGAAGGATGTTCAAAATAACCATCATGGCCACGCCTACCACCAGGGCGATCTTCCATTAATAAACTTTCTAGCGTGGTAGCTGTGGTGGGTAGAGGAGGGGAGGGGCGTAATAAAGTGGGTGTTGTCGCGCGACGAGTGATGTCATGTTGAGGGCGCTCTATACAAAGCTCTAAATCTAGACTGGTTACGCTTACATTTTAGTGCATGCCTTGTTCAGGTCTAGAGGAAGGAATCAGACCTCAGTTAATCATATGACTGCGAGTGCACGCAACCGGCCCTTCATTGAGACCTCTCAACTGCTAAGTTCAATATTTAAAAAAAAAATTTGAGGCAGAAATTGCCTGTATCCTGTGGAAATCGAAGCAAAATGGCCGACATCATGATGTATAATGTGATCATATTGGGATTCGCATTTATGTTTGTCTTTACTGCTTTTCAGACGACTTCCGGAATTGAGGTAAAGTCACGTCACGGGACGCGGGACCGGGAAATTCCGGAAAGATTCCAATTTTATTTCACCCGTGCATATAATTAGAAGGCTTCTCTCCGTCAGCCTTCTAGCATGGTGATTTTTCGGGAGTCAGCACTCTATGACTATGGTTTTTGGAAATGCCCTTTGAAAGACGAAATACCTTTGTCTGAAATTCCACTTTCTGAAACACAAAAAAATGACAAATCCACCAAAAAAGTTGAGTTGGTTGAGTATAACTGAAATGTTAATAGAACGATTGACATTTGGATCATGGGACAATTTTTTGGGAGAAAAATCTTAGTTTTTACTCACCAACCTCGCGTTGCCGATCCGACGAAATACAGCGGTCATGTTCATGTGTGTTTACGTACGTTGCGCGTATGTTGGGAATCTTTCCAAGTCACGTCACGCCAGGGTCACAATCCGTCACAAGCCCCCATGTCATGTATGATGTGGCTGAAGCTGAAATACTGGACTACTTCCGTATTATCAGCCACACAATGCCATATGACCTGTGCGTGGAAGGTCCCATTGCTAGAAAAGAGCATAAAATCAAATTAAGAATGGAATTATTTTGTCACTTTATAATCACACAATCCCGTCTACAACTGCTTAATTATAGCAAAAAAACGTTGAATTCATTACTTTCACTAGTTTAAGAGGTCTAGTTATCTTGTAATTTCGGATTGAATTCGGACAAATTTCTGCTGCCATTGTTCACGAAAGCATCATGCTGAAATTGCACCCTCACTAGCTTGCTTCAAATGTTGGCAAAGTGCATCGGTACGGCTGTTGCCTGCCATTCAGTATTGGTCAAAAGTGCATGCATTCGTGAACAATGGCAGCAGAAATTTGTCCGAATTCAACCATTCATTCCACTATTCAAAGTATTCCTAGAAAAGGCTATATACTTCAAAAGTGTTTTTCCATTTGTTTTTGTTTTTTGTTTTCTGTATTTCAGGAAACGGTGATTGAGAGTGTCCAACACGACTCGTCCAACAGTACCCGGCAGGAGTTTGAAGGGAGTGGCTACTACAGTTTAGCCATCATCTACGGAGTGTTTGCATTCTCCAACTGGCTAGCGCCCTCTGTAGTCAGTCTGATCGGTCCGCGGGCGACCATGTTCATCAGTGGGGCTGTCTATACTGGGTTTATAGCCATCTTCCTGAGTCTCAAAATATGGAGTTTGTACATGATGTCTGTGTTTCTAGGAATAGCTGCAGCATGTAAGATCTTTTGATTTTTGTTAATAATTTACCAAATTGCCAATGACTTCCAAAATTGTCACTGTAATCCAAACAGTCTGTAAATCAATCCCAAGGCATCGTAGATATAATAATTAAAAAAAATTGAAGACCACCTATGTATGGAACTAAAGACATGTGAAAGTTATTTCTGGATCATTGTGATACCATCTGCAGTGATATGGACGGCCCAGGGCAACTTTCTGACAATCAACTCGACCAGTGAGACAATGGGACGTAACAGTGGCATATTCTGGGCCATGCTTCAGTGCAGTCTCCTCTTTGGAAACATCTTCATCTACTTCGAAATTGGGAAAACCAGTGCCACGTACATAACTGGTAAGATGATCAGGAAAAACTCTTTAACTTTTTTTTATTAATAAATACATAACTTAATTCCTCGTGGTCTGCCCTCCCCCATTTTATCCGTCCTTTGTTAGTCCTTCCACCCCATTCCCTGTGATCTTGCCCACACTGGTGTGGCCCCCCCCCCCCATTAATCCCTCATAGTCTGTCCCCTATTTAATGCGTCCTTTGTTTGTTCTTCTACTCCTTTCCCTTTGATACTCATCCACATTGGTCTGTCCCCTTATTAAATACCTTTTTTGTGTTTGTCTTCCCAACCCTGCATGCTTGTGAGTCCCTACATGTTTCTTTCTTGTACCTCCATCATATTGCCTCTGAAGAAGATCTTGTTGACATCGCAACGTGCGACCGCCTTGCTTTTTTAGATTTGTATATTTCAGGTCAATCCAGTCAGAAAGCAGTTTGCAGCAGTCTTTTTCATTTTCAAAAACAAAACTTCTTGAATGTGTGTAAAATTAAGTTCCTAGGATGATTGTGGCCTACCTACAATGTGAAATAACTTATTACAAGTGTTTCTTAATTCCTCAGAAACAACACGAACGACCATCTTCCTCGTCCTCACCTCTGTGTCTGGTATCGGAGTGCTGATATTCCTGTTGCTTCGCAAAGTGCCACCGAGGGACGAAAGCTCCATCCAGTCCACAGAGCAGAGGTAGATATGTTAACCACCTTAGACAAAGATACACTGCTTTGCTCTTTGCTTAGAGTTGTAATGAAGTCGTCACGAGACATCTGGTCTCAAGTCATGTGACGAGCTGTTCACATGAATTGTTACAATGGCATTCCTCTTACATGTTACATGTGACCTGACACGTGATCTGACCCATACCTGACATGTGATTGACCGATGACCTGACTTGTGATTTGACCTGTAACCCGAATTGTAATTTGACCTCTGACCTGAGTTATTATTGGACCTATGACCTGACTTGTGATTTGACCTCTAACCTGAGTAGTAATTTGATCTATGACCTGACATATGATTTGACCTCTGACCTAAGTTGTAATTTGACCTATGACCTGACTTGTGATTTAACCTATGACCTGCTTTGTGATTTGACTTGACAGATTTGACTACACTCTGGGTCCAAGTTCCACCAGTTCTGAAACACTCCCCTTTATTTGTTGCTTACGTGTTTCATTTTTCTGATCTCCCGTACTTGTGTCTGTTTGTCACAGCCCAGATACCGATGTCAGGTTGGGCCCAGTCCAGTCATTAGGTGAGTTGCATACCAACATTCACACACAGGCAGTTTTTGTAGCGCAAATTAGTGCTAATGACTTGTGGAGTAACCTTAAAGTTTTGAGATCCTACATAAGTTGTCTTTTTTTGCGGGTCTAATTTTCTAGTTCGGTCGTTCCAACTACTCAAGATGAAAGCTATGCTGCTGTTGATGGTGTGTTTTTTTTACACAGGTAAGTTGTTTCACATTCTTAAAAAATAGTTGTTTACATTTTTAACCTTCTCTGAGTTTATGCCATAATTAAATTCTTGTCTTTAGTAGCACAGTCATATTCCTAATGTCACGCTTGCAGGTTCAATGGAGTCTGGTTGGCCCAGTGGTTAGATTCCTCGCATTCCAGCTCTGTGACCCGGGTTCCATTCCCACCCAGGCAGACATGTGGATTGTGTTCTCGATTCTTGCCTGATTCCAAGGGTTTCCTAGAAATATTCTCCAGCGTTCACCTCCCACATCTACATCTGAACATTTCTTCATCGCCTCCCCTCGAAATTTCTCCAACCTTCCAAGCTACAGAACCTTTCCACTTTTAAGGTTTCGCTCATTTTACTCCCCCTGAAATATCAGATAAACAACAGCTTGGTGTAGTTGCTGAAGTCTGTAACTGTCGTTTTGTCCATTTTTGTTGTTTTTCCTAGGCCTTGAGTTGACGTACTTCAGTGGTGTCTATGGAACCTGCGTTGGTAACACCCATCTGTTTGGTATTAAATCCAAGAGTTACGTCGCCTTGTGTGGTATCTTGATTGGATGTGGAGAAATCCTAGGTATGCCCATAGGGGTCAAATGTCAAATTAAAATCTAATAGATTACAGGGACAGTTGTCAAAAAGTTTACCAGACTGGAATTTTTTTGCAGTCCCAAAATGAAAAATTCACATTTGCAGTTTGAATCGTAATAATAAGTTTTTTACAAGGTCTCAGAGGTCTAAGCGTGTGAAATATGATCAAAAGTAAAAAATATGACATTTTGAAAGCAAGTTTTTCTTGTTAGGATTTTTTAGCTGAATTTTTATTTTCTGGAAAGCTGAAATTTAAGAGCTGTTTTTGTACCGTCCCTGCCATAGAAATGTTCTTAGTTTACTACCTTTACTATCTCGCATGCTGCAGGTGGAGCCATCTTTGGCCTGATGGGACGTCGTACCAACAAATACGGCCGTGATCCCATCGTCCTGCTTGGCTTCATCGTTCACATCATCGCCTTCTATCTCTCCCTCGTCAACTTACCCTCCGGCTCACCCATTAGTGACACCTTTAACCAAGAAGGCTACATCCAACCCAAGTAACTATCAAATTTCCCTCAAATCTCACAATTCTGTACTAAAAAAATATGCTGAAAGTCAAACTTTACTTGAATTGAATTTCTTCTTAAAATATTACCTGTCTTTTAAAAAGAGACGTCTTTCTTCATTCCACAGTCTGGCGCTTGCCTTAGTCACTGCTTTTCTGCTTGGCTTTGGAGATGCCTGTTTCAACACCCAAGTCTATTCCATTCTGGGGTACCTCTTTCCAAACGACAGTGCCCCTGCCTTTGCACTGTTCAAATTTACACAGGTAGGTACCAGTCACATAATCTTTTCATTCTGCCAGTCATTGCTAAATATTGACTTAGTTCTATGTCATCGCATCGAGAAATTATTGAGAATGGACAGTAAAAGTCTTGTCGTTGGAGGTAACAGAGTGGTAAAGGCTCATCACATATGACTTTGGTCACTAAGTTAACTTTTGTGTCTTATAATATGAGTTTAATAATTAAATAGTATCATTTTAGCTTATTTAATGACCTGCCATCAAACGTTTGCAGTGACACTCTTGACTTCCCTAACCACATGGCAGAAATGGGTTTATGGTTTCTGACTAATGCCCCACGAACAAAGACATTGTCAATTTGGGAGATTGCTAGCATAGTGCTTCATGGCTTAGCTGAATGGTGTTCCAAAGGTCACAGGTTAACATCCCTCTCAAGTTGATTTACTTGCTCAATATTATATTGAATAACAATTTTCTCCTCAAGTCTGTTTGTTTCTTGATTGTTTCAACAGTCTCTATCAGCAGCCATTGCCTTCTTCTATGCCAAGCATCTTCTCCTTCACTGGCAGCTGTTGATTCTTGTCGTCTTTGCTGTGCTGGGTACGATGTCCTTTGCCGTGGTGGAGTGGACTGCTAGCAGGAGAGTCAGGGAAGGATATGAGAAGATTTAGCCAGGTTAGCTAAATTGAGACCAAGTGTTCTGAATTACATCCCTTGTTACCTGCAACCAGACTTGTGATTTGACGTGTGATTGACTCACTGTCAATTTTGTTACATAATTATGTGGTATAAAAAGCCATTAAAAATTGGTTCCAGTTCATTCCTTAACCAGTTCGCGCCAGAGGCCGTGTATACACGCAAATGTTTTGCAGTATTCAGAAAAGATGACAGATAAAGATGCAGGGAGCGAGGCCAGAAAAATCGGTCAGCGACCCGCTCACAACGAGCGAGGCCAGTAATATGGGCGTGCTACCTGAGGGTGATGGCTACAACTCCCCTGGCTTCAGGTAGAGTGAAAAGTATTCCCACGCATCGTTCTGTTCTTGTCAAAATAATCCCGGTGTGAACTGGTTAATTGACTGTATCCAGATAGAAAGGCCATCAATTGTTTTCAAAAATAAAAGTTTCCTTTAATTGTTGTAGGCTTGGAGCACCAGCAAAGTGAACTGGTGTGATTCTGCAGCTGACGTATTGAAATATTTTTTTCATATGAGAATTTTGTTTTCTCATTTACATCAGCTCTAATAAAGTGGGGCTAACAAATGTTGAGAAATGTCCATTTGATTAAACATGGCTGGGGGTGGGGAAGGCCACTCTAGCATTTTTGAGTATACTTTTACTGCAGAAAGCATAGTAGTTACACAGCGTCCATGTGATTTTTCATATGTACCAAGTTAAAAATGTACTAGGTCAACTCAGAATGATTGTGTGTAAATATAGATGCATGCTGGATTGCTGGTATTATTTTACCTTGCTTTTGGCCTTTATACAAAGCCTTCTTATATGATCTGAATATGTTGTATGTTATGTACATTAAAAATTGAAATGATTTCAATGTTAAAAACAAAAACTCGCCTCCAAAAGGATAGTACTCACAAACAAAAAGTAATGGTGGTGGTGTGGAATTGCGTGTGATTAATGAAGGACAGGTTAGGGTTCAGTATTAATTACATCAAGCAGAGACTGAAATAAAGAAAAAGAGATCGTTATATCAGTAATGTTTTCCTTAAAATTGTTTAATAATGAACTTGTAACAATGTACCTGCCACAAGCAAAACACATTTAAACAGCAAGTGGACAAATACTAAAATCTGTTTTAAGTTTCAATCATAGGTGATTAAAAAAGTGATGTAAAACTTCATGTGTTGAAATTTGGGTTTGTTTTTATAAAATCACATTGAATTTAAAAAAATATATACCAAATGTAATAAAAATGTACCCCTTATTATCAAACGTGATTGTGTACAATACAAAACTACAGTGTTGTATCTATTTGAATTACATTTATTTTTCACTTAAAAATGTTGGCAATTTAAAAAAGTGCCATTTTTTTCTGTGAAGTGTAACTTTACTGCTACAAATTTTATCAGAAGCTTATCGACGGTGATGTATTTTTCTATTTTTGCCAAAGAAAATTGATGAATAAAAGCTTTGCAAAATCACAATTGGTGTTTTTTTTTTCCATTCTTGACTGTAGTATGTTGAGTTACTAGTACTTCTTCAGACATTTGGACTGTAACTGTGAGAGAAAAGCCACTGTCTTAGTCATACTAGCAAACATTACACAAAGTTAATGCAAATCCATTATGGTACCAAAACTCCAAAATATGCTCAGGTTGGGACTTGTCTTAATTCTAGATTCCACTTATTAAGGTCTTCAGCTGGAGATAGCATGACATGGGAGTTAAGTATATTGTATGTTATGTGGATGCTTCAGCCTCATTGTTGGTCCTCTTTTTGGAGTCAAGGAGGTCGCTTAGCTGGGTCAAGGGGATCGCTTAGTCGGGTCAAGGAGGTCGCTTAGCCGGGTCAAAGACCTCCCATAACCTCTCATACTCTGCAATGAACGGCTCAACAATCTCTGGGTTATTTGTAATCAGCACATTCTCATTGTTGCTGTTGACGGCATGGCAAGTCCAGTTGAAGGAACCATTGATGAGCGTCGTCCCATCGATGACAACAAACTTATGATGCATCAAGTAGCTGGAGTAATCCCTTCGTACTTGGATCCCTGCACAAAATAAATCAAAAGTTGTCAGAGAAAATTTTTATTTTTTTTAATTTTTTTTTTAAAGTTTATGCCAACTTGCCAAATGTGCACTTTACCCTCCCACGTATGCATCCCATTCCAAGGCTTGATGAGTAACATTTAAAAATTAACTTAATAAATGAAACTCAACATTTCCTTTCTTTACTGCAATAGTTTTACACTTGTGATAAGAGTGGGATGAGATGACATTTTTGTTGAATAACAGTCATACATTTTTTTCAGTTCATATCCGATAAGTCAAAAAGATTAAAAAGTTAGCCCAGATTTGGACAAAACTGAAACTCCATTCCCTGTTTTAACTAATCAATGAACCTACCAGCTCTTCGGAATTTTCCGATGAAAGTCCCAGACATGTTCATTGCTTCATCGTCTGTGATGATCCGCACCACATTCCCTCTTTCGTGCAGCTTGACGACTAACTCTGCCAAGTCATTATTCGTTATCGTATACATGCAAATGTCTAGGGATTGTTTGGCCTTCTGTATGTGTCCGACCATCCTGCTGAAGTTTGTCACATTGTGGGAGAAGGGGCACTTGGGCCTTCCACACCCTCTCTCCGACAAGAAAAAGTCAGGGCAGGTGCGCTCCTTGTCTGGGAAGAACAAGACTTGATGAAATATGTCTAAAGATCGTGCAGTTTCAATGGTCGATTTCCGGGTAGCAGACGACGCAACAAAATAGCTCCACAACCTCTGGTGAACTTTCGTCTTGTACAAGTAGTAAAGTACTTCTGAACAAGCTCCAAATGCGAGAATAACTGTGGGCCACGAGCGTAAACTCATCTTTCAGAATCTCCCTTTTCAGACAATGAACGAAATCCCAAATTCTCAACATGAAACTAGAAATATTGTGCACAAAGCATGCTAACTTGCACTGCCGAGCAACACCTCTCATAATTAAATGTCCATGCGCAGCATTCGCGGAGTGATATATCATATGATATATATTTTTTCGGTACAAGCCATACTCAAATTATTGTTTTGTTCAAAAACAAAGTAATCCAAAAACGAAGTACGATTTTATCATCCCTTGCAATATAATTCTTGTTATTATTTCTAATTAATTGCCATTTTAGGAACTACTTTTACCGAAAGGCTCAAATCTCGTTTGACTACGATATTTCACGAATATTTACGTGAAAGACACGACGTCGAAAACATGGTGAGTACATTTCTGTGCATTCTGGATTTCATTATTAACGATTTTTGTGCGATAAATCGATTATATTTTGAAATCATTTTTCTTTCTAGGCGAGCTTAGACGACACAGAAGATGTTGCCTTGGATTTTGGATCAGAAGATGATTGGAGAAGGAAGCGAGCAATACGGTAAGTAATGTTCCCCGTGATGCCCAGTTTCCGGACAACGCAAATGAATGCAGTATGGGGTTAGTCAGTGTTATTGTTCACATTTATTCTTAACTTATTGTTCTTAACTTAAGCCAGCAGATCATATAGCGCCCTCATGCACATGTATATACGAGTAGGCCTACATTATAAAAATACCAATAAACATCAGGCAAATGTGTGGCCTAGTGGATAGAGTGCCTGCCTTGCAAGTCATGCCCCTTGAATTCAAATCCCAGCGCAGCTGTTGTTGAACTCGAAACATTTTTTTGCCTTACTTTAAATTAAATCCTACATCTAATTACAGAGTTGTTAATGTTAATTTTTTTTTTCTGATTCGAGGCTCTGGAGGATTTGTTTTGAAGGGAAATAAAGTCCCAAATTGTAGTAGGTCTGATTCCCATCTTGTGAAAACGAAGTCACAATGACACTGTTAGACCAGAACCATACTATTAAGATTGTTACGCTTAAAATTTTGATTTCCAAAAAACGGTCAATGTACATGTTTAGTGCCGTGCTGGTACAATAATGAGGGCAATCAGGGACCAGTTCACGGTCAAATATCCACTGCCTTTATAAAATGTTTCAAAAGTTGTCGAGGTCTTTTATTAAAGTTAGGGAGAGTCATTTGCAATAGAGGGTGCTGCAAAAACACTTTGGTACGAAAAACTTACCCAATTTTAAAACTGACTTCATAGTAAATTTAAAGCATAATATGAGATGAATTTTCATTAAGACAAAAATTTGAAAGTTTTTTAATTGTATCTTCTGAACTTTGTCATAAATGTTGTGTTGAAAAACTTCCATCACAGCACTTTCTTGTGCCAAGTTGTCAAAGTGAATGATAAAAAGTGGAATAATATTTCCTAAACCATATTTGTAACAGGTTAAGACTTTCTTGATAAATGATTCAGAGAGATGTGTTGTTTTTTTCATGACTACAGGTATCCCGCAGCGGCCTTTTTTCATCTCTTCTTCAGAGTGGGGGCGCTAGTCTCCTATCTCTTCTGCAACTTCTACAGTTCCAGCTTCATCGTTGATTTCGTTGTCATCCTCTTTTTTGTCTCACTGGATTTCTGGACGGTCAAGAACGTGACGGGTCGGTTGCTTGTTGGGCTGCGCTGGTGGAACCACATTGACGAAGACGGAACAAGTCATTGGGTGTACGAGTCCAGAAAGGTGAATATGAAGAAATATCTTTAAAAAAAAATTAAAAATTGGTTTTAGATCCATTGACAGTTGTAAACAAGTCATCATAAGTCCATAACATGTTTAGTTCTAAGTCAAGTGGCAACTTTAAAAATTGTGACAAAATTTTAATTTCTCTTCTTTCTGTCAGGGATCCAAGAAGAACACAGAGACAGCCACAGAGTCCCGGTTATTCTGGCTCGGTTTGGTCATCTGCCCAATTCTCTGGGTTATCTTTGTCTTCGCTAATCTATTCTCCTTCAGATTTGCATGGATGGTGAGTTTTACATCTAACCACCCCAAATACTTCAAAACCCATCAGAAGCAAAATGGATTCAAAAACTGTACCACCAGCTGTTGTGTTACATTGGACACTCACAAGGGGAGCTATGCAGCACTGTAGTCTCCTAATAAGCCATTTGGGAGTGACCTATACCCTTCGGGATTTAAATTTGAAAAACATCTGGTACACTGACTTGCTCCGAATGCTTGGCAGATTTTAACTTCGAAATCTCCAGACCAAAGACACTGTTGCTAATCACATGATTCGGGGCAAGCTCTTACATAGTCACGTAAGAGACGTTCAGCACCAATACATTGTTCACAATGGGTGAGAATGGCACAAAGACACCAGACCATGCTGGAGCTGGGGGTTGCTAGCAGGCTTGCCCCAAATCACGTAGTATGGCAACAGTCTCTTTGGTCGGGAGAATGTAAAGTTAAAACGTACAAAGCATTGGATTAAGTTAGCGTTCCAGATTTTAATCAAATTTAACTCCCAAATGGCTTATTTGTCAATGCCTTTACTCATGGTGTACTTGTCAAGGCCATTGAATCGCACATTGCAATGCAAGTACAAATCAGCAGTGTTGATAAATTTGGCATCTTAGAGTTGGAGGTTTGAATCCCTCATCAGTCAATTCTTTTATTTTGGTTCTTGACAGGTTGTATCGCTAGTTGCCCTGGTGCTGAGTGTTGCCAATCTCTTTGGTTACGTCCGATGTAAAGTCAGTTCGAGGAAACAGCTGTCAACAATGGCCACGCAGTTCCTGGGCCAACAGATGATGAGTAGGGTAGGTACTCGGCCATCTCAGTTTCGGTCAAATCTAATAAAATCTATTAACAAGGATGTTGAGAGCATGGGCAGCAATTGTAAGAGTAAAGGGGATTGGAGAGATTTGTAAAGTTACGTACCATTGTTTTACCATGGACAGTGCCATCTTGTGTTGAATGATGTCCAGCCTCCGTCCACCTTCCTGTATGTGAACAGCGCCACCTAGAGCCAGATGATGTCCAACTTCATCCATCCCTACCCCCATCTTTCAAAATTTTCCAAGACACTACAATCCCCCCCCCTACCAAACCTACCCCACCACCAATTCTTCAAAGAAGTTGTAACGTCTGTGGTTTTAAGTTTCCAAAGTGTCCGTAATTGGATTGATAATTACAGAATGAAAAGCAGCCCTGACAGTCTTTGCATGGCTATATAATTTGTTGTTTGTTTGCTCTTGCAGGCCATGGCCAGTGCAACTGCAACAGGCACAGGTACAACACAGGGATGATGGAAGAGTCGGCAAGTAACTAAAGCTTATATGCTTGTAGTTGTACATATCTTGTCTATTTATAATTTCTATATTAACATGCCATTTAGTATGCGGAGGTTTTTTTGTTGTAGGGTCTTTGCTATGGAGTACTGAAGTGTGACGTCATTTTGAACCAGAAAGTGTAGTGCAAATGAATGGAGTCACGTGCGTGTTGGTTCGCAGGTTGAATCATGCGCTAATGTCTTCCACACACATTTTGTGCGCGTGACGTATTCACTTCGGTACTCCATAAAGCTATCAAGGTCACATCCTAAAATGAATGATGAACTCATTTGCCTGGGTGCAGCTTTATTTACTGGTATGTGGGTAAAGGATTGCTTTAGAATCAGTACTGTTGAGGCTCAGCCACTATTACTGTACATGGGTGGTTTATGGCCTGGCTTTCTTCATGTGCCATAGAGTTAGTCCAATGTTTGGATTTTAGAGGATTCAGGAAGATTCAAGGTGAAATGCCTTTGGGGCTGAAGGTGATGGAAAAGTGTGGCTAATTTATTGGGGAAGATATTGTATGCAGAACGTAAATGTAATTTCAAGTTAAAAGGGCTCTGGTGGGCTATTATTGTTTTCTTCAAATACTGTAAATATTAATAAAGTTATTTTTCAAAGAGGGCCCTTTTTGAATTTTTGCAAGGGGCACAGAATTGTAATGTTCCCCTCCATATGCAGCTCAAATCATGTGCAAATATTGAAACGGCTTATAAGTTGAGAACTTTGAACTTCTGTGTCATGTTGAAAGTTGGAACTGTTTTCGTCTAATTGTAATACATGAACACTGATGTCACCAAAAGATTAAAATGCTGCTTTTTGTTTTGTTTTCTTACAATATTAAAAACATTTAGTTTTGGTGGAAATTTGAGAAAATGTAAAAAACAAAATTGCTCTTTTTATGATTCACATTTTTGAAGTATGGGGGATATTAAAATTATACATATTGAACACTTGAAGGCGACTGAACATTTTTGTGAACAAATATTTTTGTGACAAATGGAAGAAGAATTTAGGCCAAAGTTAATGATTGGTGATTGATGTCATATATTTCTATCTAGACAGAAAAATGTTTGGAAAATGTATTCTGCTTAAAATTTCGTCTTGGTTTTTTACTTCAAATTTGCATATTTTTGTTTTTCTTTTACATTCCATATCAATTCTTGTATGTAGCTCAAATCTACTTTCTTTGTACATTTTGCTTTTATGTTGTAAAAACTCCCTTTATGAAATATATCCTATTGAAGAAAGGTAATTCCGTGGAATTTTGTGCTTTTCTTTGCCAATATCTGGTTGATTAGAAAATAAAATGGGTGCAGAGTTAGGAGTCCAAATCTTGTGTTCCAAGTAAAAGCAAATCATATTTTTACTAAGAGAATGCCCAAGCCGTTAAGAAAGGTTTTGGAGACGTGTATATTACACACACACAAAAATTTATTTCATACCTGATATAAAATGCCATCGAGGTGTACACTCTAACCTCGTCATCCTATCGTGATAGAGGGCGCCCTTCAAAGCTACCGCTGAAGCGAGTGTCGTCTGCCGGATTTTACGCATGGATGATTGCCCTCAGCGGGTTGTGCGTTGCTAAGCAACCATACACGGAAACGTCTAGCTTCGATGATATTCACCGCGGAAGGATGGGATTTTCGTACCACGTTCGTTTCGTGCATGTACGTGAATTGCCACAAAAATGTGGTTTCATGATAAATTAATTGTGGCAAGGATGATTATTTTTTTTTAAAAGTCATATATTGAGTTTGTTACATTCCAATAAATGAACGAGATCTCTTAATTGGATCGACCGTTTGTATGTTATCGACCAAATTCACGCCCACTTGAAACATGATATTCTTGTAATTAGAATCGTTGGTCTGGAACTAAGTCGCCAACGCCCAGTCGTTATAGATCGGTGGTCATCATCCAAACATCTCCGATGCATGCGTAATGTAAGGGACGTATCTTGTGTATGCCAGTTAGAAAATAAATAATGAGCGTGAAAAAATATATAGATGTTATCCTGTATCAATAGATGAAACTGCTTTAATATTGTATAGAACGATGCTGAGTTTTATGCATTGGGACATTTGGGTAGTGAACATGTGTTTCTCCTCATAGATTGTCAAAAAAAAATCGTGTGCTAAAAAAAAGGTTTCTTTTGCCCGTCCCCGCCAGTCCCTCGCCATGCAGCCGAAGATGAACTGCTTCACGCCTTTAGACATCATGGATTCAATTCATTTGAATTCTACTTACAACCTATGCATTCAACCTGATGTGGATTATTATCTGGTAGTTGCTAAATACGGCATGAATTGTTAGTTTTACATCATCAGTGCGCGCGTAAAGAGCATTCCTAAAAGTGCACATCGCAAATTGATGTTGACTTTTATTATTAAACTGATGCGTGCCCCAAGGCCATGATATTAATATGCCATCTGTGTGGTAGACGTACTACGCAAGTCGCACGGCCATTTATCAATGAGTGGTTAATTATGCATGCCCTATACAGGCAGCGTATCATGGTGACTGGGGAGCAACTCTATACGCAGAATGCCAAGACCTGCTGGGCGTTGCCTCAGTACCGTATCGTGTGGCCTTCGTGTATAAATGCCACACCTAGTCGTTCAATATTTTATCATGATCATGATAAAAGTAAAAATCGGCAAGACTATTGTTGAGGAAGAACGGTGTGGTAACATAAGTGAAAAGTGTACCCGTACACAAACAGAATTATACATTAGTAAATGTACCATGACAAACAAGTTTGTTTTAACTAGTGGCAGTACTTCCTCCGTTTTTTTACGCGTACTTTTCTCTCGTAATTTTAAAGATTAGTTTTTTTCGCTCCAAGGTTTAGGTTCATCTTTTGCTAGGATCGACTCGTTCATGATCCAGGTTTCATTTCATCGTCATCAGACAATCTCAAAACCTGATGTCATATCGGTGGACGTCAACAAATTAGGCCTACCCCAAACTGGGGAAACATCTCTTATACATTCCTGATTAAAACATTTTCAATGTCATTTGTACAGTCAAATAATTTAAATATAATGACACTTTGCTCATTTGGACAAGCTTCTAAAGCATATAACTGATAATACATTTATAGGTCTGCCTTTTCTGTTTGCTTATATTTTCACTTTACGCATAATTTGTCAAAATGTACGTTGATTTATTTGCAAAAATACTTGCACTTGAAATGGTGCGTGCGCGGTGGGGGGGGGGGGGGGACGGGCTCAATGTTTGAGCTTGTACACCACTCGCCTTCGAAAAAATGAGGTCATAGGTTTCAGGTTATATGATGACTGGGCTTTTGTAAGTTTTCATTTCACAACAACAGGTGAGAGCGCCATCCATACCATGCACAAGCGCATAAGCCAATGCACACTTTACACCCGAGTGGTTTCCAATGGCTATTAGCATAACAAAAGACGGGATCGATATTACCTGTAACAAGCACCCTGATTGGTCGGCTGCAGTTAAAGCTCCTAGCCGCACCGACGCTGACACCGTCTGAAGCGTAACTGACAAGCAAGCCATACAAATGTACACACATATCTGTACTATTTTCGAAAGTAGAAATTTCACCTTGTCGTGCGGAGTAAATTCTACATTACATGGAGAAATAATCGTTCAGGAATCATTGGATGATATATCTTGTGGCGACAATTTCTGGACAGGATATGAATTGATTTCTCTACTGTGAACTACTGAGACACGAAGATCGAGAACACGTGAAAATTGTCAAAGATTGTAATCATCTGCGGAGAAATATGTAGCGTCGGTTGCACGATTGACTTGGCAACAGCGCTACTGGAATTACGCACAACAGGTGGACGGTTGGAAGCCTGTGTTTTCGGTTGGAAATTACAGATTTGCGTTAGATTTTCTTCCTTTTTTCCTGAGGGATTTCTTCCCAAGTCTACATGGCGAAGTTCAGCAGTATCGTGTTTGGTGTCGTCATTTCGCTTTCAATGGTGTCTGAAGTCTTCTGTGTGGGAGGTAAGAAATGGTTTTTCATTCTTTTTTTTTTCATTTCTCTAAAACAAAGTATCGAAAAATAAATTGTAATCTTTTTACTATTCATTTAAGGCCTTTTTTTTCTTTTTACATACAGGGGTAAGAACATGGCTTCCACATTTCTCCCAAAATTGTGTGTTCCAAATGGGTGGTATTAGCTTCTTGAGTATTCACGCCGCAAGGCCTTGAATATGAAAATAGCCGGCAAACATATTACGCAATTCAAATACGAATTCATAACAAAAAGGAGTGTGTTTTTTAAATAGTAAAATACTTGTTAATTTCATATTTATGTTTTAAAAAACGTGTGTTTCGAAATTTGAAAGATGAGTACTTTTAAATTAAATTAAATTAAACGTTTTATGCAATCAAATTCTTTTTTTTTATTTCTGCAAATAATTAATAATTATAAATAAATATTAAGCAAGAAAAAATAAAGTAGCCCGCGCAATTTTGACATATAACAATTTGGTGAGCTGTTTTATAAAATGGCACCATCTGTGTCTATTGTCCTCTGTGAAGAAAAGACTATTCATAATTCAATTATTATACTGATTGGTCCACTCATCAGGGTGCTGCCGTACTGGTTGTTCATACTCATTACTTATGATGGCAACAGATGTGCGCATTGTCAGCAGATGTGACAAGTTGACAATGAATGATATGCTGGAACACATTCCGGAAAATGTCGCTTTATTAAACAGTGAACGGGCTTCTCGACTTTTAAATAAATTTATTTAGATTGCTTACAAAATACTGCATTCTGATTTGAATGAAAAAAATTATGAATCGCATTTTTTGTTTTATCAAGAGAGTGGGGCATTTTTTTAAAACAAGGATTCGCCAACACAAAATGCATTAGATGTTATTTCTCTTTTTTCACTTCCAGAATTTCCTATATACCGTGCGTAATTAGTGTTTAATTCAAACTAGTGCGCCCTGAAATATATCAGACATATCCATGATGGTAAAAAAAATGTCCTTACAATTACAATTTCAATATCCAAGCACATTCAAGTACAACAATATTGGTTCACTCAGAAATGATAATTGGTAATGAAGCGAATTCCATTTTTAAGTTACATTGCAGTATTTGATGCTGTTATATTCTCAGTCCTGGGAGTATATGTAGCCACATATAGCCATAGGCCTACACTCGGTATTAGAGCAACGAGCTTTGCATATAACCGAGCTCCTTTGTGTAGAGATGTGTTTATACGTTACCAAGGTAACGTTGAACAAGGGATGCAACCACAATAGAAAACGACCAGGGATTATTCAATGCCAAAACCAATTCGTCCTTACATTGTGTTCATTCAACCGTTACACACACAAACGCAGAACCCAGACAAGGTGCATAATATTATGGATAACCCATTATTGAACTTACTGTTCAATTGATAAATTATTGATTTTTTTACGATGGTTATACATCGAATTCGGAGTTTTTCAACCCAAGAAACAAAACATCAACGACGAATAAAGAAAGATATGTTAGATATTTTTTATTCGCTATTCATTGTCACATTGCATGCACGGCATTTATCGACAATACACAATAAAACAATAGAGGGCGCTCTTTCGCCAAGTTCAGTGCAAGAGTGCAACATTATGAGTTCGGTTTATTTTATGAAGTGTGCTCAAAAGTACAATTTGTGCGTAAATCGATCTCAATACGGTTAAAAACGTACATGAGTATTCTCTAGGCCCACAAGATGAAGTGCTGAAAGATGCAAAGTTAGAAAATAGGTAAATATGACAATTGAAGTTCGTGACTGTGTGAGTTTGTCTGTTCCTAACTAAGGCAAGCTTCCTCCTTCAGTGTGTGTTCTTGTCTATTCCTTGGAAATGTTTCTCATCTCGCATTGCAAAATTGCAATTGTGAGATTTATTTTAAAGTGTTTTTTGCTATTTTAGGCCTATTTTGTAGTGACCAACTTGACTCTGAATTGACTTGAAAAGTATGTCACACATGAACATCATCTGAAACTTGTATTGTGTCAATAATTTAGTAAAAAAATGTCCTCATATTATCATGGAATGATTCTAACCCCTTGAGCAATTATATGTTTCAATGTTACATGAACTGTGTGTGATAAATAAAACTAAAACAGAGCTTGCTATGCTATAAGTGTCAGAATCACTTGTCATACAGGCACTGAAACCTGATTGGCTAATTGTTTGGAGTAGGCGTGTCCTTTAGTCACTGCACAGCAATGATAAGCTATGATTGGT